AAGGAGGAAGAGAAGGAAAAAGAAGAATGACAAGAATGAACAAGAACAAGAATGAACAAGAACAAGAATGAACTAGAACAAGGAAGAACAAGAACAAGGAAGAACAAGACTCAGCACCCAGGAGAATAACTGAAATTGCTACAGCCAGGACACTCAGTGACTCTGTCTGGGGCGGGAAGAGCCTGTGGAAGAACGCTATTTTAACTAGGCAAAGATGTGTTATTTTGTTTATGCTGAGGAATGTTACTTAAACTGTGTTAAAGCTTGTTGCTTTTGTTTATGCTGTATTTGTTTAATGATGTAAGAATGTGTGTTTAACTATGAAAAGCATCTGTTTTACCTTGCCTGCCTATGGTACCTGATTGGTTTAATAAAAAGCTGAACAGCCAATAGCTAGTCAGAGAAAGGACAGGTGGAGCTAACAGACAGAGAGAATAAATAGGAGAACCCTAGGCTCAAAAAGAAGAAAAGAACAAAAGGAGAGAATGAGGGAGACGCCTGGGACAAGAAGCCAGGCAGACACCAGCCAGCCAGACACAGTGAAAGTAAGATATGCAGAATTAAGAAAGCAAAAGGTAGATAAAGTGAACAGGTTAATTTAAGTTAAAAGAGCTAGCCAGAAACATGCCTGAGCTAGGCTGAGCATTCAAAGCTAATAATAAGTCTCTGTATTGTGATTTGGGAGCTGGTTGGTGGCTTAAAAGAAAAAGGCTGGGACAGGAGCCAGGTCTGATCCTTTGAACCATTTTGCTTCTGGCCCAAGCCAAGTGGTTGATGAGAACACAGGAGGAGCTGGGACTCAACCCTCACACTGTCCCTCCTGTCATTTCCTGTAGGGTACTTCCCAGTTGGGACTTCCCACACCCAGGAACGGTCTTCTGGTCATCTGAGGAATGCGAACGGCTAAGCTCACTCCCTCTCCCGAAGGTCCAGCCCTTTGACCAGCTAGTCCCTGGGTCAGTTCCCAGGTCATTCATAACCCTGCTGAAAAGCTGCTTTTGTGTCTTTCCCAGGCCTATCACAGCCCAACTGGGTGCCACTTCAGGTCACCCCCACTTTGCACAGACGCCTCTCCGTCATGTCCCCTGGTGTCCAGGTGCACGGACTTTATTTCCCACCCGTTGGACCATGGGGTTCTTATGGAAAGATCCCCTGGCTGCTGAGACTTACTCAACACAGTGGCACTTACTCAAGACTAGGTGACCCATTGACCCCCATCATGTTCTCGTGGTGCACTGACCAAGATCTGCACCTGGAGGAAAAAGCCTGAAGTCCCTCTCAGCAGGAAGCAACATCTCTCCCAGGCTGATCCACAGTTGTGAGAGGCCTCAGTCACTTTTCTTGCTGAGGTTAGGGTTGACTACTTAGAAGCAGGTCTAGCTTACAACATTAAAGTGATGAAGAAGTAGGCCGAGCACCTATTGGCCATTCCACAAAGCTCTTTCTCTCCTTGCCCACTGTCATCTCTGGAGGGTGACCCTGATCCCCAGAGCTAATGCGGATGCCAGGGCTCCAACCACCACACTCATGTTATAGTCGGAAAAGACCTCCCTGAAAGACCACCCAGTGCCTTCACACTGAACGGAAGGGGTCAAATGACCAAACTCAGATATATCAGAGATCAGGAAATGTAGTCTTTAATCCAGGGATTAGGAATGCAGAACTGTCTGCAGGACTGCTCACCTCGCTAGACTAGAGGAAGCTGGAGAGCACACAGGTGAAATCTGCCTGGCCGTGGAAGGAACGTGGGGCCAAGAGGAGGCACTGGAGTATGCACGAACATTACAGGATGTCAAGGAACTGTGGCTCATTTTCTTAGATATAGCTATAGATTAATGGCAATTTAGGAATATATATGTATTCTCAAATAGTTCAAGTTATTATTTACTTAGGAATAAATTAAAATACAGTATATAAACAGGTTTAAAAAGATTGACAGAGCCGGGCGATGGTGGCGCACGCCTTTAATCCCAGCACTCGGGAGGCAGAGGCAGGCGGATCTCTGTGAGTTCGAGACCAGCCTGGTCTACAAAGCTAGTTCCAGGACAGGCTCCAAAGCCACAGAGAAACCCTGTCTCGAAAAATCAAAAAAAAAAAAAAGATTGACAGAGTAAACAGAAAAGACAGAATCCCCAAGTCTAGATGGACTATGGGTATTATCCCACTTGTTTAGATTTTCTGCACATCTCAAATTTCTTATTATAAATATTAGGGACAGGGCTGGAGAGATGGCTCAGTGGTTAAGAGCATTGCCTGCTCTTCCAAAGGTCCTGAGTTCAATTCCGGGCAACCACATGGTGGCTCACAACCATCTATAATGAGGTCTGCTGCCCTCTTCTGGTCTTCAGACACACACAGACAGAATATTGTGTGTGTGTGTGTGTGTGTGTGTGTGTGTGTGTGTGTGTGTGTAAATTTAAAATAAATAAATATTAGGGACAGTCATTCTGCATCTGGTTTGGCTGTCCCAAGGCTTTCTCGTGGTGAGGCTCCTGGTGAAAGGCAGGGACTCGAACCAGTCAACGCAAAGGGCAATGAGATTGATCCCTACAGTCCTGGCCAGGGTGCACGAGTCATCCAGGACCTCCTGTCCCCAGCTGCGGGGAGCTGTTCTGTGTACCTCTTAGTGCCCTCCTGGGCTTCCTGGCTCACCACTGCCCAGAGTAGGTACAGACCTAGACTGGACACCTAGATTTGCATCTAGCCCAGAGTAGGTACAGACCTAGACTGGACACCTATATTTGCATCTAGCCCGTAAGCCAGTTCTAGCCATTAGTTCATCAGCACACACTGTGAGGACTGGAGATGCCACGTCAGGCGTGAAGATGTCTGACTTCTCTTAGCAGGTCAGACAGCACGGTGCTCTCCCAGCACAGCCTCTTCCCACGTCCTTCCCCACCGCAAGCACAGCCTAAAGAACTCACACTTGATAGCCCTGTTGTGAGGCCCAGGATGACGACACCAGTGATCTCGGGTGCCCTCCAAACTAGGTCCCCAAGCTTCTCCACACCGTGTCATTTTCCACTTGTCTATGTTACCCACAATCAGATGGCATGCTTTCCTGTTCCTCTTCAAGGGCAACTGGACACAAAAGTATTGGCCACAGAACCACATCAGAAGCAGACCATCAGGTGAACCAGCTGACTATCTCCAAATGTCAAACACACCTGTGCTGACCAACCACGACCGCTCTCGGAACCAGCTTCACTTAACACCCAAGCTGGGCCCAGGAGCGTGGACAAGGGTGTCCGCTGGGGCTCTAGGAGACATCAAATGCTGGCAGCCATCAAAGGACCATGAGGAGACTGGCTAAATACGTCCTCCTGACAAGCCTGGCTGACAGGAGGCAGCAGCATCAGCGCCATCTTAAAACAGCAAAGCAACTACAGAACTGTCCCCGTTAGTCAGGGGAAATGCTAAACAGCCATAAACACAAACAAGGGCGGGCACTCCACCCCCAGAGCACAGTGGACTCATATGTGGGTGCTTCCATGTAGAGGGGAGTCCGAGGGGACACACCACAAACAAAAGTCGTTTCTGCAGAGTGCGGTTAGGCGGCAGGGGGACTTTTACACATTTGAGAGTACGGTTTTGTTGCTTTGAGTCAGGGTTTCTCTGTGTGTGGACCTGGCTGTCCTGGAACTCACTCTGTAGACCAGGCTAGCCTCAAACTCAAAAGAGATCCACCTGTCTCTGCTTCCTGAGCGCTGGATTATAGGCATGTGCCACCACACCTGGCCAAGAGTTCTGTATTTTTTAATCTTTGAGAATAATATATAGTATACTGGCTAGTTTTTAGGTCAGCTTGATACAGGCCAGAACCATCACTAGAGAGAACCTCAGCTGAGGAAATGCCCCCACCAGCTTGGCCTGTGATACATTTTCTTGATTAATGATTGACAGAGGAGAGCACAGACCTCTGTGGCTGGGGCAACCACCGGGCAGACAGTCCTGTGTCCTGGAGGAAAGCAGACTGAGCAAGCCATAAAGAGTAAGCCAGTAGACGCTCCCTCCATGGCCTCTGCATCAGCTCCTGCCCTGCTTGAGATCCTGTCCTGACTTTCCCTTAGTAATGGAGTGTGATCCAGAAGCATAAGACAAAATAAACCCTTTTGGTAATAGTGTTTTTTTTTTTTTTTTTTTTTTTTGGTTTTTCGAGGCAGGGTTTCTCTGTGGCTTTGGAGCCTGTCCTGGAACTCGCTCTGTAGACCAAGCTGGTCTCGAACTCACAGAGATCCACCTGCCTCTGCCTCCCGAGTGCTGGGATTAAAGGCGTGCGCCACCATTGCCCGGCTGGTAATAGTGTTTTATCAAAGAAAAAAGAATCTCTAAGAAACATAGTGCTTTTGAAATTTAAGCAGTGATATGATATGCTTTGGAGAATCAGGCTGGCTTCTCATGAGGGAAAGTAATGATGACACCGTCTAAAATGTTTCAGCAATAATAGCATATGCTAGCAATGTTCTCTCTCTCTCTCTCTCTCTCTCTCTCTCACTCTGTGTGTGTGTGTGTGTGTGTGTGTGTGTGTCTGTGTGTGTGTGTGCAGAGAAAGAGAAGGACAGAAGCCACTGTGACAAATGGTGACCCCTGGTGGCTCAAAATGAAGGACACATAGACTTCACTGACTATTCCTGCAACTTTTGACTATGTTTGAAATATTCTCAAAATAAAGTCAGATGTAGTAGAAATGAAGTCAACTGAAAGGCAGAGTCCTGGGAAGCCCCCTACAGACCAGGGAGTGGAGACCCAGAAAGACCTTCAGCATATGGACAGAGACCTGGCCCCCCAGAAGGGACAGGATTTTTTTTTTTTTTTTTTTTTTTTTTTTGGTTTTTCGAGACAGGGTTTCTCTGTGGTTTTGGAGCCTGTCCTGGAACTAGCTCTTGTAGACCAGGCTGGTCTCGAACTCACAGAGATCCGCCTGCCTCTGCCTCCCAAGTGCTGGGATTAAAGGCGTGCGCCACCACCGCCCGGCAAGGGACAGGATTTTAAAACAGGTTTAAATGGCTTTATTTTCTCCATGATTTTTCCTCCCAAAGAGCCAATGTCCTTATACTACCGAGAGATCCCAGGACTTAGACCCAGAAAGCGACACTAGAGTCTGTGGTCTCATTAGAGAACGCCTCCACTGTCTAGTGACACCCGGGACACTTATGCAGTCCAGCTGGGCCTACAGTTCAAAGATCATGGCTTGAGATAGAGCTTCCTCTCATGATGCAGTCACCGGGGGCTCGAGGTACGCCCGTTTTGGATGGGGCGTCTGGTAGGAGCTGTCACCTCCGGTGATCTGCGCCAATGGCCTCTGTGACTGTGTTAAAACCCTGCTCTCTGGAAAGAAAACAAAGTCTGTCGTCAGGAGGCCCATGCTTGCCATGGGCACGCCGCTTGCCACACCACCCCACCCAGCACATCTTATGACCACTACTTTGCCCTCACCCAGGCCCCTGCACCCGTCTGCCCGGGCCTTCTGTGCAGGAAGGGAAGTGACTTTATACTGCAGTTCCCGGACACTAGTCCATGTCAATTCACTACCTGCTTCATTCTGCTAGGATTCCTCCATCCCTGGTCCCTGGGCAAGTGGCAGGCCCTGCCTTGTAATGAGCTCCGCCTCAGAATCACTGAATTCACTTGGCACTGTTTGTCCTTGGCCAAAGATGCAGCAGAGACATTTTCCCGCCCTGCCATCTGTGTTTCCCTCCAGCTCTCTGGGCATGCACAACAGACGGATGGCCAGTGTCACTTTCTAGTTAACCTCTCTGACCAACTTCCCGGTTAGGCTGCGTCAAGCCCCACTCACTTTAGAAGTGCCTCCAGCTCACGCTTGACCCTGACCACGACAGGAGGCCCCAGGAAGGTGAGGGCCGTGTACAGCTGCACCAGGGAGGCCCCAGCCTGGATCTTCTCCAACGCATCCTGCCCGCTGCTCACACCGCCAACCCCAATAATGGGAATCCTGCCTGGAGAGAAGCACATAGCAAGGCCAGGGAGGCGGGTGTAAGGACCCAGGCATCCATCAGGGAGGCGGGTGTAAGGACCCAGGCGTCCATCAGGCCTTGGTCCTGGCAAACACAACGGACGAGGGAAGAACCAGGGCCTCGTGAGCCTAAGGAAGCCTTGCCTTGAGTGAGGGCGTACATCTCCCGGATGGTCTGCGTTGACAAATCTCGGAGTGGCTTCCCACTCAGTCCTCCCACCTCAGAGCGCAGAGCACCTTGTAGGCTGGTAGGGCGACTCACTGTGGTGTTTGTGACGATCAGTCCATCGATGCCCAGCTGCAGCGTGAGACAGAGAAAGCGCCTCAAGCCATGGATCTGAGGGACTCAATGAAACTGTCTCTTTTGAGGACTGAGGCAGCCAGCAGGCCAGGGGTCAGTTCTGTAGGGCAGGACCCTCACGGCCTCACCCACACCTTGACTGGAGAGATGGATCAGAATGAGTCACTCAATGCGACACAGCAGTGTCTCACAGCAAGCCCATGACAGCGCCTAAGCAGGGTTTGACCTTAGCTGTCTGGGAGTATCTCAGGGAGTACGTGGTAGCACCAGGACTGAAATACAGGACTGCTGGACTGTGTTCCTACCACCCTGTATAGCCGGAGAAGCCTGCTGTTGGGACAGACATGAGACTGACAGACAGGCCAGCGCAGGCCTTAGACTTTCTGGATGAAGACAGATCAGAAGCAAGAAAAAGACTCGCCAAACACATTTCACTCACCAGGTGGACTATACAGTGACAGACAACCAAACAGCCTTCCACTCCACATAGAGGAAGTCACCAACCATGCCATTTTGTGTTATCCCAGCAGCGATGGACGACGGAGGCTACCCCCACCCTACCTGGGACCACCCTGACTCAAACCTCTCTCGCCACACTGGCAATGTCCTCCTTGTCCTGGGCCGTGAGGTCAGGGGCGATCTTCACCAGCACGGCCGGCTTCCGCACTCCCTTCAAGGCGTCCCTCTCCTGCAGCACCTAGGAGGACAAGCCAGAGATGGGGACCCCACCCCACAGCCCAGCAGTGCGGGTCGACGTTTTCACATACGGTCAACTAAAGCACAAGCTGTTTCTCCCCTTGGGATAACCGCTCAGGTTTGTTTTGTTCCTGAAAACAAGCAAGGAGATGTGTCACAAGGACTAGGCAGTGAGCACTCATTCCATTCACACGCAGTGCTGGGGACAGAGTGACAGCTGAGAGCCGTGCCAGCTCTGGCTGCCTGTGGTTTTACAGCAGTTAACTGCCTATTGGTATGACTGGGGATGTGAGAGATGAGACGGTGCCTGGAAAAGGTACGATGAGGGTTCCTAGGCCAGATGTGAATAGCTTCGCCAGAAAGATGAAACCTAGTAAGGGCAGGAGGAACATGTGATGGTGTAATGACACACCTTGGCCAGCAGGAGGCGCAGCTCAGTCTTTCCCTGGAGGCTCCTCAGGCCAGCAGTGTTGGGACTGGACACATTCACCACGAGGTAGTCAGCCAAGGGGCCCAGGACACGAACGCCCTCTACATAGTCTGCAGCAGCATCCACCGAAGTCTTATTCTTCCCCAGGTTGATTCCCAGGGGCAGCCCATCTGTGAAGAGCAAGTTTCCCAGGCAACATTTTGAGTACAGGTGGGACTCCCCTGAATCGGCTGACGGAGAAGGTTCATTCTGGGGGCTGCTGCCTGATGGCTGAGAGCCGCTTCATCATCTGTCTCTATGACAAGTGCATGCACATACAAGGATGCTTCTGGCATACTAAGCCTTTTATCTTTTTAATTAAATAGAGAAATTAGAAGCCTAAATACTGGGAAAAAGCAGAAAAACAGGAGGAAGCTGTGCATGGTGGGCACTTGTAAGCACAGTTCTCAGGAGGTGTAGTTAAGAAAATCAGGAGTTCAAGGTCATCCTTAGCAACATAGCAGGTTCAAGGTCAACCAGGGCCGCCTTCTCACAGCCCATCACCTTCTTGGTCACCAGTTTAAAAGTCAGATTTCTGTAACATTTCCTAAGAGGTCTCGAAGCTTCAAGTCCAGCACCCAGCAGGCCAGAATCACTTGTGAGCTTTGGCACAAGTGAGCCGCATGGAGAGTACGGCTTCCTGAGTAACTGGGCCTGTCACTGTGCTCACCCCTGCACGGGCACGATTACGGAGTGAGGAGGGCTGAGCTACTCTTTACACAGAGCACTGTCTCTTCTATCAGCTCGTGTTCCTAGGCCTGGTGCTGGCAGAAAGCGTCTGCAAGGCCGCTAGCTGCCAGCAGATGCCTGTGGGCAGGGCACGGACACGGGACTTGGCCTCACTCCAATGAATGTGAGGGCACAGACTGAGGGTGAAGGGTGGACATGGTACAATGGCGAGAAAGCCAGCCCACAGAGAGAGCACTGCGGGCATTGAAAAGAAGAGACGGAAGGCAGGAGGCAGGAGAACACCACAAACCACGGACATCATGTTAAGACCTTCACAGTTGCAGGGCTGGCAGGGTCTGGTTCTATCAAAGCCAGGATTGTTTTGTTTTCTGTTTTCTGTTTGTGTTTTTGTTTTAGGGTTTTGTTTGTTTCTTTTTCAAGACAGGGTTTCTCGACCTCACAGGGATCCTCCTGCCTCTGCCTCCCAAGTGTGCTGGGATTAAAGGTGTGCGCTAGCACCACACAGCCAAAGCCAGCGGTTTTTAAACACTGTCGTTTCCTATGTCCACCATCTGAGCTTGCCAAATGCTTCAGCCCTTTCTTCCTTAGCTCCTCAAATAAACGCAGAAGTCCTTGGCTTAACCTTCACGCTATCGGCCATCAAATGAGACTAGGACCTCCTGAAAGACATTGTCGAGGCGAAGGAGAAAAGCCCCCAGAACTACAGAAGGTATGTGAGGAGCGGAGAGCTATGGGCAGAGGGCCACCACCCAGGGCTCTGGCCCCAAAATGCACCTCTGAGCGCAAAGCAGACCACAGAGGACAAAGACATCTCCATGAAAAGCCACCAAAAGCAAGGCCTGAGGACAGCTGGTCCCGAGTGGGTAGGCGCGCAACACCTCTGCCCTGCTCTTTAGCTCGTAGCGCACACCATTTACACAATGAACGAAAGGACAGCTGCGCTGGACGTGTGCAGATGCACTCGGGTCACGTCTTAGCTACCCCCCCACGTGCTCTCTGCTGACCCCAAGCCCCCAAGTTAGGACACAATCCAGGTTCCATCGGTGCCGGAGACCAGAAAGGCCGTGCTGAATTCTGACATCCGTTACAACCTTTGAGGCTGAGGTAGAAGCTGGACAATCCCCAAACGAGAGGAGCCTGAGTGGCTTTGTGTGGTTTTTATTGTCTGTTTCCTATCGCTGGGTCGCATGCCCTCCCCCTGTATTTCTCTGTATAGAGGAAGAGAGACCCTCCCACGACTCCCGACTTTACCTGCAGTGAGCTTGGTCTGCTTCTGCTGTCGGGCGCGCAGCCTGTGTTCCACCACCAAGAGCCCGTGGCTGTTGAATCCGTACCTGGTGCACATAAACACACAGGAAAGGGGTGGAGTTAGAGGTGACAGCTGGAAAAAGCACCCGAGACCATTTCCACACTCTCACACCGGCTCCTCTTTATTGTCAAATGGGTGGGAGCTAGAGTCGCCATGGAAACACACATGTGGTGTGTCTGTACAACTGTTCCCAGAAAGGTTGAATGGGGCAGGGAGGACCCACCACGAACACGGGCAGCACCATCCCACAGGCTCACAACCCAAACCGAGTAAGGAGAAAGTGACCCAAGCACCAGCATCCTCCACTCCCTGCTTCTTCACTGCAGGTGCAAAGTGGCCCTCTGCCTTAGGCTGCTGCCACCAGGAGGGCTTGTGCCCTCAGACAGTGAGCCAAAATAAACACCCCTTCCTTAAGCTGTTTTTTGTCAGAACTCTGTCCCAGGAACAAGAATAATAGCTAACGGGGTCTGGTTACATCACTTTGTAGCTTGCAGCCAGAGCAACGCAGCATGGGCAGTGACCGTGATCTGCTGGCGCAGTAAATACCCGTCCTTCAGCATGTCTGTGCTGAACACATGCCACGGACATGAGCAAGAAGGCTAAGTGTGCATGCGTCCAGGAGCACAGACGCCTGCCCCTCACCACTCCCTGCCCCATGGGGCTCTGCCAAGTACATTACCCAAAGTCTCATGGAACAGCCAAATCAGAAACACAGGTATTTTGTCTGCCCAGCCCTAAAGACACTGGTCCCTGCAGTAATCCAACAGAAAGATCTATGACCTGTCGAGAAGCTTTCTGAAATAAGCAGTAGGAAGCGCGGCCACAGGTCTGCCGAAATCCTCACCAGGAAGCTCTTCAAAAATCTCCCGGCAAAAAAGTACGACGGTCTTCCCTTTGCAGTTACACTAAGTACTCAGAACCATGAAGGCTGAGGCTTCACGCAGTCGGAAGGACTCCTCCTCCTAAGAGCAGCCGTACATGCTGAACACTCCGTCCTTGTTCATCCAAAGCAAGGGCCAATTGTGCAGTACCAAGGCCACTGGCAGCATGTGGCCACCAGCTCTGCCCAAGTCAGAGGACCCAGAAGTAAAGGCACGTGGGTGCCGGAGGACCAGAAGCCAATAAAAGGGGAGTGTAGTTAGCCAATGATTTTTACATCGACTGCATGTTAAGATGGTTTTAGAATACATTGTTTATAATTAAATCTTAATAATTATAAATAAGTATCAAATTCATTCCTTTTTCTAGTTTTTAATGTAGTCATGAGAATATTTCAAATTACAAGTGAGATCATTATATTCCTATAGGCCAACCCTGGACCAGGGCAATGGAGTAACAATGTAGAAAAGTGAACACTGTCAAGTCCAAGCCTTTCCCAGCTGATCTTTGCAGCCAGCACCAGCTCTGAGCCTCAGCAGGAACACCTGGTACAATCCTAACAGCTGTGTTCCAAGGTTGGGGTGAGCGCTGCCTCGTGTTCAAAAGGGCTCCTGAATACTCCAAATGACAGAATGTCCTTCCATCTTAGGAGAAAAGCAGAAGGCGGGTCTTCCATCTCAGAGATTCCAGCAGGGGAGGAGATACTCCCCACAACACTGAGCCACCCCCTACCTGTTAATGACAGCTTGGTCCTCCGGGAGGCGGAATACTCTGGGTCTGGGGTTTCCTTCCTGAGGCTGGGGAGTCACACTTCCGACCTCAACAAAACCAAAGCCCAGCTTGTAGAGGCCATCCACAGCTTCCCCATGTTTGTCAAATCCTGCAGCAATCCCTATTGGATTTCGGAATTTACGGCCCAGGACTCTCACTTCCTGGAAAGGAGACAAGGGCAGAGGTGTACGTGGCTATACCAAGTAGTTCTCACAGCAGGACTCCCAGCATCTTGCAGCAGAAGTCCCCTAGAGCTTGCTGAGCACCAGTGGGCCCACCGAATAGGGATCTGATGGAGGAAGGTCATTGGCTAATAAAGGAACTGCCTTGGCCCATTTTATTGGTTAGAAGATAGGTGGGAGGAGTAAACAGAACAGAACGCTGGGAGGAAGAGGAAGTGAGCTCAGACTCCACAGCTCTCCTCTCGGGAGCAGACGCCTCAGAGAGACGCCATGCTCCTGGCTCCTGGGCAGACGCACGCTATGAAGCTCCAACCCAGGATGGACATAGGCTAGAATCTTCCCGGTAAGCGCACCTAGGGGCGCAACACAGATGATTAGAAATGGGCTAAATTAATATGTGAGAATTAGCCTAGAAGAGGCTAGATAGAAATGGGCCAAGCAGTGATTAAAAGAATACAGTTTCCGTGTAATTATTTTGGGTAAAGCTAGCCGTGGGGGCGGCCGGGTGCCGGGGATGCAGCCCCGCCGCCCTTATTACTACAGGGATCTTTGGGAGGAAGGACACTCTGAGGTGTCTATCTGCAGGTGCTTCTGATGTCTGCTGGAGTCTGACACCAGAGGCCTCAAGGCTGAGGGAGAGGCTGTATCCCACCACAGGAGAACAGGAGACAGGTGCTATCCAGCACAATTATGGTGGCTCTTCTTATCTACTCAACCTGGGCAGGAGAAGGAGTCCTTGGGTGTCGTCAGCCTTTAGGTCATGCTACTCGGACACCAGTGAGTACCACGCAGCCGAGCCCATCACCCGCCTCTAGTATACAAGCACCAGTTGACCTTTCCTCCATGACTGACCAGAAGCCAGCAGCAATGAGCATCATGGAGAGTTGGAGGGAGGACACTGGCCGGCACTGGTGCTGGTTCCAGTGAGCTCTTAGAGGTCAGGTAAGTGTCCCCAAGGGGAAAGTCACATGGTCTTGAAATCCACAGGAGACGAGAAAGGGCACAGGAAGGTAAGAATGTGCATGCAGCACCTCAGAGCCACGAGGCGAGAAGTGCGGCTCTAACAGGCCCTCAAGCCGGTTCTTGTCCCTGGCTGTGTGACAGAGCCTGCGGCATTGTCAAGCTTCTCTGAGATTATGGTTAAACTGGTCAGTCAGACCTGGGCAGCCAAGCATCCCAAAAGCACCCCCACCCTCCCAGGAGAGCCGAGTCAGGACAGGGAACTGAAGCCTTGGGCAGAGAAGTAAATTGAGGGAGGAAAAGTGGGATACGAGGAGCAACTGGCCTGGCTGCCGGGGAGTAGGGACATACTGTATGGTCCCACTTACTCAGGAAGCTGAGGCCCAGAAATCATTTCAGCCCACAAGTTTGAGATCAACCTGGACAACATGGACCCCTCTCAAAAGAAAAAGGGTATGCTGGGTGGTGGTGGCGCATGCCTTTGATCTCAGTGCTTGGGAGGCAGGGGCAGGTGGATCTCTGAGTTTGAGGCCAGCCTGGTCTACAGAGTAAGTTCAAGGATAGCCAGAGCTATACGGAGAAAACCTGTCTCAACGAGAGAGAGAGAGAGAGAGAGAGAGAGAGAGAGAGAGAGAGAGAGAGGGAGAGAGAGAGAGAGAGAGAGAGAGAGAAAGAAAGAAAGAAAGAAAAAAGGTAGCATCCAGAGAAAGAGACAGCAGAAGGGCCACACTGACTCTGGGCCAGAGAAGTGAGTTGTGACTGGATGTGACTGGAGCAGGTAGTTATCTAGGACTTAAGTCCTCCACCCCCTCAGGATGATGAGTACACCCAGGGCCTGCTTCTGATGGGGGGGGGGGGGGAGAAAGGACCCATCTGGCCGGACTGCAGTATCCTCCTGACCCTTCACACCTACCCAGACAGAGGACATAGTATCTAAAAGAGACGACCCTTCCCAGCTAACACTGCATGCATTAGCTGTTTAACAACTACAGAAGATTTCCCTGCTCAGCAGAGGGATTTCAGCAAGGCAGGCCAGTGGCCAAGGTTGGACACTGGAGTCAGACTCCATGGGTTCGAATCCTGGTCCTGCCACCTCCCAGCTGCATGACCTTGGGCAAGTTTCCTGCTCTGTGGATGGAGATGAGATAGGACCAACCTCAAACAGCAGTGGTGAGGATTAAAGCTGTGAGCGTAAGCTACATGGTGAGTGTTCTTCCGTAAGTTCACGAGATGCTTCCTCAGCCTGGGCTCCAGGTCCCAGCTGCCTGCGGACCTGCAGCTCTGGTTTTCAGAAGCACAGTCGCAGCAGAGGACACAAGCACTGAAGGATGTGACCTCTCCCACACACCTAAATGGAACACAGTGTGACCCAGGGACACCTACCAGCATGTCAGAGTCCTGAAATGGAGCTCGAGGAAGGAGCCCCAGGGACGTGAAGCGAACAGCGAGGCGGTGGGCTGATTCTGGGTCTAGCAGCCTCTGCAGGGCCGGCATGAGGTATTCAGCGTAGAAATGGTCATCGCCGGTGGCTGTCAGGTAAGAGGTGAAGAGAAGTCCTCCGCCTCCGAGGATGATGGCTGCATCCAGGGCCCGCTTCTAGTGGGGGAAAAGAAAGGCTCCATGGAGACCCTCATCAGGCCAGGCTGCAGCACCCTTCCTCACCCTGAGGACATTACATCTACATGAATTGAGAGCCCTTCCCTGCTCACACTGCCCCCCTTCATAGCCTGCCCACTCACACACCAGCCTTTGTAGACATAGTACCTACATTGCTTACACAGATTCTAGTCCTGAATAGTTTTTTTTTTCCTAAGAACCAGCCAGGAAATTTTCAAGATAGGGGCCACACGGGAGAATTTTTACTAGTTAATGAAGAAGGGTCAATGCTGATAGATTAGGCATGGAGAAATCAGTCCTGTCAATATTCTTCTTTGATTAAAGTTAACACACTAATTTCCCTATGTTTGAACTTGCTATTGCTATTTAGGCAGGTTTAAAAACCTTCCTATTATCTGAGCCAAAGAACAAGCTGTAGTTCACCACCAAACACCCACTCCCCACATTTCACAAATATACGGTAACTTTGCCAGAAATATAAGTACCTTTTGTTTTTGTTTTTTCAAGACAGGGTTTCCCTGTAACAGTCCTGGCTGTCCTGGAACTAGCTCTGTAGACCAGGCTGGCCTCGAACTCACAGAGATCCGCCTACCTCTGCCTCCTGAGTGCTGGGATTAAAGGCGTGTGCCTCAACTTCCAGGTGGTGCCTTGTAATTTAAGGACAACTGTGCAGTGTGCACAAAACATTGCAAAAGAATCAGTCATCATTCCTAAAAGCCCACCAGAAAGGGCGCACTGTGCTGTGTGTGCACCAGTGGACCCCTTCTACGTAGAGGCTTAAACACCTGATCATCAGCCAGGCCGTGGTGGTGCACACCTTTAATCCCAGCACTCAAGAGGCAAAGGCAGGCAGATCTCTGTGAGTTCAAGGCCAGTCTTGTCTACAAGAGCTAGTTCCAGGACAGGCTCCAAAGTTACAGAGAAACCATGTCTCAATAAAAATAAATAAATAAAAATTAAAAAAAATTAAAAAAACACCAAAAACCTGTAGGTGAATTGTGTTCTGAAATTCATGTTTTAATTTAGCCTTTATTAGCACATGGTGTTTATATTTTGAAAGTATACCAGTTACTGGTCTGAAATGTCCTTTGTGTATAATATAAAAGTGGCTACAATATAAACATAGCTTCACTCTCTGGGTAGAGAATCACTACCCCGGAGCCCAAAAGTGGTTCACAAGGCTTTTTGATAATTAGCACCACCAGATGCCAAGTGGCTAATGCATTCATTCAGTCCTTCAAAAGCAAGCAAACCAGGGCTGGTCCCTGTCCTTCAGAAGAGTGTAACCTAAGGAAGCCACAAATCAATCATCATGAGCCAAGGAAACTGACATGAAGGAGAAAGCAACTGAAGCATCTTGAGGAAGGGAGTCAACGGAGACACAAAAGCTAAAGAGCAGGAAGCAGGTGGATCTCTAGGGGGCTGAAGCCAAGGAAGGGTCAGAGAATGGAGATCTGTTTGGAACTAAAAGGAAAGCATTGCTTAAAATGAAGCAGGAGAAACGAGAGTGATGTCAGCCAGGATACAGATCTGGGGGCTGGAGATAGCTCAGTGGCTAAGCGCACTTGCTGCTCTACCAGAGTTCGGCTCCCGTTCCCGTGTCAGACAGCTTACCACGAGCCTGTAACTCGAGCTTTAGGGGCTCCAACACAGCTGGTTTCAGGGGGCACCTGTATTCACCCTTCCACCCCTCCCCACACCTACACATAATTTTATTTTTTAATGGGATTTGTTCACTAAACAAGGAAGTAGAGGATGTGCTCAGATTCGCCCACAGCAAACCAGGTATTCATTCTCCCTCCTCCTGGGAGTTTGCAGAAATGCCTCACGTCTCAGGCAGCACTATCTGCGCACTCTTTCCCAAACCAGGGACACAACCAAGAACTCTTCACACTGGGCTCCCATTTTAACCACACTGTATCTAGAAGGGTGGCCGCATGTCTTATTTCATTCTGTCCTGGATCCTTTCTACAAGGCTAGTAGACCATGTGCTCACAGAGGTCCGATACTAGCTCAGTTTAAAAAAAAAAAAAAAAATGCCATCGATCGCTCATGCTTAGACCAGCCTCGGCCAGGCACGCTTGTTTTTGGCATGCCCCTAGCTGCGCACCCGTGCAAGATACGCTGCAAGGGCCCCAGCCTTTCACGCTCCCCGCCTCATCTCCTCCCATCCTGTGCTCCGACCACGCGTGAACTCCCACGGCAGGACTCACTCGCAATTGTCTCCACGCCATGCTCCTTCGGCCACTGGGTCCGCCTCTGCCTCCACTCCATTGGAGAATGTGGGCTCAGCTCCACCTATCTCCCCAGCCCTGCCTGAAGCCAGTCCCACCCCTAGATGTTGAGTGGACGGTCGCACGCGTGCGTTCTGCCTGGAACCCGACCTCTTCCGTTCCTCCCTCGCTGTGTTCTCTTTTACCGGTATCATGCCTTCTAAAGAATGCTCGCTACTGCGCCGAGCTTGTCCGAAATTCCACACCCTCCCTTCTGTGCATCAGTGAGGAAGAGGTTTCCAGAAGCCTCTGGAGTGGGGAATAGACGCCTCCGAAGTCAGTGTGCATTACCCTAATGCTTTCCTACCTTTCGGAAGGAAACAAAGGACTATAGCCCCCGAAGGTTCCGCATGATTGTCTTTATGCCAGAGCTTCGGTATGACTGTCAACTTAAGAATTCTGTTTTACAATGACTTCTTGAATTTTGCATACAAATGGATGGAAATAGAAAACACTATGCTGAGTGAAGTAAGCCAGACCCAAAAAGAGGAACATGGGATATACTCACTCATATTTGGTTTCTAGCCATAAATAAAGGACATTGAGCCTATAATTCGTGATCCTAGAGAAGCTAAATAAGAAGGTGAACCCAAAGAAAAACATATAGGCATCCTCCTGAATATTAACCTTCATCAGGCGATGAAAGGAGACAGAGACAGAGACCCACATTGGAGCACCGGACAGAAATCTCAAGGTCCAAATCAGGAGCAGAAGGAGAGAGAGCGCGAGCAAGGAACTCAGGACCGCGAGGGGTGCACCCACACACTGAGACAATGGGGATGTTCTATCGGGAACTCACCAAGGCCAGCTAGCCTGGGTCTGAAAAAACCTGGGATAAAACCGGACTCGCTGAACATAGCTGACAATGAGGACTACTGAGAACTCAAGAACAATGGCAATGGGTTTTGATCCTACTGCACGTACTGGCTTTGTGGGAGCCTAGGCAGTTTGGATGCTCACCTTACTAGACCTGGATGGAGGTGGGTGGTCCTTGGACTTCCCACAGGGCAGGGAACCCTGATTGCTCTTCGGGCTGACGAGGGAGGGGGACCTGATCGAGGAGGGGGAGGGAAATGGGAGGCGGTGGCGGGGAGGAGGCAGAAATCTTTAATAAATGAATAAATAAATAAATTAAAAAAAAAAGAATTCTGGGGCTGGAGAGATGGCTCAGTGGTTAAGAGCATTGCCTGCTCTTCCAAAGGTCCTGAGTTCAATTCCCAGCAACCACATGGTGGCTCACAACCATCTGTAATGGGGTCTGGTGCCCTCTTCTGGCCTGCAGTCATACACACAGACAGAATATTGTATACATAATGAATAAATAAATATTTTAAAAAAAAGAATTCTGTTTTATAGAGCGCATTCATGCCAGAACGTTGTAAACAATAAATACATAAATTTTTACTCCCCCACTTTAGGACATAATTTGGGGCAAGTTGGGGGAGACTGTAGAGATGGCTCACTTCTTAACATTTGCTGGAGAGGATCCGAGTTTCCGTCCAAGCACCCAAATAGGTGGCTCACAACTGCCTGTAACTCCAGCTTCAGGAGATCCTATTCTTCGTTTGCACATTCCCACATGCAGACACATACACCTACACATGATTTAAAATGATTAAATCTTAAGTCTCTTGTGCATTTGAGAAAAAAAAACATATTTGGCTTTTGGAGATTGGCTTGCTTCACTTAACATGATCTTCAGTCCCATATATTTTCCTGTAAATTATCTCCTTTCAGTCTTTTTAATGGATGACTATTGTTCTACACCTATGTATACCATATTATCTTTATCTGTTCTTCTGTAGCAGATTCCATAACTTGGCTGCTCTGAATAGCGCTGGGGGGGGGGAATGGTGCACAGTACCTCTGTTGTGTGCTAGGTATATTCCTTTGGGAGTATACATATTTCTAGAAATGACATAGCTCAGACTTTTTGGTGGTGATTCTGTCTGTTGGTTGCTTTTAAATTTTTCTTCTGTGTGTGAGAGTTCAGGCACCAGCCTGCTATGGCAGACATGTGGAGTCCAGAGGACAACTTTCAAGACTGTTCTCTCTGCCTTGTTGAGGAGCAGGACCGCTCTTGTTTCTGCAGCACTGCATACTCTGGGCTACCCGGCGATTCTGTCTCTATCTCTCTACTCCTGCAGGAGTGCTGAATACAGATGTTTACCACTGGGCTAGCAGGCGATTCTGTCTGTATCTCCCAACTCCTGTAGGAATGCTGGATACAGATGCTTATCTCTGTATCCTGTGGGCTCTGGGGTTCCAACTCAGGTTACCAGGCTTTCACATGTAATGGCTCTGTCAATTTATATTCTCACAAGCAGTGTTCAAGGTTTCCCTCTTGGTTGGATCCTTGCCAACATAGTTGTTTCTTTTCTTCATGAAAGACATGCCAAGGATTGAAACTGAATGTTCCTGTAGCTATGATCTGCATGTCCATGAAAGCTAAGGATGCTGAACATTTCTTCCTATGACTTATTGGCCATTCATGCTACTCTAGAGAGTTGTCTGCTCATTTCATTTGCCCATTTATTGATTAGGTTACTTGGGGAGGGCTGGTCTTTATGTTTAGTGCTTTTTATATGCTAGATATTAGCCCACTGTCAGATAGGTAGCTGGCAAGGCCTTTTCTCTCGTCTGTTTCTTACTCTGGTAACTGTTTCCTTTGCTGAACAGATTTTTGATTTCATGATTTTAAATTTCTTCCAATTGCCAGTCCTTGCTATTTCCTAGGTTAATGACTTCCCATCCACAAAGTCCTTGCCTATGCCTAAATCTTGAGGGTTTGTACAAACTTGCAAGCCCTGGACCCTAGGGACATGGACTTGAAAAAGGGGAACTCACCCAGACAAAGCCAATCTTAGCCTGGCGGAGAGCACAGGCAAGAAGATCATTTTCCAACATGTAGCCCTGGGCCAATAGGAAAAACAGCCCATCTCGGTGGGACCTCTAGATGTTTAGTTTTTTTCGGTCTGAAAAACCTCTCCACCAATGCAATTATCCAAATCAAACCAAATCAGACAGAATTAGAAGTCCAGGTTTAATGGATGCTAACGCTCCTAGATGGCCCTCCGGGACAACAAGGGGGAAAGGGGGGGGACCAGGAAGACCATGGAGAACCAGAAATATCTTGTGTTAGTTCTCTGGTGGGGGGGGACAGTTTAAATAGCCTATGGGAGTGGTCTTGACCTTCCCTGGGGAGAGGTCACCATTTGGCAGGCTTTCTTGGAGGTGTCCTTTGGACTGAGGCAACTCCCAGGGGAGGTGGCTTGAAATGGAATTTTCCACCCAATGTTCCAAAATGGATGCCAGGAGCAGGGGTGAAGCCCCTAACCAAACAGTGAGCTGCCATGTGGATGCTGGAAATTGAACCTGAGTCCTCTGGAAGAACAGCTAGTGTTCTTAACCGATGATCCATCTCTCCAAGTCCCCACTCCTCAAGGTCCTTTAAGTATAGGCTTATATTATCTGTAGACAGGGATAATTTGGGTTCTCCCCTTCCTGTTTGTAGCTCTTTTTATTTTTCTTGCCTCATTGTTCTAGTGAGTAATTCTAGTGCTTTACTGAATAAATCTGGTGCCTTAGTTAGGGTTTCTAGTCCTGCAATGAAACACCATGACCAAAGAAACAAGATGGGGAGGGAAGTGTTTATTGGGCTTAACTTCAGCATTGCTGTTCATCACTGAAGGAAGTCAGAAGAGGAACTCAGACAAGGCAGGATCCTGGAGGCAGGAGTTGATGCAGAGGCCATGGAGGGGTGCTGCTTACTGGCTTGCTCCTCATGGCTTGCTCAGCCTGCTTTCTTATAAAACCCAAGACCTCCGACCCATGGATGACACCACCCACCATGGGCTGGCCCTCCCCCATTGATCACTAATGATCAATGCCTTAGAGCTGGATCTCATGAAGACATTTCCTCAACTGAGGCTCCTTCCTCTGATGACTCCAACTTGTGTTGAGACACAACACCAGCCAGTGCAGCTGGGGAGAATGGACACCTTTTAATCCTCCCTGAATTTAGAGGAAATGCTTTCCATGTTCCCCACTTGAATATAGGTTTATTACACGGAGCCTTCTATTTTTTTTTTTTAAGAAATCATGAATGTTTATAGGATCCCTTCTATTTCCTTCTGCATTGGTTCTTCTGTGGTTGGGAAGTGGATAAGTGCACTTGTCCTGTGAGGTTGCCACAGCTCCATCAGCACCGGCAGATAACATTGTTGGGTCTAGTCATCTTGGTTATTTGCTCCAGGAATGATATTATCATTCCATGCCCTCCTGGTTCTCAGGGTTTCTCTGCATAGTCCGGGTGTCCCGAAGAATTTGTCTTTGTGAGTGAGACGACCTTTTACTCCTGGCTCTTCTCAATGCATTACTCACCAGAACCTTCTTCCTCTCATCATTAAGTACAATAATTTTATTTCTTCCTGAATTAGACGTTTTCAACGTATGGACCAGATGATGCCCTTCAATAGGATACTACAGCGTTTTCAAACGAAGGGGATAGGTCCTCAGCTTCCGACTTCAGAGATGTCTGTTTCCACAATGGTTTTCAAACTCATAAGGGCATTAAGAGCTGAGGATACGGCTCCGTGGTAGAGTTCATGCATGGGGCCCTGAATCCCATCCCAGTAACAGGCACACTAAAAACACAGGTGAAGAGAGAAGAAGCATTATTTGGGTTGCTTAGATGACCATCTCAACCCTGAAGGCTGCCAGGTGGTTCAGTACTGTATTTGCTTGCTTCTATGATCATGCACAAAAGAAAAAGACCAGCTGGACAAATCAACGAAGGGTGTGCCACAGGTGGAGGCCAAGGGGTAAGCTCTGTAAACACAAAGGTTTTTCAGCGAATCAATAATCCAAAAGAAATGAGGGAATTGAAGCTTCCCAATGGCGTGAAGTACTGTGCCTGCCTCAGGCAAAGGAGATGGTGCAGTCATAAGCCAGAACCACACAGATTTGCTGTTGGGTTCAGCCAAGTGTGAGCTTTATTGGTTTCTAGTTTTGTTTGCTTTTTTTTTAAAAAAAAAATTCATTCTTTCATCAACTGTTTATCTAGTTTTAATGACTAGGTAAGATCTTTAAAATACAGTTCATGTGTGCTTTTGGTTTTGTGCACTTAAACAGAATACAGCCATCTGAATCAATCCCAATGGTGGCAAATAGGAAAGACATGCAAGTCTGGAGATTTATCGGCGATGGTATTTATGTTCTTACCCATTAAAACCCTTCTGGGAAATGGAGCCCTGCTGCATGAGTAGATTCCAACTGCTCTGTCACAAAAGCATGTTGGAGGGTAGCTCTGAGATGACAGACATGTTCATTTGCTTTACTACATTGCATTAGCACTTGTGTCCTGGAATACCGTCCATCCTTTATAGAATGTGTACTATGATAATCCACACTAACAATATGCTAATGAGATTCACTGAAGCAAGTCCATACCTGAATCTATCCTATTTCAGTCTGGTTCCTACTCCTGGCTAAGCTGTCTTAGCTTCTCCTTCTCCTCCTTCTCCCTAGTCTCCTGAACTTTCCATAGTGTTTCCTCTATTGGCTTCAGGTCACCTTTAAGTTCTAGCTTCTAGAAAGAAAATATGTGATAATTGATCAGCTGCATCTGACTTATTTTGCTTAGCATGAAAACCTCTGGTTCCATCCATTTCCTGGCAAATGGCATGATCCCATCCTTCCTGACCAAATAGACTCTGCTGTGTATAGCCACCATATCTCCTTTAGTTGGTCATCCGGGCTGATGTTGTGGCTTGGCCCTGGCGAATGGTACTCAGATCAGCATGGATACACAGGCTGTCTTCTCGATGCTGACTTTACTCCCTTTGGTACACACCTAGTCCTGGTATAGCAAGGTCACACAGCAGTTCCTGGGCGATCTGACACCTTCATACCATTGCACATAAAATAAAGTTAAATCAATCATAAGAAAGAACAATCTGCTTCTGTGGGGGACAGTTTATTCTTTCTTCTATTTCTGTGACACTCGGTCAATCCCTGTCTAAAAAAGGATGCTTAGCAGTTCTCCCATATATATATATATATATATATATATATATATTTTTTTTTTTTTTTTAATTTTTCGAGACAGGGTTTCTCCGTAGCTTTTTTTGGTTCCTGTCCTGGAACTAGCTCTTGTAGACCAGGCTGGCCTTGAACTCACAGAGATCTGCCTGCCTTTGCCTCCAAAGTGCTGGGATTAAAGTCGTGCACCACTACGCTCTCCCTTATATTTTATTAGCCATTAGTGTATCTCCTGAGATGTCAATTCAGATCATTTGTCCATTTATTGATTGCATTCCCTATTCTTTTGTTAACTTTTTTTTTTTTTTGGTTTTTCGAGACAGGGTTTCTCTGTGGTTTTGGAGCCTGTCCTGGAACTAGCTCTTGTAGACCAGGCTGGTCTCGAACTCACAGAGATCCACCTGCCTCTGCCTCCCGAGTGCTGGGATTAAAGGCGTGCGCCACCACCGCCCGGCAACTTTTTGAGTTCATTATACAGTCTGGATATAATGGCCAATAAAGATAATTTTAAAAAATCAGTCATAGCTGAACGGTGGTGGCTCACGCCTTTAATCCCAGCACTTGGGCGGCAGAGGCAGGCGGATCTCTGTGAGTTCGAGACCAGCCTGGTCTACAGAGCTAGTTCCAGGACAGGCTCCAAAGCCACAGAGAAACCCTGTCTCGAAAAACCAAAAAAAAAAAAAAAAAAACAATAATCAGTCATAAGGGCTGGAGAGATGGCTCAGTTGGTTAAGAGCACTTGTTCTTTCAGAAGACCCGGGTTCAATTCCCAGTACCCAACACAATGGTTCACAAGCATCGTACCTTCCAGTCTAGGGAACTTGACACCTTCTTCTGGCCTTGCAGGCACTAGCCATACACATGGTGTGCATACGTACATATAGGCAAAACACCAATTTACATGAAATAAAAATAAGTAAATATTTTTAAATGTTTAACTCAATAATAAGACTCAATAAGAATAGTCTTGTTTTTTATATAAAAAAATCCATTTTTCTGGACATGGCTCTGTGCCCGAGTGCTTGTGTGGTATGTATGAGGTCCCCAGTTGGATCTCCATACAGCAAAAACTAAAATCACCGAGTCTAGGAACACTGGCTTAGCTATACACCAGCCTCTCCCTGCTTCCAGAAAGACTTGGCTTCATAATGGATCTTTATTTGCTGAAGACACATCTAGTTTATGTAGACACAGATGGAAAGCCCTGTTTCTATTTATTTGCAGCAGGTAAGAACTCCATCTGGGCTCTCTAAACAAAGCAAAACCTTTCTCCTCCTTAACAGATTGTTCCCGTCCCACCAAAGAACAATACCAATGATTATGACAAACTCTCTGAGTCGTATTTATAGGGCCAGGCACCTGCTGAGCCTCCACACACTGTCTTGCTCACAGTGCAGGGAGATGCTCTTCCCGAGAAGGTCCTGTCTCTGGCTGTACATTATAGTAGGTGTCTCTCTGGGACACGAACTGAGCAACTCTCAGCCACATGGGGGAAAGAGCTGCTATCGGCTTTACATGCTTAACTGCAACTTCAAAGAAGCAGATACTTACTGCAAGAACCAGGGAGAACTCCTGACTTTCACTTGGAACCGAGGGCTTCAGACTCACATACAAAGCAGCTACCAAAAAGAGACAACGTGGTGGGTGGGAACAAGCCTACAGACCCTAGGAAAGCATCAAGAGGCAACCTACTCAGGTAGGGCTCTGGTATGAGTGCCGAGGAAAGAAACATCTTGTGCCTTGTTCTAGGGGGGAAGAAAGTTGCTTGAATCTTTCAGCTTTTATATTCAGGAAAAAAGGCATGGTCCCGAGCATTATCTCTCACTGCTGCCGTCCACTTTTATGGCTCTGCCTTCACTTGTCTCTGAAGAGCAGCGAAGGGCTTTTTGTCAAATTAATGAAGCTTGTGTCCCCATCTTCATGTATGATGTAGTTTTGCTTTGTTTAATTTGGGGCGTTTGGGGGTTTGTTCAATTTGTTTTGTTTTGTATTTGAGATTGTTTTGCTTTATAGCACAGAATGACCTAAAACTTGATATTTAGCCCAGATTGGCTTCAAACTCTCAATCCCCCTGCCTCAGCCTCCTGAATTTTGGCTTTCCAGATATACAAATGGTTCATATCCCAAAGAGAAAAATCTTTTACCATGATTTTCTTTGTTATCCTTGCCTCCAAATTTCCTAAAACAGAAGCTAGAAAGAAATTACCCATCTATTGTCTTTCTTACAAAATTAGGTAGCATAGTATTGCAGCTTTAGAGAAAAAAATTCCAAGAAATTATTATATCATCATTTCTCCATTAATGTCTGGGTAATTAATTTTAAGTTCTATGATTAAAACCCTCTACTATTAAAGAGTAATCTATAGTGTGTAGTGAGGAGTCATAAACTGTTGTCTGAGTTTTCTGTCCTGCCCGGTTTCTGCAGTCATTACGTCCCAAAGAAATCACACAGAGGTCTACATTAATCATAAACTGATTTGGCCTAGTATCTTAGGCTTCTTATTAACTCTTACAACTTATATTAGCCCATTATTCTTATCTGTGTTAGCCACGTGGCTCAGTACCTGATTTGGCGAGGCAGTCACATTTTGCTTCTTCTATGGCCTGGGACAGGACTGCGGACTGGGTCTTCATCCCAGAATCCTCCTGTTCTCATTTGACCTGCCTCTACTTCCTGTCTGGTTGTCCTGCCTATACTTCCTGCCTGGCTACTGGCCAATCAGCATTTATTTAAAATATAATTGGCAGAATATAGACCATAAAATAAACTTCCATGTGTTGGACACCAGACAAATTGGGCCCTCATGTTGGTACGTGTGTGTACACCATGTCCATGTGTGCATGTGCCGCAGTGTGTGTATGAGGAGGCCGGGGACTCAGGTTTTGGTCCTTGCCTTCTACCTTGTTTGAGGCAAGGTTTTTTTTTTTCTCTTTGTGACAGCATACCCAAGGCTAGCTGTACCCCACGCCACCCGACCCACAGGTTTCCAGGGAGTCTCCTTTCTCCACCTCCCATCTCACCTAGAAGTACTGGGCTTACAGACATGGACTGCCATGCCTGACTCTATGGGGTGGAGAAAGGAGACTCTCCTTCCTTAAGAGTCCAGTGTCCCTCTAGGAGATGCCGCTGACTCAAAGGCCAGAAAGTGCAACTCCGTGACCATATATCCTAATGGCATCCTTCCAAAACTGGACCAGTGCTCGGAGACGCATCATTTCATTTGCCAGATCGGTGAGTGATGACTTTGCATCAACTTCAGTCTCGAAACTCATTTGCATAAGGAATGCACATGAGAGGATTTATTTTAAATAGTCTGTAATGGCCCACAGGGTCCATACAGGAATTTCTGTTGTAATTATCTTTTTAAACTTGTTTTTGTGTGCCTGTGGGGATGGGGGGTTGGCACGTGTGCCACAGTGCACATACATTGGTCAGAGGACAACATGTGGGAGTCAGTTCTCTCCTCCCACCATGTGGGTTCTGGGGTTTAAACTCGGGTCATCAGCCTTGGAGACAGGTGCTTTTACCCTTTGAGCCATCCCTCCAGCCTGCAATTTTTATTTTCATAATACTAGTAATCACAGAAAAACCCCACTGTCCTTTGGGGTGAGTGATGTCTTCATACATCCCACTATGCCAGTTGCCAGTTGAAGTCCTCTCATGGGTGACTTGGCTGAAGTGCGAGAGAAACTGAGTTAGTAACCTTCACATTCTGAATGTACACCCCTAATCTGGTCAGCTCTGGGTTGTAGAGACAAAAATGGGAAAGCAAAGAGAACGTGGCGAATGAAAATGAGGAGACATCTCTTAGAAGTGTGCTTCCCTGGAGCTGGAAGCTCAAAATGATCAGTCGGTGTGCACGTGTGCGTGTGTGTGTGTGCATGCGTGTGCGTGTGTGTGCGTGTGTGCATGTGTGTGCGTGTGTGCGCATGTGTGTGTGCGCGCGTGTGTGTGTGCATGTGCATGTGTGCATGCGTGTGCATGTGCGTGTGTGTGCGCGTGTGCGCGTGTGTGTACGTGTGTGTGCGTGCGTGTGTGTGCGTGTGTGTACGTGTGTGTGTGCGTGTGTGTGTGTGTGTGTACGTGTGTGTGCGTGTGTGTGCGTGTGTGCGCGTGTGTGTACGTGTGTGTGCGTGTGCATGCGTGCGTGTGCGTGTGCGCATGTGCGTGTGTGCGTGTGTGTGTGCGTGTGTGTGTGCGCGCCATTTTTATCTATTTGCACATGAATTCAGGTTCCTAGAGAGGCCAGGAGGCAGAGGTATCAGACTCTCCCTGGGACTGGAGTTATAGGCAGTATGATATGAGCTTCCTGACATGGATGCTGGGAATCACACTCAGCTCCTCTGCAAGAACAGAGTGCACACTTAGCCATTAAGGTTATTCTCCAGCATAGATATCGTTTTTTAATTAAGTGATACTCCTGGCATTGGCATCTGTTTTCATAAAGCATTTAGTCATGACCCAGTAGATCCTTGAAGTCCTTGCACTATCTCAGACAATCTGGACAAAATTTAATTCTGCCTTTTTTTGCTTTTTTGTTTGTTTGTTTCTTTTGTTTGTTTTGTTTTGTTTCAGCATCTCTCACTCTGTAGCTGTGGCTGCCCTGAAACTAGCTCTGTAGAAAAGGCTGGTCTCAAACTTAAAAGGATCCTTCTGCCTCTGCTCCCAGAGCAGTCATTGCCTCAATGTAATAAGCTCCTAACACCAAACCCCTTGGTCTTCTTTGTGCTGTGCCCTTCTGAAGTAATAAGGGGGGCGGCGGGGCTGTGTCCCCAACACCCCAGTCGCCTGCCCAGCTAGCTTATGCTCCGAAATAACAACACACAAACTGTATTCTTTTAATCACTGCTTGGCCCATTCTCTTCTAGGCTAATTCTCACATATTAATTTAGCCCATTCCTAATCATCTGTGTGTAGCACCCCAAGGTGCGCTTACCGGGGAGATTCTAGCCTAGTCCATCCTGGGTCCGAGCTTCATCACGTGTGTCTGCCAGGGAGCAGGGCATGGCGTCTCTGCTGAGGCGTCTGCTCCGGAGAGCAGAGCTGTCGAGACTCTGAGCTCACTTCCTCTTCCTCCCAGCATTTTGTTCTGTTTACTCCTCCCACCTATCCTCTAACCAATAAAATGGGCCAGGGCAGTGCCTTTATTAGCCAATGACCTTCCTCCATCACCCTTCTCCATTGCCATGGCAGCTCGCTGCTGCTAAGGAGACCAAGGCCATAAGGCTGACCCCCTCGCACGTCAGCAGCCACTGTTTCCTCCCCACAAGCTGCCTCCCTACTGTTCACTAGTTCTATTACCATTGTTACTCACCTGTGGCCATTATGGAAGGTTGTTCAGCAACCCCACAGCCAGGTTAAAAATGCAATTTTTAATGAATGTCGTCTACTTGATGATGTGGACATCAGTTGTGAGTGACAGTTGAGTCTTTAGGCATTCTCAAGAATTCTTGACTTTAGATTCTACAAATACAGTTCTCCCCACCCTGTGCTGCCCCCTCATAATGTGTCCAGGGATGACCTTGAACTTCTGACCCTCCTGCTTCTACTTCCCAAGTGCTGGGATGACAGGCGTGGGCCACCATGCCCAGCTTGATGCCTAAACTTCTGTGCTTAGACATTCACATCTCCAGAAACTGCAGTGGAATTATCTGCAATACCAGCTCTCTAGCGAGGAGTGAAGCAAAATGAAGGAGGAGGGTGGGGCTATTTTTAAAAGAGAGCATGAGTGTGTATACACACACACACACATACACACACACATACACACACATATACACACACCACACACACATACACACACACACACATACACACACACGAACAGAACAGAGAAAATGGCACGAGAGGCTGATGGGTAGGAAGGAAACAGGGCAGAAAGGGCAGCTAGACCTCTTTGAATGTACTTTGCTTACTGTCCCATCGCTGGGCCACTGATGTTTTCTGTAAGTATTGTTGCGTTGAGTGTATCACTCTGAATCCAGCTTCAGCTAATGGAAAGTCTAAGAAGTGGAACTTTTTAGAGGTCCCTCAGCCACCAGTTACCCTCCCCTGTGACTGGGATTTGGTGATAAGTTGTCTCAGCTCCTTTCACCATGTGAGGCCGCTGCTGTCCCCCACTGTGAAGGATGCAGCCCTCACCAGATATTGGATGCCAGAGAGTGCAGATGCAAGCTGAGGAGGATTGTGGTCCCCTTTTAGCTTGAAATGTAGCCAGTGTTCAGTTTGCATGTGTGAGGGTGTGTGTGCATGTATGTATGTCTGTATGTAGAAAATGAGGCATTCCAGGATGTCCCTGTTGGTCTGAGAGTGTGGCTCAGGTGAAGTACATGTTGCCACTCCGGTAATTTCTGGACCCTGAGCTCTACTGACCCAAGTTACAAAACCAGAAAGGAAGATGTTTTCCTTGGCAGGTCTTTCATACAAAGAGTTTAATCCTCTGTTGCTCGCTTCTTGGCCAACTAGACCCAGTTTTAGGCATCTGGTAGTATACATCCAGATGTGGCGATGGTCAGAGTGAAGGGGCTACTTCAGAATCCCCACATTGCTATCTAATGGAAATGATTAGTAATCTGTGTTTGTTTTTTTCAAGCTTATCGTGTGTGTGTGTGTGTGTGTGTGTGTGTGTGTGTGATGACCATTTGTGAGCTGAGAGCCAAAGCCATAACCAACAGATATGCCCCAACCACACAGGTGCCTTTCCCCAGCCTGAGGAAGGCCCTAGGAGCAATGAGAAAAGCCCACAGAAACCCGAGACAAGAAGAGGAGCCCAGAAACAGACCTCAGGTAATGTGTTCCTTCTCTAAGTGTGTGATCCAGTCATCTTTAGGTGCCCGGAGCTGAGGGAAACCTGAATGAATTATCGTATTTAGAGCCAAGGAGGCACCTGCTTGAATCTGCATATCTGATTTCAATACTACAGTCTGTACGCCTTTTCTTTCTCTGTGGTGCAGGCGATCAAGCCCAGGGCTCTGTGCATAGCACTATACAACAGAGCCATGCCCCACCCTTGCCTTTCAGTGTGTGTGTGTGTGTGTGTGTGTGTGTGTGTGTGTGTACTAGAAATCTCCTTCTAGTGCTCTTCATCATAGTTTTTGTGATGAATGCCTATGTCTCACTCCGAGCTTTGGGTTAGACCACCTGGCCAGTTAGTTCTGGGGATCCCCATGCTCCCACCTCCTAGCACTGGGGTAACAGGCCTGCACAAGTGTGCACTGCCAGGCCCAGTTTTTCATGGGTTCTCAACTCTGAACCCAGATTCCCATGTTTTCCTAGCCAACATTTGACTCTTGATCCGTCTCCCCAGCCCTCAGCTTCTCAGGAGCTGGGATGGCAAGCAAGCCTCTCCACACCTGGCTGTTTTGTTTTCTCAGCACTCAGCATGCCTTTGAATGTCTCTTTACTCATTCTACAATGAGAAGCAAAGTATTTTTTTCTCACAAAAGTTCTATTACAAAATAATTTTTATTAGAATAAAGTAAACGCCTCTCTCTCTCTCTCTCAAAATTCTAATTGGGGAAGATGCATTTGCTTGAAAATATTTCAGTCTGTGTCCATGTTGAACAATTAGACTGAGCACCGGTCAGGGTAAAGATGAGGCTGGTTTACAGTGGTTCTAGTGATTGTTCTTGAGGCAGGGGATGACCTCACAAACACAAGTGAATGGACTCTCTTTCCAACAAAGAAATTTTTTTTTAAGTTTTTTGAGACAGAGTTTCTCTGTGTAGCCCTGGCTGTCCTGGAACTCACTCTGTAGACCAGGCTGGCCTTGAACTCAGAGATCCACCTGCCTCTGCCTCCCAAGTGCTGGGATTAAAGGCATGTGCCACTACCACCCGGCCTTCACAACTTTTAAACCAATATTTTATTGCTGAGAATTTCATACAGTGTATTTTGGTCATATTCATTCTCTCCCTCCAGCTCCTCCTAGATCAACTCCCGCCTCCCTGTGCACCCTCAACTTCATTCCTCTTGTTTTGCTTTCTATTAGCCACCAAGTTCAGTTTCTGCTGCCCACGTACACCTGGGGGTACATACACTGGAGCTTGGCTGACTTACTAAGGGCCACACTTGCCACACTCTTAAAGAAAACTGGCCCTGGGGGATGACTCTGCCCCCCCCCCCAGGTCATCCACTAGCCGTCATTGCTGAGTTAAAGGGAAGGGCTTCAGACTCTCTCCACCTCCATTCTAGAATGTTGATTGGCTTGGTCTTGGGCAGGTCTTGTGCTGGCAGCCACAGCTCACGAGTGCAGCTGTCCTGTCACATCCAGAAGACGCTGTGTCACTGGGTTATCCCTGTTCCCTGGTTCTTACAATCTTTCTGCACCCTTTTTCAAGACCAGACCTGATTCTTGCTGGGCTGTGATATGGATGCTCCATTTGTGATTGAGCACACCGCGGCACTTGTTCTCTGCAGCTTAACCTGCTGGGAGCGTCCTCATTAACCACCATCCACAGCGTAAAGAAACCTCTCTGATGAGATCCTTTTTTGTGTGCATATGAGAGTTTTGCCTGCTTGTATGTCTATGCACAACGTGCAAGTCTGGTGCCCATGGAAGGTGTTGGAGCCCTTGAGACCAGAGTAGTAGACAGTTGTGAGCTGCCATGGGCTGCTGGAAATCAAACCCAAGTCCTCTGGAAGAGCAGCCAGTGCTCTTAACCACTGAGCCATGATGCTCCCTTAATAAACCTTTAAAAAACAAATTCTGAACTAATCCCATGAGAGGCTTCAGTCAGACTGCAGGCAGGGAGCCCCTTTCCCTCTTCCTATGCCTTAACATTCTCTGACTTTTATCCCCATTTTACTGCCGAGATGCTAATCCAGGAAAGCAAGGGAAGAGAGCTTGTGTTTACTCAATAATAAGTTAGGAAAAAACACTGAAGACAGTATCTTTTTAGTTCACAAATTGTCTGCAACGGGCAAATCTCACTCCCAGCCTTACTGGGTTATAATCGCCTAGGAGATCGGTGGTGGACAGCTCTGAGTCTGTCACTGTGTTCCCAGAGAGTGTGAAGAGGGCAGACAAGATCCACCTAGATTGTGGGGTGACACTGTCCCACGGGTGTGGGGTTTCTCCTCTGGAGAAAGCTGAGAAGTTCTGACCTTCTCCCCTCTGGTTTCTTCATGATGTGGACTTCTGGATCAGATCCGCCACGCCCGCATTGCAGCGATGAGTCCAAAGAAACATCCTCCCTCTTAAGTTTGTGTCCGCCATTCTGTCATAGTGAGAGAGGTAACAAGACTCACGGTGGGCCCTACAACTCCCTCTGGAGCCATAAACTACTCCTGACCACTAACTAGCTGCCTGGGCTGGCTGGTTTTGGGTGTCACCTTGACAAAAGCGACAGTCATCAGAGGAAGGAGCCTCAGATGAGGAAATGCCACCATGAGATCCAGCTGTAAGGCATTTTCTCAATTAGTGATCATTGGGAGAAGGCCCAGCCCATGGTGGGTGGTGCCATGGGAAGGTGGGCTGAGCAAGCCATGGGAAGCAAGCCAGTAAGCAGCTCCCTTCCGTGGCCTCTGCATCTGCTCCTGCTTCCAGATCCTTCCTTGTCTGAGTTCCTGTCCTGGCTTCCTTCAGTGATGAACAGCAATGTTGAAGTGTAAAACCATTTCCTCCCCTACTTGCCTTTTGGATATAGTGTTTGATCACAGCAATAGAAACACTGAGAACCTGCCTAAGAGAATTTGATTGAAATAACACACAAAGGGCCAGGTTGTGGTGGCACACGCCTTTAATCCCAGCACTTGGGAGGCAGAGGCAGGAGGATCTCTGTGAGTTCGAGGCCAGCCTGGTCTACAAGAGCTAGTTCCAGGATAGGCTTCAAAGCTACAGAGAAACCTTGTCTCGAAAACAAACAAACAAACAAACAAAAAAAAAAGATGGGCTGGAGAGAAGTTCAGAGCATTGACTGTTCTTCCAGAGGTCCTGAGTTCAATTCCCAGTAACCACATGGTGGCTCACAACCATCTGTAATGAGATCTGGTGCCCTCTTCTGGCCTGTAGGCATACATGCAGGAAGAATACTCTATACATAATAAATAAATAAATCTTAAAAAAAAAAGAAAAAAAAGAAAAGAAATAACACAAAGGTTTTTACAAAATTAGGAGTCTGAGCTGCTCTGACCCCGGTCTCTCACTGCCATCCCCTCACTGGCTCTGCAGATGGTCTAGACTACCAACACCCCCAAGCTCTGAGTCACTTGATGCTTCAGGTGATGGCTGTCTTGATGGAGAATGTGGGAGCAGAAAGCAGTAACGAGTGGTCTGGGGACTTAGTTCAGTTATGGCGTCATTGTCCAGCATGCAGGAGGCCTTAGGTTCGACCCCAGCCTCTGATGCGAAGTGCAGATAAGCAAGCAATAATGGCAGCTGGATAAAACTTTAAAAATTACCGTTTTCCGACTGATTTCAAGTTAATCATATACAGTTTTGCCTTCTTGTTTCTCTAGAAGAAACCTACTCGTCAACCCCATGTGACCAGCAGCGTGTTTCTTCTGATCAGGTACGTGGTGTATGTGGTTCACAGACACACGTGAGGTGTTAATCTTTCCTGTCAGTGGGGTCTGCTGAGAGTGGGCCGGGCACAATTCTAGAAAGGAAAGCACAGGGAAGAAGCTATTGGGTAATCTGAAGAAAGTTCTAGCAACTGGTCTTTGTGCTTTCGTGAAGATATGATGACCCCCTCGTTGCTGCTGTTTGTTTGCCCTCTGATTCATTCAGAGAACTTGGGGCAGTTTCTAGAAACTCACGCAGTACAAAAAAGATATGCAAGTCGGAGAGGGAGAGGAGTCAGAGGGAAGGGAAGGATTCCCAGCCTCCTCCTCGTCATGGTCTGCCTGGTGACCTTTAAGGGCCTATCTAAATTGCTTTGTTTCTTTGACACCATGTTAACTGGAAGAGTTTCTAGCAACGTAAAAAGATGAAGGTGAAATAAAATTCCCGTCTTGGCATTTCCCAACCTGACATCCCTTGAAATGCTGCCAGGAGGGGGTCACCGACGTCTGAATTGCTACGTTGGGCCCCTCAGTTCTCCAGTTTCTTTGCCCCTTCCTTCTTCGTCTGATCTCCGCACAGTACTCAGAGGGATCCTGATTGGTGGCACCGGACACGCCCCTCATCCCCCACTGCTCAATCCACCCCATCCCCCACCCACTTTCTTTACTTGCCTCCTGCTTCCTCCTCAAAAGCACTAGCAGGCTTTGGCCCCCTCAGATGTCCTCAGACATGTTGGCAGAGCCCATGTCTCTTCCCTGCCCTCACTCTCACCTCTGACTTCCGGTCTGAAGCACAGTGTTCACCCCCCATCTGCGTTCCTAGAGGTCTCCTTCACACACACGTCTTCAGTACCTGATGCAATTGTCTCTCAGTTTCCACTCCATGGAGGCCCTAAGAGGCCAGACACTAGGCTCATTTTGTTCTGTGCCCTGAGTCCTCTAGGACACATCCTAGCATGTAGTAAGTGTTTAATAATTTATTGAATGATGGGCAGTAAACCCATTGTCCTTAATGTACAGTGTGGGCCATGTTCGACAGCAGTGTCCTATAGGACATGGGAGGCTCAGTGTGCAGACAGAATACCGCCCCAATGATGTTGTACTTGGTATAACATGATTCAGCCTCTTCCTTGACATGTTTTTATCTTCTAGTCTAAGCCACTATGCTTTTCCTTGGAAATTCCAAAAGCCATGCCATGGATGATAAGCATGGCTCCAAACAGAAGCTCACAGGTGACATCAGCCACACCTGCACCCAGCAGCCCACCACAGGTGACACCTGCCACACCTGCACCCAGCAGCCCACCACAGGTGACATCAGCCACACCTGCATCCAGCAGCCCACCACAGGTGACAACAGCCACACCTGCATCCAGTAGCCCACCACAGGTGACAACAGCCACACCTGCATCCAGTAGCCCACCACAGGTGACAACAGCCACACCTGCACCCAGCAGCTCACCACAGGTGACAACAGCCACACCTGCATCCAGCAGCCCACCACAGGTGACAACAGCCACACCTGCATCCAGCAGCCCACCACAGGTGACAACAGCCACACCTGCATCCAGTAGCCCACCACAGGTGACATCAGCCACACCTGCATCCAGTAGCCCACCACAGGTGACATCAGCCATACCTACATCCAGCAGCCCACCACAGATGACATCAGCCACACCTACATCCAGCAGCCCACCACAGGTAACACCTGCCACACCTACATCCAGTAGCCCACCACAGGTGACAACAGCCACACCTGCATCCAGTAGCCCACCACAGGTGACATCAGCCACACCTGCACCCAGCAGCCCACCACAGGTGACATCAGTCACACCTGCACCCAGCAGCTCACCACAGGTGACATCAGCCACACCTGCACCCAGCAGCCCACCACAGGTGACATCAGCCACACCTGCATCCAGCAGCCCACCACAGGTGACATCAGTCACACCTGCACCCAGCAGCTCACCACAGGTGACAACAGCCACACCTGCATCCAGCAGCCCACCACAGGTGACAACAGCCACACCTGCATCCAGCAGCCCACCACAGGTGACAACAGCCACACCTGCATCCAGTAGCCCACCACAGGTGACAACAGCCACATCTGCATCCAGTAGCCCACCACAGATGACATCAGCCACACCTACATCCAGCAGCCCACCACAGGTAACACCTGCCACACCTACATCCAGTAGCCCACCACAGGTGACACCTGCCACACCTACATCCAGTAGCCCACCACAGGTGACAACAGCCACACCTGTACCCAGTAGCTCTCCACGTGTGACACCAGCCACACCTGTGTCCAGCAGCCCACCACAGGTAACACCTGCCACACCCATATCAAACAGGTCACCATGGCCTGTCGTGACAGAGGTCACCAGGCCGGAATCCACTATTCCTGCTGGAAGATCTTTGGCAGACATCACTTCAAGCCCAAAGGAAGATTCTCACTCAGAAGTTCTCTCCTCTCACCCTCAAACATCATTTCCGAGTACAGCCTATTGGGTAAGTCTGGAAAACAGAAGGCAACTGGGTAGCTTCATGATCCTGGAAGGCACTTGCAGGCCTGGGGATGTAGCTCAGTGGCAAAACATTGGCCTAGCATGAAAAGAGCCCATGTGCCCTTCTCTTATGTCATCTCCAGAGTCATGATTTTTAATTGCGTTTTTAATGGCCACCCTGTTACCTCCCAGGAGAACTGTATACTAAAAGCAAAAATGAAACAAGTCTAACCAGCGGGTTAAGTGTCCATTGCCCATTGCAGCACTTGAGGGCTCATTCCTCTGTAGGACTCACATATCCACAGTGTGTGTGTGTGTGTGTGTGTGCGCGCGCGCGTGCGCATGCATGCACACGCAACCGTGTGAAGAACTTCTGCTAGCCACCTGCTGTATCAGAGGTGCTAGGGAAAGGGTAAAGCCACTGAGACAAGGTGACTGACAAGGATTCCATTCCCCACATTTGCATTTAAAATGTCCGGCCCGGTTTACACGCAGCCTGACACTTTACTGCTAAAACGTCCCTCTTGCTCTGACCTGCTTCACGTGGTGTTGGCAGCTAGATGCTCCCTCTTCTCCCAGCACTGTCTCCCACTGGGGAAGGACCAGCCTGCGAGAGCTTAAACCAAAAACGGGGTTTGGTTCCTTCCCTTAAACAAAGAGAAGCCAGAAATGTAGACCGAATATCCAGAAGTGTTTACAGATAAATTACCAGAACTATTAAGAGAATTTAGCAAGATTGCCCAAGTCCAGATATGTGTTAAAACTAAGTGTTCATCAGTGGAGAAAATTAAATACAGCCAAGTGAGGAAACAGATCCCTGTAATTCCAGTGCTCAGGAGGCTGAGACTGGAGGATTGCAGAATTAAGTTCAGCCTGGCCTACATGAATGTTAAGGTGTACCATGCGGCCCATCTGGGTTCTAAAATACCACATGAGGTTTGTGTCCCCACAGCTGCCGGTAGCTAGGATAGCATCCAGGAAGCCTAACCTCACTGGGCCCTGGGGTGGCAGCTACAGTTCACCCATACATACCTTCATCCGTTCCTGTTGGTACCTCAGTTGTCAAAGCCATGATACAGTTCTAAAAGCAACCTCTCCCACAAAGTCAGGTGTGGCCTATTAATGTGCCCCACGAGGATGGTGTGCTGGCCGGTCTTGTGTCAACTCGACACAAGCTAGAGTCATCTGAAAGGAGAGAACCTCAATTGAGAAAATGCCTCCATAAGATCCGTTGTAAAGCATTTTCTGAGTTAGTGACTGATGAAGGAGGCCCTAGCCCACTGTGAGTGGGGCCGCCCATGGGCTGGTGGTCCTGGGTTCTATAAGAAAACAGGCAGAGGAAGCCATGGGAGCAAGCCAGTGAGCAGCACCCCTCCACAGCCTCTGCATCAGCTCCTGCCTCCACACTCCTGCCCTGTTGGAGTTCTGATCCTCCCTACTTAACCCAGCGTCTACAGAGCGCAGTAGGGCCTTGGTAAGCGTCTCTTGACAATGTGTGTGATAAGTGGAGTGTACTTCAGAACCGAAACAAGCAGTTGGGTTTACATGGAAATCGGTAGCATTTGGACTTCAAGCACAGCTTTGTAAGCTAGGGCCTTGCTCTGTTTGCTCCGTTTGTCCAGGGAAACGTTCGGTACCTCACCTCCTGCTAAAACAGTATTCTGAAGGTTTCCCCCTTTGGAACATGAATTCTTTCCCAGGGTGGAAGCTTGAACTTGGGACCTTGTTCTTGCTAGAAAAGCTCTCTATGAACTCTTTCCTGTGATCTCACCAGCAACCTCTTCTGCCTTTATATTCATTCTATAAAATTCTTATTCATCTTCTTTCATGTATGAAGGAAGTGAAAATCAATTCCACCCCACTTGCTTCTGAAACTAACAGCCCTTTTGGAGCCTGTGATTCATGGAATTTAGAAGGTCAGCTTTGTAGGAGGTCAGCTTTGTTGTGGCCATTAACTTAGTATACTAAACTCCAAATGCATGATAAATCTGTATTAAGTAATTTTAACAAAATATTATCTTTTTTTTTTTTTTTTTTGGTTTTTCAAGACAGGGTTTCTCTGTGTAACTTTGGAGCCTGACCTGGAACTCACTCGTAGATCAGGCTGACCTTGAACTCACAGAGTTCCGCCTTCCTCTGCCTCCTGAATGCTGGGATTAAAGTTGTGCACCACCACTGCCCAGCACAAAATATTATCTTTCAATTTTTTACATTTATTTAGTTGTGTATATGGAACTGGGGATGTTCACACGCTACATTACTCACATGGAGGTCAGAGAACAACTTGGAGGAATCAGTCTGTCCATCCACCATGTGGGTTCCAGGGATCAAACAGGAGTCCTTCAGTCTTAGCGATAAGTGCCATTGCCTACTGAGCATCTCTCCAGCCTGACAAAGTCTTTTCTTCCCAATAGGTCACAGATCAGACAGCAGAGAAGTTGGTCCCAGAAATACCTGCTTTTCAAGCACACAGTGAACTCCAGAAAGCTTATGACATCCTCCAGAGAGTGAGAAACTCCCCTCCGACATCTCCTACACCAGCTCAGGTATTCACAAACGGGGAGGCAGCAGGAAGGGAAGGAAGGAGGTGGATACTGTGCCATCTGCAGAACTGGGCGTCACAAAAGTACTTGGTGGAGACGGAGCTGATTATCAGCAAATACAATTGCGCCGTGAAGTCTGAAATGAATGCATTGACTAGCGATGGTATTCTCAGAGTACTGATTGGGGTACTTCATTTTAATTCGTTTGTTAGGAGAAATCATGCAGCTGAGATAGATCTACCGCTTGCCGTAGATACAATGGAATGGTCTTGGGACAGGCAGCACAATCAGAATGCTCCCGACCTTGCAGTTTTCTGCATCACTTCCTCATAATTGGTCAGGCTGCTTCTTATGCATAAAAAGGTGGAAGCATAAGAAACTCAACTTTCTCTTTTCTTTGTTTTTTTACACTTGTAAATACATGACAAGCGTTTTGGTTGTTTGGTTGTTTGGTTTAGTTCTTTGGTTTGTTTGTTTTTACTTTTTCGATTTTGAAATAGGGTCTCAGGTATCCCAGGTTTGTCTCAAACCTGATGTGTAGCCTAAGATAGCCTTAAACTGTTGATCCTCCTGCCTCTACCACCCCAGTTCCCATATAACAGAGATGCACCCCCACCCAGTTTATGAGGTGCTGAGGCTCAAGCCTAGGGCTTCACGTGTTCTTAAAAAACACTTTACCAAGTGAGCCACATCACTGTTCTGTCTGAATTTTTCAATTACAGAAGCAATACATTCTTTGGAAGAAAATGAAAACAGAGCAAAGGCAATCATGAGGAAACAACCCCCAGACACCCATTTGCCCTTGCAAATCTCTTTAGCAAGATGTGACCATTGTTCCCTTTGCCCTCAATATATATGATGCTTCCTAAGTCACAAGCAGATATGAACCCTTCCCCTTTATTCCTTCTCAGAATAGCTTTTTGTCTTCATCCATCTTGTTTGCTCTTCACCTTGATTCATTGATCTTGGTATTAGAGGCTTTTATTACTTTTTTAAAGTGTTTTTTATTGATTTTTATTGAGCCCTACATTTTTCTCTGCTCCTCTCCCTACCCCTCCCTTCCCCTTTAACCCTCCCCCAAGATCCCCATGCTCCCAATTTACTTAGAAGATCTTGTCTTTTTCTACTTCCCATGTAGATTAGATCTATGTATGTCTCTCTTAGGGTCCTCACTGATGTCTAGGTTCTCTGGGATTGTGGTTTGTAGGCTGGCTTTCTTTGCTTTATGTTTAAAAACCACCTATGAGTGAGTACATGTGATAATTGTCTTTCTGGGTCTGGGTTACCTCAGCCAAAATGATGTTTTCTAGCTCCATTTATTTTCCTGCAAAATTCAAGCTGTTGTTATTTTTTTCTACTGTGTAGTACTCCATTGTGTAAATGTACCACATTTTCCTTATCCATTCTTCAGTTGAGGGGCATTTAGGTTGTTTCCAGGTTCTGGCTATGACAAACAATGCTGCTATGAACATAGTTGAGCACATGTCCTTGTGGCACAATTGAGCATCCTTTGGATATATACCCAAAAGTGGTATTACTGGGTCTTAAGGAAGGTTGTTTCCTAATTTTCTGAGAAATCGCCACACTGATATCCAGAGGGGCTGTATCAGTTTGCACTCCCACAAGCAATGCAGGAGTGTTCCCTTTACCCCACAACCTCTCCAGCATAAGTTGTCATCCGTGTTTTTGATCTTGGCCATTCTTACAGGTGTAAAATAGAATCTCAGAGTTGTTTTGATTTGCATTTCTCTGATGACTAAGGATGCTGAGCATTTCCTTAAGTGTCTTTCAGCCACTTTAGATTCCTCTGTGGGGAGTTCTCTGTTTAGGTCTGTACTCCATTTTTTATTGGATTATTTGTTCTTTTGATGACCAATTTCTTGAGTTCTTTGTATATTTTGGAGATCAGACCTCTATCTGATGTGGGGTTAGTGAAGATCTTTTCCCATTCTGTAGGCTGCCATTTTGTCTTGTTGACCATGTCCTTTGCTTTACAGAAACTTTTTAGTTTCAGGATGTCCCATTTATTGATTGTTTCTCTCAGTGTCTGTGCTGTTGGGGTTATATTTAGGAAGTGGTCTCCAGTGCCAATGCGTTCAAGTGTATTTTCCACTTTCTCTTCTATAAGGTTCATTGTGGCTGGCTTTATGCTGAGGTCTTTGATCCATTTGGACTTGAGTTTTATGCATGGTGATAGATATGGGTCTATTTTCATTCTTCTACATGTTAATATCCAGTTATGCCAGCACCATTTGTTAAATATGCTTTCTTTTTTTCCATTTGATATTTTTTGCTTCTTTGTCAAAAATCAGGTGTTCAAAGGTGTGTGGATTAATATCTGGGTCTTCAATTCGGATCCATTGGTCCTCCTGTCTGTTCTTATGCCAATATCAGGCCGTTTTCTGTACTGTAGCTCTGTAGTAGGGCTTTTATTATTAAGAGTAACTATTGTAGTTGATTGGTTTTCACTCTTTGGCTCTTTGCTCTTTGGTGGCCCACCACCTAGCTCCCACACAGACGAATTTTTTCTTACTTATGAATGCCCGGCCTTTGCTTTGCTTGTTTCTAGCCAGTTTTTCTTACGTTATCCCATCTATCTTTTGTCTCCGGGCTTTTATCTTTCTCTATCTTTACTTCTTACTCCATGACTGGCTATGTTGCTGAGTGGCTGGCCCCTGATGTCCTCTCTCCTTCTTTTCTTGCTTCCCTATCTCTCTCCCAGATTTCTCCTTCTATTTGTCCTCTCTACCTGCAAGCCCCACCTATCCTTCCTCCTGCCTTGCTATTGGCTGTTCAGCATTTTATTAGACTATTAGGTGTATTAGACAGGCAAAGTAACACAGCTTCACAGAGTTAAATAAAGACAACATAAAAGAATGCAACCCATCTTTGCATCATTAAACAAATACTCCACAGCATAAACAAAGGTAATGCATCTTAAAATAATATTCCACAGCAAACTGTTGTTAACCATACTTCAAATATTTTGTGCCAGTGTCTTATTTTTAAATTTTGGAATGTGTTTGATTTTTTGTTTGTTTCTTTGTTTGCTTGTTTTGAGACAGGGTTTCTCTGTATAGTCCTGGCTGTCCTGGAACTCACTCTGTAGATCAGGCTGGCCTCAAACTCACAGAGATCCACTTGCCTCTGCCTCCTGAGTGCTGGGATTAAAGATGTGCTCCACCACTGCCCAACTGGTGCCTTTGATTTTTACAGACGCTTTTAATAAATATAACTTTGAAAGGAAATAGCATCTCAAAGTAAAAATAATAGCACCTGTGTGGGTATCCAGTAACCATCCAGTCAAACTTGCCTAGCATTTCCTTTTGGTAGTTAGTTGACTGGTCTTACTATGCCACCTGAGCTGGCTTTAAACTTACTTTCAATCCCCCTGTCTCTGCCTCCTGGGTGCTAGGATTAATAGCATGCATGACCGCATTTGGCAGGCTAGTCTTTCTTACTCTTGCATAAAAGAGAAATGGTGTTTTCTCTTGTGTTTAGAACTGTTTTTTAGGTATCTGGAAACTTGATACGGCTGTCCGTGCCTTCACACAGAGCCCTCCTACTCAGCATTTGGCCAGGCATTGCTCTTTTCCCAAGCACGCCTCTTTTAGTTGATTCTGTTCACTTAAACAGCTTGTCTACTTAACGCTCCAAGTTCCTTAGGATAACATTTTTTTTTATTTATTTTTTATTTTTTTTTTTTTTTATTTTTTTTTTTTTTGATTTTTCAAGACAGGGTTTCTCCGTAGCTTTTGGTTCCTGTCCTGGAACTAGCTCTTGTAGACCAGGCTGGCCTCGAACTCACAGAGATCCGCCTGCCTCTGCCTCCCGAGTGCTGGGATTAAAGGCGTGCGCCACCACCGCCCGGCTCCTTAGGATAACATTAAGCACAATCCTCCCCCATAGGTGGTATGGAATTGTATATTTTTCTTGCCCGCCAAATGGTGATGTTTCTTCTGATAAAATACCTTTGAACTATATAATATCAATAATGGATATTGATGCGGTGCTGTGGAATATCTCAGTTGGTAAAGTACCTGTACGCAAGCTTGAGAACCTAAATACACATCTGCAGCACCTACGTCAAAGCCAGATGTGGCCCTGCATGTCTGGAAACCTACTAATGGAGAGGTGGAAACAGACAGATCCCTAGAGTTTGCTGACAGCTAAGCTAGCCGGTTGGTAAGACCTCCATTCAATGAGAGACCCTGTCTCAAAAAACATGGTGAAGAGCAACTGACAAAGACACGTGACATCAATATGGTCTCCAGATGCACATTCACCCACGTGAATATGTGCACGCAACATACATACATCTATACATATACGAAGAGAAGGAGAGAGGAGGGGGAGGGAGAGAATATTGAGCTGCTTATAAGAAGGCAAGAATAAATTTAAAACAGTCACGAGTTACACGCATCTCCTTTCTGATGTCCCTAGGTCAGCGTGGCCAATTTGCTCATCCACCTGAGTGAGCAGTTGCTGCTGATGATCCCGTTTCAGAACAATGACAGTAGGAACTTCAAAACTCCCACAAGCCCCTTACAGGCTCTCGGAAGCACAATAACAACCACAGAAGGAAGTCAGCAGGTTCTTCTGCCAGACACAGAGCAGGTGAGGGTGCTGCATGCAGGTGGCCCACTCTGCCAGGAGCTTTGACCTTAGCAGCCAGCCACATAGCCTCTCCCCAGTCTCCAGAAGAGACTCTACTAAAGAAACTACTGAGTCTTCTCCGGTCTCTTTTTCCACCCCACCAGTGCAGAGGCTACACTATGTTCACTTCATAATCAAGTGAAACAGACTTAGTAACGCATATTATAAACCCTTCATGAGACAGCTCTTAGGAAAATGCAAGCTAGAACTAAGAAGCTGAATATAGTGTTTTCCCAGCACTAGGGAGCCTGAGATGGGGGGGGTAGCAAGTTCAAGGCCAGCCTGGGATGCATAGCAAGACCTTGTTGGAAGGTGAGGGAATAGGAAGGAAGGAAAGGAGAAAGGAAGGGAGGGAGAGAGGGAGGGAGGGAGGGAGAGAGGGAGGGAGGGAAGGAAGGAAGGAAGGAAGGAAAAGAGCAATAACAATTTACACCAAAAACTATGGGTAAGCCAGGTATGGTGGCACATGTCTGTGATTGCAGCACTCAAGAGGCAGATGGTCGTGAGGTTATATTATATATTAAGGTTATCCTTGGCAGCACACTGAGTTTGAGGCCAGCCTGAGACTCTTAAATCAACGTCAGAGAGAAATGATGGTCAGTAATAAGTATTAGCAAGGATGCTGAGAAATCGTAATTGTTGTAAATTGTTGTATTGGGAGACAAAGCAGCAGCCCCTCAAAGTGTTAGAAACAGGTCTGGCTGCATCTCCTAGCAATTCTGGTCTTTCGGTTTATATATAGGAGAGAATTGAAAAAGCTGATCCACATAAAGACGTGTTCAAAAGAGGGTTTTTCAAACAGAAAAAGAGTACAAAGTGGAAGCAGTTCCACTGTGTGTGATCTAAGGGGTGGATAAAATACATACAGCTTGCTCACACACGGACACACGATACAGCATGGGGAACCCTCAGAAGCACCACGCCCAGGACAGGCCATCTATTGTAATAGATGGGAAATGTCCAGAAGCTTCAGGTCTGTGGAAGCCTGAGTGGGCCAAGTTATTTCGAGGGGATGAATTTAAAAGCCAGATTGTGGTATTGGTACATATGGAGATGTAAACTCATATACTCCGAGTGGGTGAGCTCTACCACATTTGGGAATTTGATCTCAATGGAGCTGGTTTTAAATACTCATCATGTTGCTGAGGCTGCAGCTCAGCTGGTAAGGTGCTTGCTTTCCTGCAAGAAGCCCCGTGCTCCATCCGCAGCACCCCAGAGACTGAGCGTACACAGCATTTGGGATTGAGGCGGGAGGATCAGAAACACTAAGTGATCTTTGGCTACAGAGTTCGTTCAAGGTCAGCCTGGGATACAGGACACCTTGTCATTCCACCCCACAAAGAGCACCTAACATGAGAACATTGATGGAAACTCATATCAGGGGCAGGAACAGAAGTTCCTCACAGGGCTGATTAACCGGTTAGAACTTCCGTGATCATGGGAAGTTTGGAATGGTTCAAGTTCAGAACCAAGTTATCTTGGGCCATCATTCGCTGTCTTAATAACCATTTGTTGTCGGTATGTGATCTGGCCTCTGTGTGATCATTGGGTAAATCCTTTGAAATGTCCAAACAGACACCTAGCTCCCAGTAACCGAAAACCTTAGAATGCTATCAGACAGCAGCTGAGGCCTATAGAATAGAGTCCCCCAATCTCTTTAACCCATCTACCTAATGATTCCACCAATGTATTCAAAAACTCCTTCATTTAAGACTTTGTTCTGTCACTATAAAAACTTCACCCAACTGTCACCACGATGGGACATGGAATTTGGGTGACCTGAATTTGAGTCCAGGACCTTGGTCACTCAATCCAGGATGAACTCTCTTATCTGCTTTGAGGTAAGAACTGTTTCTTTCATCAATATGGGGATATATATATACATTTCACATTATTATATTATCATATATTATAATATAATATATATTGTTTATATAAACACACACACACATATTTCCTTGGCTGGCCCTCTCGGGTGATGCAAAGTTGTTAGTATTACTCTAAACACTTCTATGACGTTCCAAAGTCCACATCTGTGCTGTTCCCTTTCTTAACACCACTATCAAAATCCCTGTTCCCTTTGTAAGCCTATCAGAACCACTTCAGTGACAGTCCGCAGGTCACAAGGACTCTCACTCTAACTGCAGGTTGAGGACATGCTGGAGATGTCCTTGATGGCCCTGGGAGAGATCCACAAAGCATTTTCCCAACAGAGCCTGCCTCTGGAGTCGGCAGTGACCTTGACCTCTCCTGTGGCTACCGTGGTGTTGAGCAGGTTAGCAGGCTGGAGAACTGGGGAAGTTTCATTTTGGTTTTGACTTTTAGACAGCATCCAGGAACTGACTGTCATTTCAATTCTTGCAGCCACAATGTATCATCTTTGCCCCTGAGCACTTATACTCTGGGTGGCCCCGCACCCTTGAGGCTAGGTTTTCCATCCGCAGAAGCACTGAAAGAACTCTTGAATAAATACACAGGAGTGAACCTTCAAGTGAGTATGAACTTGGAGATGGGAATGAAGATGGTATATGATGGCTGTGTGGGAATGTAGGGAGAGAGAACACACACCAGCTGAGCCACATAAAGAAACTGTGGGCATGGGCTGGAGAGATGGCTCAGTGGTTAAGAACACTGGCTGCTCTTCCAGAGGTCATGAGTTCAATTCCCAGCAACCACATGGAGGCTCACAACCACCTGTAATGAGATCTGGCGCCCTCTTCTAGCACGTGGGCATACATGGAGGCAGAGTGTTGTATACAGAAGAAAGAAAGAAAGAAAGAAAGAAAGAAAGAAAGAAAGAAAGAAACTGTGGGCACTAATTTATATTTCATACTGAGAAGAGAAAGGTCTCTTTAAAATGTCCTAGGAGAAGTTGGGAGATGGCACAGTAGGTAAGAACATGTACTCTGTCAATAAGAGAACCAGTTTGAATCTCCAGCACCCATATGAATGGGTGGATGGCTGTGTGTGCCTGTAACCTCAGCTTGCAGTGCAGAGACAGGCAATTTATGAGAGTTCATTGACTAGCCAACCTAGACAAAAACACAAGCTTCTGCTTCAGTGAGAATCTCAGGCAGAGAGCAGTAGAGGAAGATTCCCAGTGTCCTGCTCTGGCCTCTCCATGCCTGCTCATTGCCATAAACTCTCGCATGCAGACTCACGTATGTAACACACACACACACACACACACACACACCTAGTATATAGATAGGTTTGACAGCAGATGCCTGTTTTCCTAGCACTTGAGAGGCAGCAGCAGGAGGATTGTGGTGAATTCAGGGTTCAGGGATCGCCTGGGCTATGTTGCAAGTCTCAAAAATATAAAAATCCAGTAAGAGAGTTTGAGAGTATTAAATATGCAGATTTAACTAAGTTTTTGTTTTGTGGTTTGAATTGATCTCAACTACTGACAAAGCTGGGATTATCTGAATCATAACTGATTCAGTGTAAAAAAAAAAAATCACACCAACAGTATCCGAGTTTAGAATACTTGCTTCCTACTACAAACAAGCAGATGTGTGAAAAAGATGGTGAAGACCGAAATGCAGCGCTCTCTTTCATTGTTTCTCATCAGTGTTACAATGTTTAAGGCCCCTTCTTTACCTAACACATTGTTGGGGAATCCCAGCATTTAATTTAGAGTTACTACCTTGTAATCTTTTGGAGGGGTCTCCTGGAAGAACAATTTGGCAACTGGAGGAACTGGAATTTGCTTCCTCGGCAGGTAACAGGACTGGCTTTCAACCCTTTTGAGACTTCGGATGACAGGAATATTGTTGGAAGTATTGGAAATGTGCTATTGAGCTCTGATTACCAATCGCTCCAAGTCCATGATTTAATAGAAGATATAGAGGTAATAGTTTCTTGATGGAAACAGGACATCCTGGGAAAGAGGATGGAAAGATGCAACAACTTTGCATTTTAGGCTCATGTCAGAGCTAAGTAGATGTGCTGCCTTTAATCCCAGCACTATCTCTATGGGTTCAACGCCATCTAGAATACAGAGGGAGTTCTCTATGCCAGGAAGGCTACCCAGTGCTGCGGGACAATGCTCTCAGACACTGCAAAGATTTGTCACTTGTATTAGTTTAATAAAATTCTGATTGGCCAGTAGCCAGGCAGGAAGTATAGGCAGACCACCAGACTAAGAGAATTCTGGGACGAGGAAAGGCTCAGTCTGCAGTCACCTGCCAGATGCAGAGGAAGCAAGACAAGAATGCCTCACTGATAAAAGGTACCAAGCCACGTGGCTAAACATAGACAGGAATTATGGGTTAGTTTAAGTTGTGAGAGCTTGTTGATAATAAGCCTGAGTTAACGGGTCAAGCAGTTTATAGTTAATATAAGCCTCTCTGTGTTTCTTTGAGTCTGAATGGTTGTGGAATGGGGTGGGACAGAAACCTCTCTACAACACAGTGAGACCCTGTTTTTATTTTTATTTTTTTTTAAAAAAGGGGATTCATATCAGGGCCAGTATTTTGTTGCATATCTCAGGAAGCTTCATGAAGAGATAGACCTTGCTCGGTCCCAGGAGAAGCCATTTGAGACTATATACCCTTCACTAATTCCTGGCATTGGGTCCTAAGACCCAACGGAGAAAGCTTGGGAAGTTCCTTACCTCATCACTATAAGGAATACAGACAGGCCCATCTTAACCCGGAGGCTCTCTTTCTAGATCATGCTCTGGAGAAATGCCAGCATGGAGATCCAGCCCACCAACCTCAACACAAGTACAGACCGTTTCACAATCACAGTGAATATCACCTCTGTGGAGAAAACACTTATTGTAACCATCGAACCCGAAAGTCCTCTTCTAATGACACTCTACCTGGGCTTCCAGGACAAACAGAACCACACTCACTTCTACCACAACACCAGCCTTCCGAGAGACCACGTGTGGCAGAAAGGTATTGGCCATCAGATATCTGAAAGTTAATTGGTGATATGTTTTTCTTATTTTTAACTTGTGATTGTGAGGTAATTGTAGGTTCACCTGCAGCTATGAGATGAGGCAGCGTGCATGTTTTTTTAACCAACCCTCCTAATGGTTGAGCTACAAGTTCACAACCAGGAAGTGACCTTGACCCAATGCACTGTCAATATATATGTGTGTGTGTGTGTGTGTGTGTGTGTCTGTGTGTGTGTGTGTGTGTGTGTGTGTGGAGAGAGAGAGTATATATATATATACACATGTATATATATGATAAAGCAAATTTTATAAAATCCTAATTGTAGAACCCAGTGATAACATGAATATATACTATCAAACTCAAATTTCAGTGTTGTTGAAAACACCCATAAACATATTAGGGGGCATAGCTCTGTGGTAGAACAAGTGTTTAGTATGACAAGGCTGAGATTCAATCCTTATGATGAAAAAAAAATTGAGACCAACTATAAGAAATAAAATTCTAGTGCCATGGCCATATCATATTATTTCAAGTTTGATAAGATATAGATGAATGTACATGAAATACATATCCCAATTTTTATTTTTAGTCTTAGATTTGAGTAAGGGTCAGAGATACTAAGTCTTGATATAAGACAAAATAGCATCATCAGAGAAGTTAGGAATCTGTCTCCGTCTCTCAAGTGCTAGCAAGGATTACAGCTCTGTGCCACCATGGTGGGTTTATTGATGCTGGGGATCAAACCCCATATATGTTAGGTTCATATATGTTAGGCAAGCACTCTTCTCACTGAGCTACAGTACCTGTCTCTTAGTCAGTGTTTTATTGCTGTGAATGACCACAGCAACTCTTACAAAAGAAAGCATTTTATTGGGGCTTGCTTGGTTTCAGAGGTTTAGTTCATTGTCTTCATGGAGGGAGGCATGGCAGCGTGCAGGCAGACACAATGCTGGAGAAGTAGCTGAGAGTTCTATATCCAGGTCTGCGGGCAGCAGGGAGAGAGAGACACTGGGTCTGGCTGGACTTTTGAAACAGCAGAGCACACACCCAGTGACACACTTCTTCCATTCAACAAGGTCACATCCTCTAATCCTTCTCAAGGAGTGCCCCTCCCTGATGACTGGGTATTCAAATATGTTAGTCGATGGGGGCCATTTTTATTCAAACCAGTACACAGCCCAAGTGTGATGGTTTCATTTTCTAAAGCTCACAGTGTATTCCAATTCATTAGACCTAATTGCGTATGAATCAAAAGAACGTGATTCCTGTTACTAGAACGGATTGGAGGCAGAATTCAAGATTGTGTCACCGGTCTTTATTGTACACATTTCTGGTACTTGATTTGTATCCGCATTTGCAAGATAGTGGATCTGAAGGCATTTCGTCCCATTGGAAGTACAATCCATGATTCTTTGTTCTAAGATGAGGAGTACACATGGGTGCTGACACCGGAGAGCCTGCAGTACGGGACTGGCACCTACTACATAATGGCCGTGGTAAATAAAAGTACAGAGGCCACACAGCACACACCTATCCTGGTCTCAGTGGTAACTGCTGTAACCCAGTGCTATTTCTGGGACCGAAACAACAGGACATGGAGGAGCGATGGATGCCAAGTAAGAGGGGAGTGGGGGGCTCTCTTAGACCTTACCTGCATCCCTTTCCCTGTCCTCCTTGGGCATAGGCCAGACACAACAGCAATAGGAAGGAAAACAAATCATCCTGGGGACAAAGAGGACGGTGGCCTGTGGTAGCCTGGCAGATATGTCTCTGGAACAGCAGGTCCATGCTGTGTTTTTCTAATTTCCATCTCAGTGAAGTTTCAGGCAAGCCCGGCAGTGCTGGGCACTGAGTGCCACCTGATAGCCATAAACGAAAGAGAAAGCAGATGTGGGAGCTGCTTGCTAAATCTGCGATGGCTAAAAGAAACAAGCCTCCTGCTAGACAGAAGAGAACATTTCCAGTTGTGAATGTTATAGATAGGGGTGGAGAGGTGGCTCAGCAGCTGAGAGCATTTCCTGCTCTTCCAGAGGACCCAAGTTCAGTTCCCAACACCCACATATTGGGTTACAGCTGTCACCTGTAACTCTAGGGAATCCAGTGCCTTCTTCTAGCCTCTTCAAGCACACACACACACACACACACACACACATGCACACACACATGCACGCATGCACACATGCACACACACACATGCATGCACACACACACAACGCACACACACACAAATAAAAATAAAAGTAAGCCTTAAAAAAGAAGAATACATTGTAGATTCTTGTACACCCCATGCAGGCAAGGACAGAGTGTCACATTTACAGACATCATCTTGTCCCTGGTATCTGACCCTTTCAGACAACATCATACCTCTCAGTACATAGCCCAGGTTGGCCTCCAGTTCTCCCATGCATCACCACACCCAGCTTGCATATCCTTGATCCTGTGGGTGCCAGCCTGATCTACTGTCTACTTCAGGGACACCACACTGATGCAAGCCCCTGGTAATTGTGAAGCTCCTTTTCCAAGGTCTGGGACTGGATCTGGGTGTTGTGGTGTTTGTGTGTATCCCCAGCACTTGGGAGGCAGAACAGGGGGGCATGAGTTCAAGTCCAGCCTGAGCTACATAGTGAGACCCTATGTTTAAAAAAAAAAAAAGCTTGTCAAGGACAAAATGAAATTCTCAAGAAAACAACTGCCTCAAACAGTAATTTCTGGCAGCTGCTTCTCAGGCAAATCCCCCAGTCAGGAGCATCTTAAGAAGCAGGTTCTGCTGTTGGCTGTGGGTGAGCTAGGCAATGCCGCCGCACCACGTTTCGGAGAAACCATTGAAGAGCAAGACTCAAGAGCGTTTATGCTGTCAGGACACAAGCACTGATAACAGAATCATTAGGATGGTTCTACTCCACTGAAGCCCTCTGTGATGCTGCCTCTGAGTACAGGAGAGTAGTGACTGAGCAGCCAGGACTTAGCATCGTGTGGCAGAACTAAGGAATTAGTCATGGAGGCAATATTTTCAGTGGAAGGGATCAATCCCATCCAAGGCATCAGGCTTGCTAGGGAAGCACTCTACCACTGAGCTCATGTTAGAGGCCTTCGTTCACCAATTCAAACATATATTGGTAGCGTCCATGCATTCATACTTATTGGTACAATTTGAAAATATACATTATGAAGAAATATTATCCCATATGGAGAATTAGAGGGAATAATTTAAAAACTCTAAACATAAACCACTCAGTTTGCTCAAAGTTATTATTTTTCTAATTCAGAGGGTTTTGGGGGTTGTTGTTATTTTATTTTGAGACTAATTATGTAGGGTCTAATTATGTAGCCCAAGCTGGCCTGAATCTCATAGAAATCCACTGGTTGGGGGAGGATTGAAGGGAGGAGGGGAGAGGCAAGGAGGGGAGCAGAGAAAAATGTAGCACTCAATAAATATCAATTTAAAAATTCACTTGGTTATGCTGGGATTATAGGCACAGGCCATCACACCTGGCCTCATCCAGAGTATTAAAAATAACTAAACTCTCAGGAATAATAGAAAGCACACACGTACTGTTTCCACTCCCTCCCTCCTGTCGAGGGTAGCCCCGGCCCTAGATTTCCTGCACATACTCAATAGACACCTTACATGCGAGGTACCACGATAGAAACTGGGGGTGCAGCAATGGAACATCAGTGAAGAAGATTGCACACATGCAGGGCTGCCTAGCAAGCCAGCCTGAATGCAACCCCTAGAACCCCTGTGGTAGAAGGAGAGGACTCATTCCTGCAAGCCGTCCTCTGGCATCCACATCTGCCCTATGGTGCATGATCAGCCACGCACATGCACAGAAATAAGCGTATAGAAAACAATCTTCATATCCTCTTCTGTCTCAAGGCTGCCGGTGTTGCATTTCCTGCTTGCTGCTCCTTAGCACACTCTACCTTAGTCTTGGCGTCTTCCATCTCCTTCCAGGTAGGGCTGCAGAGCACCATGCTGAAGACACAGTGTCTCTGTAACCACCTGACCTTCTTCAGCAGTGACTTCTTCATCCTGCCCAGGACGGTAGATGTGGAAAACACCATCAAACTGCTTCTTCATGTGACCAGCAACCCTGTTGGGGTGTCGCTGCTGGCCAGCCTTTTAGGATTCTATCTCCTCCTAGGCACGTGGGCTTGGAGGAAGGATCGAGCAGACTTGCAGAAGGTGAGAAGGCCTGGGCTCCAAAGGCCACCGTGTCTTGAGTGTGTCGAGTTAGATGGGGGGAGGTAGGCATTATAGGCCAGGGAGCAGAGACATTTGAGTGGGGTAGTATTACATTTTTCTGCTTGTCTACTGTCACAAAACAAAGTCGCTTTTTTCTTTTTCTTTCTTTGTGGGTTTTTTTTTGTTGTTTGTTTGTTTGTTTGTTTAGTGCTAAGGTTGTATCATAACAAGAGTCAAGCACATTAGAAATAAACCAGGAAATAGCTGTCATAAGAACTCAACTGAAATCAAACTCATTTTTGTTTGGTTTTTTTCAACACAGAGTTTCTCTGTAGCCTTGGCTGTCCTGGAACTTGCACTGTAGAGCAGGCTGGTCTCGAACCTACCTGCCTCTGCCTCCCAAATGCTGTGATTAAAGGTGTGCGCCACCACCGCTTCCCAGCTATGGGACTCATATTTATCTCACCTTATACACTAGAAAAAGGTATGCTGAGTCAAATTATAGTTTAACATAACTACAACATACAGGAAACTAGGAAAGAATGCTTTCCTGGGGCTGGCGATATGGCTCCCTGGATAAAGGTGCTTGGCATTAAGCCCAGTGAACTGAGTTTGATCCCAATATGCACATGACAGAGAGAGAACAGCAGTTGACTTCTGACCTCCGCTTGTGTGTCATGGCACATCTGTGCCTCCATCCTACACACACATAAATAAATGCTAAGATTTTTAAAAATTATTTTCTGTGTCGTGAGACACAATTTTATACTGTCCCCCAACCTGAGCCAGGAAACACATGATATAGTCCAGGCTGGCCTTGACCTCACAGTAATCCTCAAGGGCTAAAATTACTGATGTGAGGCACCTTACTTGGCTGGGCAAATTTCTTTTAGACAGGATCTCACTGAGTAGTACTGGCTAGCCTGAAACTCACTGCATAGCCCAGGCTAGCCTCGAGCCCACATAGATCCACCTACCACTGCCTCCCAAGTGCCACCACACCTAGCTATGATTAGAAAAAAATTTGAAACAGTGAAATACTTTGGCATCTTTTTCTTAATTTCTGTTTTATACATTTCTTCTTCTTTTTTTCTTCAAGGCCTCATACATGCTAGGCAAGGGCTCTACCAAATAGCCACACTGCAGCCCCTTGTTTGTACTTGGACGTTCTGGGAGGTGGAGTCCTGGGTGAAATGTCACCAGCTTTAGAAAATAAAAGTACAAGACAGGCTGGGCAGTGGTGGTGCACGCCTTTAACCCCAGCACTCAGGAGGCAGAGGCAAATGGAGCTCTGAGTTCGAGGCCAGCCTGGCCTACAAAGTGAGTTCCAGAACAGCCAAGGCTGTATACAAAGAAACCCTGTCTCAAACAAACAAACAAACAAACAAAAAAGACAGCAGCTTAGTTTTCATTTCATATAAGCAGCAAGAGTCATGGCCCTCACCGTTCATCTGAAACTCCAGTTTCCCTCGGGGTCCTCTACATTGCAAGCTCCTCCTCAGCGGGAGGGAGGTGGAGGGCTTGATGCCTGAGGCCTCAGGCGAATCTGAGGATGTTCCCTTTTAAAGACAGAGCCTGGAGTTTCAGACTTCGTCCCTCTGGTCACTTGGCTTGGGTGCTTGCCTGGTAACATCACTTCCCACTGCTTCCCATGGGGTTCCAACGCTGCCACGGAGCAGCCTATTCCCAGCTGGGCTCTACTGAATAGAGACCTGGCAAGCTCATCGCTTCTTCTCTGCCCACAGGTGAAGTTGACCATCCTGGCTGACAACGACCCCAGCTCTGCATTTCACTACCTTATCCAGGTCTACACTGGGTATCGAAGGAGGGCTGCTACAACAGCCCAGGTTAGCAGAGCCACATTCATTGCTGTGTGTCTTCTGCGACGAGGCACACTCTAACCTGGCCATATCTTGGTGTCCAATAGTGCTTTAAAAGAAATCATGGGGATTGGCATTGCCTAAGCCTGAAGTGTATGCGAGGAACCCTTGTCCAACTTGTACAACTTCCCATGGCTGCTTCTTTCCACTTAAGGAAAAGCCCAAATGTGTCCCAGTGCCTTGTGTTTTATCTCTCCTCGTCACGTCTTAGGTTGTCATCACCCTCTATGGCTCCGAGGGGCACAGCGAGCCCCACCACCTTTGTGACCCACAGAAGAGAGTCTTCGAGCAGGGAGCACTGGACGTTTTCCTCCTCTCCACTGGGTCCTGGCTGGGGGACCTGCATGGCCTTCGGCTGTGGCATGACAATTCTGGCGACAACCCTTCTTGGTAACTACCTGCCCTGTGCTGGCTTAGTTTTCTTTTAATTTTTGTTTGTTTGTTTGTTTTAGATTTTTACATTTATTTATTTATGTGTTTTTGTATGCATACGTGCGCACCGTTCACCCGTGAATGGAGGTTAAGGGTCGATGTGAGAGTCTCCCTTCCACCAGATGGGTTCTGGAAATTGAGCTCAGGTCGTAAGACTTGATGGCAAGAGCCCTTACTCACTGAGCCCCCTCACTGGCTCTGGTGTCTAGGTCCCCTGTAACCTTACGGGAGACCAACAAGTTTCCACCGTAAACAATAATGTATTCAGCCAAATCATAACGAGCGGCTGCTGGATTCAGGCCTTTAGAGAAGAAAACCCAGAGAGAAATAAGGACACTAACGATATGGGGAGGGATTGTATAATGGAGGATGACCCCCCCTCATTTTTAAGGCGTCATAACTGTGTACAGCAGTCACGGTGACATTAAGAAATAATAGAACATTATCACGCATGGAACAAAAAAAGTTGAAAGATACACTCATACACACCCACACACACACATCAGTAGTGAAGTCTGCAGTCAGCCATCTTGGACATGACCTTCCTGAGGGCAGCAGGTGAGACTGGCTTGCCTACCTATCCTTATTGCCTGGCAAAGCATCAGTTGCTTACCTGGGTCCTCACTGCAGGTGCAAGGTGACCCTCTTATCGCACAGCAGACAGTCGATGCCCACTTCCTAACATGGCGGCCCTGATCTGACTGCAGGTATGTAAGCCAAGTGATCGTCAGCGACATGACTGTGAAGAAGAAATGGCATTTCCGGTGCAGTTGTTGGCTGGCAGTGGACTTGGGCCACTGCGAGCGTGATCGGGTCTTCACACCCGCCTCCAGGAGGGAGCTCTCTTCCTTCAGGTACAATTGTCCGTGCAGACACTGACGTGAGCTTAGAGGGCTATCTCTCAGCTCTTTACTCTTCGTCGTCTCTCCATCAAACTTTTCAACTCACAATTTTGGACTCTTCTTGGCAATTCCTTCCTCAGACCAAAATGAATGGCTGCAAGAGGCCAAGCATGTGAACTTAGATAAAACGCCTAAATGTAGTCCCTAACCTCTCCTCAGGAATGTTCCCTTTTCTCCCTTTGTATGGCGGGAACAGTAAGCAACCGTTACTTCTGAGAAGCCGCTCCCATTCTGTTGCCACAGAAGAAACCACCATCCTATTTTTGTTATGATCTTGAGAAATTAAGGAAAGGGAAAACCTGGGTAGTTGGTTTCCTTCAGATTGGCTGGGTCTGTAGTCATCTGAGACTTCATGCTGGCACCATGGTCAGCAGGTGGTGACGGCTGTCAGCCATACAGCACCTACACATGGCTACCCCAGCATGGCAGCCCCGGGCTAGCTGGGTGCTTTCTCTTGTGACCAGCTTTTCCTAGACTGGCATTTCAGAAGAACCAAGTCATTCCTGCTCTTTCTGACCCTGCTCTGTAGAGCTTCCCAGGGAAGAGACAGTCCACCATTCAATGGGAGAAGTCAAGTGAGTTTTGAAAATATATTTAAATTGTCACATGAGCATAGAGTTTATAGTTTACCTGACCCAGTACAGGCTATGTGGCTTGATATTGCCTGTGTCCTCAGTCATATTTGGTGTGTGCTAGCTGGTTATACAGGGTCCTCCTGGGTTACTTTGGCCCAAACTGAAACCCATAAACAACGGCATAACAAGCCGGGCAGTGGTGGAGCACGCCTTTAATCCCAGCACTTGGGAGACAGAGGCAGGTGGGTCTCTGTTGAGTTTGAAGCCAGCCTGGTCTACAGAGCTAGTTCTAGGACAGCTAGGGCTCTTACACAGAGAAACCCGAGATGCCAGTTGAAGCACTAGGGATAAATTCTGGTCTCACTGTCAGTGGCCCCACAGACTGCCCCAGCCATACAACTGTCACCCCTTCAGAGGGCCTAGTTTGGTCCTATGCTTGTTCCCCCCGCTGTTAGCCCGGAGTTGGTGAGCTCCCGTTAGTTCAGGTCAGCTGTTTCTGTGGGTATCACCATCATGGTCTTGACCCCTTTGCTCATATTCTCACTCCTCCCTCTCTTCAACTGGACTTTTTGGAGCTCAGCCCAGTGCTCCACAGTGAATCTCTGCATCTGCTTCCATCAGTTGCTGGATGAAGGTTCTATGATGACATTTAAGATAGTTATCCGGGCTGGAGAGATGGCTCAGAGGTTAAGAGCACTGCCTGCTCTTCCAGAGGTTCTGAGTTCACAACCATCTGTAATGAGATCTGGTGCCCTCTTCTGGCCTGAAGGGATACATGCAGGAAGAACCCTGTATACATAATTAATACATAAGTCTTAAAAAAAAATAAATAAAAATTAAAAAAAGAAAATAATCTTTACAGATTGAATACATCCTATTCTATAAAAAAAAGATAGTTATCAATCTGACTACAAGGCACCTTGCCAAGAGTTTTAAGGTTATCTAAGACCTGGAGAGTTCCCCAAACACACACACAACACACAGCCTTACACACGCACGTGGCTTCTGGATTCCAGAAGTGTTATCAGAGCTTTTCTAAGCCCTTTAGGAATCCCGTGCCCTAGCTCTGGTTCATGCAAGCAAATACCCACACATACAAAATAAAAGAAATAAGTCTTAAAGCTTGTTTTAATCTCACATAATACATGTTATCTGAAAGCTTGATCAGAAAGATGTACGTGGAGGCTGAAAAGGTGCTGTGCATTTTGCTGCTGGACAAACCATGCCTCGGTCTAGGTTGCTTCAGAGTGAAAACTCAGGCTGGTGGGATGGTAAAGGCGTTTGCTGCTAAGCATGGTGACCTGCATTCAATCCCTGGAACCCACGCTGCATAAGGAGAGCACTGACTCCTCTGACCTCACGCTTAAAGCCCCGCACGCAAAAGAAAAACTAAGCTGATTTTCTTATCTAATTTCTCATTTTAGCCACCTGTTCTCCTCCACGATCGTAGAGAAGTTCACCCAGGACTACCTGTGGCTTTCGGTCGCAACCCGACATCCCTGGAGCCAGTTTACGAGAGTGCAGCGCCTCTCGTGTTGCATGACGCTGCTCCTCTGTGACATGGTCATCAACGTTATGTTCTGGAAGATGGGTGCTACCACGGCCAAGAGGGGTGAGCAAAGCACACGTGAGCCGGGATGCGTGCTGTCTGCAGTGTGCAGTGTTTGACTGTCTTTCCCTCTTTGAGGATTAGGGATCAAGTCACGGTGTACCTTCATTTCCCTGACGTCATATGCTAACACATTCTCTTGGTGCTCTCGTTGATAAATAAAACCATTTCCAGGTGGTGTTGGCACATGCCTTTAATCCCAGCACTCAGGAGACAGAGACAGATGAATCTGAGTGAGTTCAAGGTCAGTCTGGGCTATAAGAACTAGTTCCAGGACAAGCTTCAAAGCTACAGTGAAACCCTGTCTCAAAAAAAAAAATATCTCATGATTTACTGCCATGGAAAACTTTCTACCTCCAGATAAGTCCCCACGTAAGCAGCTCTAACCCAGGAGGGTGGAAGCTAAGCCAGGCTCTCCTTTCGTAGGTCCGTTGGCTGTGACCTGGTCAGAGATAGTCATCAGCTTCCAGACTGCCATCATCCTCTTCCCTATCCATCTTGTCTTTGGGCGGCTCTTCCAGTTGATTCACCCACTAGAAACTCTGCCCCCTCTTCCTCCCACCCAGGCTGCCTGCCCCTCAGGTCTTGTGTGTGAGTCCCCATCTCCTACACAGGTGGTCATGGTAAGCTTCCGATCTAATTTTTGTATGTAAGGTACCCTCCCCCATCTGTGTGGAGGGATAGAGTCCTGGAGGACTCCTTCAGAGGCTCACAGGGTCCTGGTTCCTTTTCTGTCTTTCCCCTAAGTCCTGTCCGCTGACTTGATCTCGGTTCTAAGTTTCTTCAAAGATTACTAACCGCTCTGGAGTCTGAGTGTTGGGGCAGCCTGTACTACCCTGGAGCTGTTTCAGTTTTTGATGTTTGAGCAAACTGTCCCTCTCTCGTGCTATAGTCTCTCATAGAAGTGGTTTTGAAGCCACTGTGGGCTGACTCTTTCCTTACACTAGGCATGGACCCTTGATTAAAAGAAAAAGGCTTGCCAGTCTGTAAGTGGCGCTCAGTGCTGGGCTAATGCAAGACAAAATGAAGTCTCTCAACTCGGTTCCATATCCAGGAATTGAAGCAAACTGTGGGGTTCCTGCTCAGAAGAAATGCTCACCTGCTCTCGGAACGTGAACAGTCTTCGTGGAGTTCTTGTGACATTGACACGCTGGTGACGCTTTTATCCAGCCTCATTTGTTCTCACTTAGAAGAGCAAGGCTGTCACCAGCAGAGGGAAGCCCGGAGGGAAGCCGGTAAAGTCCAGTGATTTAGTAACTCATCTAGCGTCGCCTCCACGCCCTTGCATACTTTAAATTCTTAGTCATTTTTGCCATTCAGCACAAGACAGTTTATGCCTATTTAATTTCCTTAAGCTGATAGCTTGAGCTGATAGCTTTGGTTTCTTGGCGTCTAGATAATCTGATAATAAAACCATAGTACTGCCGGGCGGTGGTGGCGCACGCCTTTAATCCCAGCACTCGGGAGGCAGAGGCAGGTGGATCTCTGTGAGTTCGAGGCCAGCCTGGTCTACAAGAGCTAGTTCCAGGACAGGCACCAAAAACTTCAGAGAAACCCTGTCTCGAAAATCAAAAAAAAAAAAATAAAATAAAATAAAACCTTAGTACTAATTGCAAAAACGTAAAAAATATTGAGACCCCATATTCCATCAGCTGAGCCTGCCATGTCATCTTCTCCTTCCCTTGAATGGAGAGGTGGCATGATCTATGACTTTTGAAAGCAGTTTGGGAACTTGCTAGTCCAGGCTGCATGTGCTGGAGCTCAGGCGGAGAAGCTCAGTAAGGTTTGAAGAGTTGTCTGGGTCAAAGTTCAGAAGCATACACTAGTGAGCTGCGTCTGCACCCTCAGGAGGGAACAGTACGGCAGGCAGTTGCTGGAGCCTGTCTCCATCAGTACTGGGAAGTGTTAACTTTACTGCCACCTAATAAATTGCTCATCTCCACCTCTGATCCATATTTACTGAAATCTCCCATCTGTGAATATGTCAACCGAAATAAAACCACAGCGGAAAACCACCACCATTTCTGCCGCTATCTGCTCCAAGTTCTGCAGAGACTGAAATCCCACCTAAGTGCGCTCGGTGCTGCTCAGGCCCACCAGCCCTGTGACTTCTCAGGAGCGGTTAGCCAACTCCAAAACCTCCAGGAACTCCTGCAAACGCAGATTCTTCCCAGGGATGGAGGGCCATGCAGGTAAGCACCCCGGACCCCCGTCCCTACCCGGAAACTTTCTCTTGGTATCTGGCCGGAAACGATTCCTTCAGTTTCTATTCTTCAGGCACACGACCAGTTTCCCAGTCCTAAGCCCAGAAGAAGGGAAGAAGCACATGTCTTTGTGCCTGGTCAGGTGGTTGAAGTACAGCTGCTGGCTCCTCCTAGGTGTCATGAGCCTGGTTTCAGCTTTTTTCACAACACTTTATAGCCTGGAGCTGAGCAAAGACCAAGCCACCAGCTGGGTTATTTCGATGCTGCTATCAGTCCTTCAAGACATCTTCGTCAGCCAGCCCATGAAGGTACTGAAGAATGGGATGGACCATTACAGTTGTAGAAAGCTGGAGAAACTGAGGCCATGTGTGTAAACCCAGGTGTTTTGAAAATTAGGAAAGAAATCAACAGGCAGAATGATATCTGTTAGGGATCTCTGTTGTGTTAATAACAGGAAATGACTAGCAGCTAATAGATTAGCATATGAAGATGGAGATAATTTTTAAAAATCAAACATTGTGACCGGGCGTTGGTGGTGCACATCTTTTATCCCAGCACTCCGGAGGCAGAGGCAGGCAGATCTCTGTGAGTTTGAGGCCAGCCTGGTCTACACAGTGAGTTCCAGGTCAAACACTGTGGTTGATGAGACGACTCGACAGGCAAAGGCACTTGCTGTCTGATCCCTGAAGTCTAACAACTTAAGTTTGATCCCAGGGACCCACATGAAGGTGGAGGGAGAGAACCAACTCCATGGAGTTGTCCTCTGACTTCCACAAGTACTGCACAGCATGTATGCACACAACACTCAATACACACACAATGGTAATAGCAATATTAATAATAAGAAATAAAATAATGACAGTAACTTTTAAAAAAAAAACACCTTTTTTGGTTTTTCGAGACAGGGTTCCTCTGTATAGTCCTGGCTGTCCTGGAGACCAGGCTGACCTCGAACTCACAGAGCTCCGCCTGCCTCTGCCTCCTGAGTGCTGGGACTAAAGACATGCACCACCACCTCCAGGTAACAAGCCACTTTTTCAAAGAAACATAATTGAGGTTAGAAAGATGGCTCAGCAGTTAAGAGTACTTGCTGCTTTTTGCCAAGGACCCGGGTTTGATTCCCAGCACCCATACAGTGGCTCGCAGATATCCGTAACTCCAGTTCCTTTTTTCTGACCTCTGAGGGTACCAGGCATGCAAGTGGTATACATACATAAACGAAGGCAAAACACTCATCCACACAAAATAAAATAGATAAATTTTTTTTAAAAAAAATCAGTGAACATAAAGATTTTTGACTAAGGAAAAGTCAAAGCACACCAAAGTATAAAAATAACATAATGCACTCTCGAGTTCCGATACCCAACAACAGAGAGTACCAGTGATGGCCAACATTGTTTCATCTGCTTTGAAAAAGAAACTTCCAAAGTTCACATGACTTTCATCTGTATATCTCGAAAATTTATATTTCTCTAAAAATTAAACATTTTAAAACATAAAATCATGACAACGCGTAGAGAAGTTAACATGAAAATACATACTTGAGGAACCAGTTCTGTCTCTCGTCAGTAAAGGAACCTGAGTTTGATCCCGGGATGCTGCATGGTAGAAGGAAATAAAGACTCTGAGAAGTTACCCAGATCTCCATGGGAATGCCATGGCTACAAGCTAATATAAATGCATGAGTGAATGGGGCATGCTATCAGTCCCCAGCCCACTGTATGTATGACATCATTGTCTGGGGCTCTGCAGTACCTGCTCACGGAGTTCCCCTGTGACTCTTGTCTCCAGGTGATCGTCCTCTCCTTCCTGTTCTCACTGACAGCGAACCAGATGCCATGGCTTAACAAAGACAAGGAACAACATGCCAAGAGAATCGTAGCACTTTGGGGTAATTCCAATAATCCCAGCTACTGTTTAGTTTTATGAAGAGCAGACCATGTAAAAACAGTAGAATTCGAGCCACCTCAGTGATTCCAATGTGCTCAGAGAGGCCATGTTCTCTGCCCAGGAGCCCCGTGTCACACACTCAAGCATCCCCTGGAAACCAGTGCTTCTTCTCAGTACTTCTGTGCTCTGCTCCATCTCTCCTCCCTCCTGAGCCCCAGATGGTGTTTGTACTGCCTGTCATCTCTACCTGAATGCCTTCAATTGCCTCTGACCGAGCTGTCTGCCTGCCCCACAAATCCATTCTTCTGTATTTTCTCATTTCTGTCAGGTGGCATCACCACCATGGCTCTAAACATTAGAGTAACCCTAAGTACCCTTACTCCCTGCACTCCATCACCAAGTCTGAGGGGTTACAACCTGTAAAAAAAAAAAACTGACTAAAAGTTACTCACACCACCTGGAGGAATGTTGCAATGCAACGTTGAGCCAAAAGTGCAAAATGCAAAAATGCTAGCACAATGCTATACATGTGTTGGCTACAGCATATGTGTGCATCTCCTATAAATCCCCTATAAATCTCTAAAACTCAGAAAAGGGTTCCCTCTCTGAGGGAAGGAAGGGGTACGACAAGGAGGAGAATGTGATGGACATGAAGCTAGCAATCACTTGCTTAAGCTAAAGGCTAGGCACTCCACCCTAGTGAGGTTTTACAAATTAACAATCTCACTTGAAATGCCTTTCTAGTCCTTATTTCATTTCTTTGTTTGTTTTGTTTTGCTGTTTGTTTGTTTTGAGACAGGTTTTCTCTGTAGCTGTGGTGCCTGTCCTGGAACTAGCTCTTGTAGACCAGAACTCACAGAGATCTGACTGCCTCTGCCTCCCAAATGCTGGGATTAAAGGTGTGTGCCACCACCACCGGGCATCATTTTTTATGCATTTGAGCTATTCTCTTTATGTGAAGTGACTTCTTTTTCAAAGTTCTTGTCCATCTGAAGATTTATGACCTGCCCTTAAGACAAATGTTGTGTGGGATGTATCTCAGGGTAAGAGTGCTTGCTGGCATACAAAAGGCCCTAAGGTGTGAGTCCCAGCACTGAGAAGAAACGTCAAATGCCAATTCCTCTGTGATGCCATCTCCAAACTTTCTTTGGAGAAGTTTTGTTTATTTTCCAATGATTGTATCATACTTGGCACAGGCATGCTGGTGATGTCTTTGACTCTCTCTGTCTCTTTCCCTACCTCTGTCTCTAACCTCCCCTTTCGCTTATAAATCTATATGTTCTTCTGCTCCGTATAGTCTTTAAGGCAGACCATTGTCCCCTCCTGGATTCTTCAGAAGAGCTCAGTGTTGGGCCCTTTCCTGAATCTGCGTTGAGTAGAAGTCCAGGTGATTTCCACCCATGCTAGACTTGAGAACAGTGTTCCCCAAGCGCACTCCACTGAGTGGGAGCGCAGGTCTCTAGTCTAAGACAGAAGACAGCAAATTCCTTTATGCCCATTGAATCTAACTTTTAAGATGAAAAGGCTAGGGATGTGCTCAGTAGAAATGCGAGGCCAGCCTGGGCTACTTCTGAGAACAAAGGCATTGCCAGGAAGGAGAACACGCTAGGGTTGTTGTTTGGTATGGTACCATGGTTCATGCGTGTTAGATGAGGACTCGACAGCTACCTTACTGGTGCTGAATTTCATTTTTCTAGTAACCAGTTTCTATCGTCTTCTATAAGTTTGGTCCCCAATGGGTTGGAATTTTAAGAAGGCAAACCCAGGCCTCTTCCCCATAGATAGAGAGGTACTGCTTAGATATCATTTTCTCTGTCCCTCCAGCATTCAAACGGAGATGCCTGCAACAGATGCTCAACAAACAGTTGGCAGCCTTGTAATGAAATATAACATTTCTTTGACCTATATTTCAATATTTGACAGCGAAGTGTTCCTCATCAGCTCCTGGTTTGAGAGATAAGAACAATCCCGTCTATACGGCCCCAGCAGTGGCCAGCTCTGCCAGGCACCCAGGAAGAGCCTGGAAGAAGCAGCTCTTCAAGCTGACTGGCGGTAGCCTGGGTATGAAGGGGTGGCGGCGGCAAGCACCTCGGTACACACTGTCGAGGGGAGGGCGGGGACAATAAGATGGAAAACGGGGAAGAACAGAAAAGTGTCTTTGAAAATGAAATTTAGAGCCAGGTGGTGGTGGCGCATGCCTTTAATCCCAGCACTCGGGAGGCAGAAGCAGGTGGATCTCTTTGAGTTCGAGACCAGCCTGGTCTACAAGAGCTAGTTCCAGGACAGGCTCCAAAACCACAGAGAAACCCTGTCTCGAAAAAAAAAAAAAGAAAGAAAGAAAGAAAGAAAGAAAATGAAATTTAACCATTTGTGGTGGTGCACACCGGTAGGATTTGCTGAAGGAGGCAGAAGCAGGAGGATCACGAGTTTGAGGCCAGCCTGGTCTACACATTTTTTAAAAAAAATGAAATTTAGCATTCCAGCAACTGAGGTGAAGTGATCCACGGAAGAACCCTGAGCTTCCAGTCCTCATGTTTTTCTGAGGGGGAAACAATACCCAGTTTGTGTATTCCCTGGAGTGGGGGTGAAATTGCTTTGGAAAACGGTTCTCCTAAATGCTGGGTTTGACGTACTTAGCACACAACTGGATTTCCTGGACCAGAGAACAGAAAGCAACAACTTTCTTGTTCTTTTCTTTTTTCATGCCTTCCCCTTGTGAAGCCAGAATGTGAAAGAGCACTTACCTCTGAGAGTCCAAATGCAGTATGCTTATGGGGGATGTCTCTTGAGTTAAATTTCTGATTATTGGCAGAATGATTCTGAAAAATGAAAAATATATAATATTTCTGTATATACACATATATGTATATTCTGTGTATACAGATGTATGTATATATTACTCTGTGTGTGTTGTGTGTGTGCATGCATACACATTGGGTTGCCTATTTCAACTGCTAGGGTTTTTTTTTTTTTGTTTTGAGGGGATTGGTTTTTTTTTTTTTTTTTTTTTGGCTTTTTTGGCTTTTTTGATACAGGGTCTCACTATGTAGCTCTGGTTGTCCTGGAACTTACTATGTAGACCAGGCTGGCCTCAAACTCACAGAGGCCCACCTGCCTCTGCCTCCCGAGTGCTGGGGTTAAAGGTGTGTGTCACTATGTCCCGCTCCAGTTTGACTGTTTTTGACCTGCAAGAGTATTTAGGTGTAAGAAAAATGGGAAAGGTTTAGATTTCTAAAGCAACTGCTCAGATAGGATTTTTTTTGTTTGTTTGTTTGTGAACTAGTCCAGATCCTCTTTCTGGGCCTGCTGATGGCTACCGTCTACTCCGCCAGGGACTCCAGTCAGTTCCTCCTCCATCAGGCTATCTCGAAGAGGTTTTCCCACCGCTTCTCCGAAATCAAACTTCTGAAGGATTTCTACCCCTGGGCCAACCACACCCTCCTTCCCAACCTGTATGGGGATTACAGCGGTAAGGACCGTGGGCAGCTGGGAGGTGCAATTAGCTCTCCTGAAACCCCTACTATAACCCATGGAAAACCAGAGAAAGATCAGCTGGCTTCTCGGTGTGGCCGCACCTCTGTGGACACTGCAAAGTCCCTGGACTCCACCCGAGAAGCTTCAGTTAATGACTCATGGTGACTGGTGGCATCCTCTTCCGACCTCGGGCACCAAACCTGCATGTAGTGCACACACGTGCATACAGGCAGCACACTCAAACTTATTAAGTCTAAAATAAGTATTTCCAACCAGATGTATTGGTTCGTGATGTCTAAAATCCTGGTAGTTGGGAAGTAGAGGCCAGCCTGGGCTACATAGTGAGGCTATCTCAAAACAAAAGAAAAGAAACAAGGGCTTGGGATGTAGAGTAGTGGTCAATCACCAGCACTGAAAAACAAATGTTTCCAGATTGTTTTTATTGTGTCAATAACTAATCCTATTAGCAAAGCACCAGAGCTGCTCACATCATCCCCGCACAGTGGAAGCATTTCCAACGTGCACAAGGGGCCCTGGAGCAGCAGCAGGCTTTGCCGCCTTCACTCAGAAGAATCATCAGTTAGAGCTAAACCAGGGCGCTGGGTCCCACCTTCATAAAGGCAGCCCTTTCTCCATCCTTCATCTTCTCTGTATCTTTAAATCATAAAGCTGTGATCCCCCTGCTCAAAATCTCCCAACAAGGACATTCAGAATAAAGTGTCGAATCCCCGCAGAGTTGTCAGGACCTGCTCCATCCAGCCCTAGCTACATGAAGAGTCACCTCATCTCTCCTCCTCTCACTGATGCTCCTGTCACTCTCACTAAATACATCAGTCATGCCATCACCACCTTGAGAACTTGCTGCTCCCCTGCTGGAATCTACATGGTGCTTGGGACTCTATCAGGGTCTCTCCCGCGCCACTCCACCAGAGACTCTTCTCCCTGTCAGCCTAGCAGCAATGCCGCTCCTCACAAAACATGGCCTCCTCACACCTGAACACCCTGTGTTACCTGCCCTTCTTGTCCCTCACCTGTGAGCTCTCAGAGGGTGCAGATGCCCTTAGAACAGGGCTTGGTTCATGTCAGCACAGAAAGTGTGCTCTTGAGGAAGGAATGGAGGTCGATTTTTCCATCTTTTGTTAGGTTTAGCTTCGGTGTTGCTGTTTAAAGAAGGTGTTTTATTTCTGCACCTATTGTAAGTGGTATGGCGAGATGAATACTATTGTTTGGTGCCGAGTAGCTCCAATAAATTATCATTTTTAAGTTAATAGATTTCCCGTTGATCCTCTTAATTTATCTAGATAATGTATATCATTCAGAAATAGTTACACAGTTTCATTTATTATATATTTTTCTTTTTGTCTGACTGCATTAGCTCATGTCCCTAAGTGTTTTCAAAATTGCCAAGGAAGTGTGTATGGGTTATCTCATTCAGTTAGCAGCAAGGCAGCTTTTTAATTGATCATTTTACTTTCTCACTAGGATTTATTACTGATGGGAATTCCTTTCTTCTGGGCAATGTTCTGCTTCGCCAGATTCGCATTCCTAATAGCACACTCTTCCCAGTATCTCTCCACGAACCAGAGAACTCACAGCCCCAGCATCAGGAGGACAGAGAGAACTATGGGGTCGACTGGGCCCCCCCTGATACAAACATCACAGAAACTGACAGTATTTGGCATTATCAGAATCAGGAGCTACTGGGAGGCTATCCTATCCAGGGAGAGTTTGCCACTTACTCGGGAGGAGGATACGTTGTGAAGCTTGGGAGAAACGCCAGTGCCGCAGCCAGGTGAGTCTGTGCCCTACCTGAACAAGAGGCCCATCTCAGGACAGCTGGGCATCTGGGCCCAGCTGAGACATTCCAACAGCCATTGTAAGGCTTCTGTACTGTCTCCGGTACATACATGCGCACACTTCTATTTTACACTTCTAAGAAAATATACCATGTATTTATTATTATTATTATTATTTTGTGTGTGTTGGTATTTTGTTTGCATGTATGTCTGTTCATCAAATGTGTGCAGTGCCCTCAGAGGCTAGAAGAGTGCATCGGATGCCCCAAGACTGGAGTTACAGATTGTTGTAAGCTGCCATGTGGCTGCTAGGAATTGACCCTGGGTCCTCCGGAAGAGCAGCTTGTGCTCTTAACCACCCCAGCCCCTGGAACTAAAGCTTTAAATTTAAAAATTTCCTGGTCCACTTCGAGTTACAAATATGTTTTGGCAATTTGGAAAGAAAAAAAAGAAAAGACCATTTTGAATCTGAAAAGAGATTTTCGTTTCAATTCTAGGGGTAGCTGAACTCAGGTGGTTCTATCTTAGCCACACTGTAGTCTTCAGATATCAATGGGAACATTACCATTTGTGAACCATGATGTGAAACATCATCCCACAGTTCCAACGCCCGAACTAAACTGCCAAGGATTTGCAGAGTGATTTGATCCAGGAATCCTGAGAGTCTTTGCCATTGTGAATGAAAAAGTCTAAATTAAAATAATTGTTTTCTGGGGGGGCTGGAGAGATGGCTCAGAGATTAAGAGCATTGCCTGCTCTTCCAAAGGTCCTGAGTTCAATTCCCAGCAACCACAAGGTGGCTCACAACCATCTCTTTTGGCCTGCAGGCATACACACAGACAGAATATTGTATACATAATATATAAATAAATATTAAAAAATAATAATTGTTTTCTGACCAGGCAAGATGGCTCAGCAGGTAAAGATGCTTGCCACTAAGCCTGATGACCTGAGACAAAACCCATGTGACAGGAGAGAATTTCTGACCTCCATAGGATCACCATGATACACACACCCCAAGAAATGTAACAAAATTTTTAAATAAAACTTGCTTCAAAGCGATAGCAGCAAGGAACTGCTCTAAGACAATGTCAATCAAGTAATGGTGTTTATACCTCCATGGTTCTTTCACCTCTTGGTACTGGATAGGTGTTGGTATGGAGTATTTAAAGTTTCAAATAGTAGTTGACGGAGTTTATGTAATTAATCCTGCCTTACAGATCAAACGCCAGACAGGGTCGCCCGAGTCTCTAACCTTGGTGTGTACACACCTGTGAACATCTTGTGTCTTAGTGTACCATCATGTCACTACCGCGAGAATTTCGGTGTTACAGGTCATGAGGTCTTTTGTAGGAGCACTAGGTCAAGGAAAGTGGCTTCTCGTGTGGTCTGTAACAGCGCCAGGGTACTGTCCTCCATTTCAACACCGGGTGGAGAAAGTAGCTGCCTCTGTTTCCCTGTGTGTCCAGAGTTCTGCGGCACCTGGAACAGAGGCGATGGCTGGATCATGGCACCAAAGTCCTCTTCGTGGAGCTTACAGTCTTCAATGCTAACGTGAACCTGCTGTGTGCGGTGACCCTCATTTTGGAATCCAACAGTGTGGGTATGGGGCCTCCTCTCCTTGTTCTGCAAGCTGGCCATCTCAGGACCAGGCCTCCTTTACTGATCATTTACCATTCTTTCAAGTGAATTTAATTAGAATGATTACTCAGAAATATGATTTTTTTAAAAGGCAAATAGTTCAACTAACAGCCTGTCTATATCCTACTCCCCAGAGGCTATTTTTAGTTTTAACTGGTATTCAACTTTCAATTTTTTATTCTTTTATTTGATTTTTTTGAGACAGGCTGTCTCTATATTGCCCTAACTCTTCTAGAACTTTCTATGTAGACAAGACTGGCCTCAAACTCAGAGAGAGCTGTCTGCCTCTGCCTCCCAAGTGCTGGGATTAAAAGTATGGATCACCATGCTGGGCTTTCCAATTTTTTAAAATGATGTGTATTCATGGATTTTTAGTTTTGTTCCTTTTTCTATGGAGAGGATTTAACTTTTAAGCTCCTATACATCCCTAACATGAGCACACCTTTCCTCTCCCATCACTTTCTTTCCTGTCTTCAATTTTGAGCTTCTGCCACTGTCACGGTGGCATCTCACAGATGGCTACACACTAACTGGTACCTCCCTTTACAGGCCGTCTGCCTCGCCCCATCTCCCTTCCTCCTGTCTTCTCTGCCCTAGAATTGACTGACAGGTGGTCTGCCATTAACCACTGTGTATTGTTTCTAACAGGGAACTTTTCCCTCCCAGCCCAGCGGAACAAGCAGCTTCTCACCCTTCCCTCTGACTCAGTAATTTTCCACCTTCCTAACGCTGTAACCCTTGGGTTAATGCATAACTATTCATAACCATAATTTCGCCACTGCCAATAAATCATAATGTAGTGAGAACCACTGTTCAAAATGAACCTGAAGGCTTCCTGGGGTTCTTTAAAAGGTTTTGTTTAGCCGCCAAAGAAATGGGGCGGGGCAGTGGAGCTTCAATCTTGAGACTTAGCTGCACAAAGTAAGAAAATTTTGTTCCTAAATGTACTTTCTGCTTACCAGGGGTACATGGCAGTTCCAGTGTTCCGGGGCTGGTGCACAGAATTATGGGAGTTTATAAAACCATAAATCTTCACATTCTCACTGTCCTTTTTGACTGCATCTGAAACCTTGCAGCCCCTCCGCATAGAAGCGTCTCCACATTCAGGACATGTGGTTGCTTTCCGTTCTCATGCCTGCAGCCACTCTGAGTTGAAAAGAGGAACGCCTGTTGTTAATGGCCTGTCCTGTTAGCCGAGACCAACCATATGTATTCTTTCTCTCTCCCAACTTCAGTGAAACTGGCGCTTCTCCAGTAGCTTGCCCATGGTTCATATAAAGTTCTGGGCAGTTCTGCAGGAAAGACTAAGTGGGGCGTGGAGACTGGAGTGATTGAACCCAGCAGCAGGTGGAGCTGTGCCGCTCTGTGCCAAGGAGAAAAGCTTAGACTCTTGACCCCAGCTGTTCTTCTTACCAGGGACTTTCTTCACCTCTCTACGCCTCGACAGTCTGACTTCCCTCCAGTCATCCGAGAGGAGTTTTGCTTGGATTATCTCACAAGTCAGCTACTACCTGCTTGTCTGTTACTACACCTTCATACAGGTGAGCCTATGTCAGACAGTCGCCAGGCGAACCCTCTCTGGCGGGATCCACATCACGTGGTGCTACATTACAGTGGTTGTCTCAGTCCTTCCTCAGGGCCTGGTTTCAGAGGTTAACAGATTTCCACCAAGTAGAATAGCTCATTCAATTATGTTCAAAGTATGTGTCAATTTTTTTAATATTTTATTTATTTATTTATTTATTTATTTATTATGTATACAGTGTTCTGTCTGTGTGTATGCCTGCAGGCCAGAAGAGGGCACCAGACCCCATTACAGATGGTTGTGAGCCACCATGTGGTTGCTGGGAATTGAACTCAGGACCTTTGGAAGAGCAGGCAATGCTCTTAACCACTGAGCCATCTCTCCAGCCCCAGAATGTGTCAATTTTTATATGTAGTTTTTTATCAAAAATATTTATTTTGTGTATATTTTGCCTGCATGTATCTATGTATGTGTGTATGTATGTGCACCACATGCCCATGGAATTCAGGTGTTGGCTCCCCTGGAACTGAAGTTACAAATGGTTGCCAACTACAATATGAGTATAGGGAATTGAACTCAGGTCCTCTACAAGAACAACCAGTGCTCTAAACCACTGAGCCATCTCTCCAGGCCCTAGAGGGCCTGTTTCTTAACCTTTATATAAAGTAATGTTAAGAAAATATGCTGGGCAAAAAGAACTAAATAAGGAATTATTGTAAATAGTATTTTATTGTCAGGCTTAATAGATGGGATCTTTAAAGCTTGTAAATTAGCTAGGTACACACAATTGTCTTATCATCTCCAAGAATGATTATGTCTGATAAAAGCTTCATTAGCAACCACTTTTCCTGTTATCAGTATCTGAGTGACTGCAGAGCTGTCCCACATCCAGAGCCCATGTGCTTTGCCTACCGAAGTCCCGCTGGCCAGACTACTTTCTTAGGGACAGTCCTGGCTAATCGTCCAGACAACGGTAGTGACTCTGCTGTGTTACTTAGGGCTGTCGGCTGAAACGGCAGAGGTGGAAGTTCCTCACTAGGAAAAGAAACCTTCTGGACACGAGTATAATCCTCATTAGCTTCAGCATTTTGGGGCTCAACATCCAGAGCCTTTCTCTCCTTCATAAAAACATGCTGCAATATCGCCGTGACCGGGACAGGTAAGGGACCTGAGGCACATGGGCATGGCACCCCATGCTAAGGCTTCCTTCTCTTCCACTTCCCCACCGGATCTGCTGTATTTGGATAACAAAAGTTAAACTAGAACTTGGACTTGTGCTCACAGCAGAAAAAAACACTAGCCGGGCAGTGGTGGCGCACGCCTTTAATCCCAGCGCTCAAGAGGTAGAGGCAGGTGGATCTCTGGGTTCGAGGCCAGCCTGGTCCACAAGAGCCAGTTCCAGGACAGGCTCCAAAGCTACAGAGAAACCCTGTCTCGAAAAAAAAAAAAAAGATATTTGCCATTTGCACTAGTCCTGCCGAGAGGCTCTGTGGCACTCAGGTGTCTAGAAGATAATGCACTTAAGTTTCAGAGCAAGGGCTTGGAACTGGGGTTTCTTTGTATGCATAAAGCCCGATGAAATAAATACCACCCTTAAAAAAGGATACAAACCCAGAGCAAGACACAGCTTCCCAACAAGAAGTGGCTATTTTCAGGCATTTTCCCCTATTACCCTTATCAGGCTTTTTGAGCACTTTTAGATCAAGTATTTCCACAGCTAAGGGCCTGAGACCTAAAACCTTTCCGAAGCACTGTCCCAAGCAACAGTGTTGAACTGTCCACACTGGGATAATGGGTCTGTGTAGCCTAAAGGGTTGTGCCAGCTGAGCTCTAGGCTGCTGTGTGGCACTGCCTAGGCCAGAGGTTCTCAATCTTCCTAATGCTGTGACCCTTTAGTACAGTTCCTCATGCTGTGGTGACCCCCCCAGCCATAACGTCATTTTCGTCACTACTTCCTAACTGTAGTTTTGCTGTTTTGAATCGTACTGTAAATATTTTGGAGATAGAGAGGTTTGCCAAAGGGGTCATGACCCACAGGTTAAGAACCACTGGCTGAGACCTTAGGCAACGAAATATGTGGTTGCCAGCTTGCTTATAGCTACAGGAGTCTCTCCAAGTAAACTGGTTGCTGTGGCATAAGATTCTGTACTTTACACAACAGAACTGAACTGGGGGGCAAATCTCTCACCCCTTCTTACTCAGGACAGGACAGCTCACCAGTGTCTTTCTACTGTCAGAGAACACAGGACTGGCAGAAACAGACCAGGATGACGGCACATCTCCTTAGGCTAACTCTCCTTTTGAGGTTCAGCGCTGACAAATGTGGAGGCTGGGAAGAAATCAGCTAGGAGCTGCCTTGGAAGGCTTTTCGGGATAGCTCCCAGCCAAGGGGCCATGCTGGAAAGCAGTTCGCTGCACTGGGTGTCTGACCTAGCAGAAGGAACTCAGCCGCGAACCTTCTGCAGAGGAAGCCCCGGTGGAGGCGGCTCCTGCCTCGGGCTGAGTCGGCTTCCCATGGTTACAGGTTCATCAGTTTCTACGAGGCACTGAAAGTGAACTCAGCTGTCACTCACCTCATGGGCTTCCTGGTTCTGTTGGCAACTGTGCAGCTGTGGGACATACTGCGACACAATGCCCAGTTCCAGCTCATCAGCAAGACGCTGAACAAGGCCTGGGATGAGGTGGTTGGCTTTATACTGCTCATCGTGACCCTGCTGAGCAGCTATGCCATGACTGTAAGCCCCAAAGCCCAGCATCTTCCCCAAGTGCAGAGTCCTGTCTGTGCCCTCAGAAAACATCACTGTACATAAAACCATCAGGTTAGCAGTGGGTTTTTAGAGAAAAGGTCAGATGGGAAAGCTGGATTTAGTCATATTCCATATTTAATGTCTTTTTTTTTAAAGAATTTTTTTGGCTAGGCGGTTGGGGGGCACACCTTTAATCCCAGAACTTGGGAGGCAATGGCAGGTGGATCCTTGCAAGTGTGAGGTCAGCCTGGTCTATAAAGCAAGTTCCAAGTTCCAGAACAGCCAGGACTACACAGAGAAACCCTGTCTCAGGGGGAAAAAGGAATTTTTAAAACATTTTTTAAGATTTATTTATTTCTATTTTATGTGCATTGGTGTTTTTGGTCTGCATGTATGTCTGTGTGAGGGTCTCAGATCCCCTGGAGATGGAGTTACAGATAGTTGTGAACTGCCATGTGGGTGCTGGAATTGAACCTGGGTCCATCTGGAAGAAAAGCCAGCGCTCTTAACCACTGAGCCATTGGCTCAGTATTAAAGACAGCCCCTGTATTTAATGTCTTAAACCCAGATGTTTGTGATGTCTCTAAGATACAAGCAAAGCAACATCAGCTGTAATATGAAGATCAGATAAATTTTGCAGTCACAGTGACTTGAATGGCCACGTGGAATTTCCATTGCTTCTGTTAGGCACCTCAGGGCAGAAATGCTATTACCACTGACTGGCCTTTCTCCTGTTCAGTTCAATCTGCTGTTTGGATGGAGCATCTCTGACTACCAGAGTTTCTTCAGCTCCACAGTGACTGTTGTTGGCCTCCTGATGGGAATTTCTAGCCACAAGGAGGTAAGATAAATGATAGACAGACAGACAGACAGATATAAAGTAGAAGCAGCCTCTTTTCCTTTCAGATTCATGTTTGGTTTAGCAGCTTTAACTAGTGGGATGGGATGGTCGCGAGTTAAGCAAGTTCTCACTGCACAGTCTAAGAAGAACCTACACCCTTTGCCCTTGTCTCAGAGGAATGCCTGTGCACGACACCGCAGTACTCACCAGCTGTTGCTTCCTACGCATTTGTGCCCCCCCCACCCTCTGCTTTCCCTGCACCCTCAATCCACTGCCAAGGACACCTGGCCAGAACAGCACAAACTGCTGATGCACTCAAAGGTCCTCTGAAAATGTGTGACAGAAGTAACCAAAGGTAGTGCCGGAAAAAACACATTAGATCTTTTTACAGTTAACACATGTTGTGGAGTATTATTTTAAGATGTGTTACATTCATGTACGCTGTGGAATATTTGTTCAATGAGGCAAAGATGTGTTGCATTCTTTTATGTTGCATTTGTTAAACTCTGTGAAGCTGTGTTACTTTGCCTGTCTAAAACACCTGATGGATCTAAAAAGAGCTGAACGGCCAATAGCAAGGCAGGAGAGAGATAGGTGGTGCTACCAGGCAGAGAGAATAAAATAGGAGATATCTTGAAAAAGAGAGCAAGGAACAAGGAAAGGAGGAGAGGAAGACACCAGGGGCTAGCCATCCAGTCAGCCATGGAGTAAGAAGGAAACAAAGACATATAGAATAAAGAAAGGTAAAAAGCCCAGAGGCAAAATATAAAAGAGAAATAGGATAATTTAAGAAGATAGGCTAGAAACAAGCCAAGCTAACACCAGGCATTCATAAATAAGTCTCGGTGTATTTATTTGGGAGCTGGGTGGCAGGCCCCCCAAAGAGTAAAAAAACCAACTACACATACATCTTGTTGAATTTACTCCTCCCTGGCCCACATAAATCCTTGTCTTCCTGTATTATATTGAGGACAAGGTCCTTCACAAAAAATTACATTTGAGTTAGGTACACTGGTTACATTAAAATAATTATTAAAAAGGCACACTGTACCATAAGTATAATTTCACACAGAATTAAATAAATGAGCAAAGTGAAGGGGAAACTTCAAATAGGCATCTTATGAGGATTTGGGTCCTAAAACTGAAGGGCTTATGTGACCAGGAAATTAGTGGAGCTAGTGACACTTGTACAATCAATCACTCTGATGGGCCCTTGTCTTAGCCAGGGTTTCTGTGGCTGTGTTCAAACACCTTGAACAAAAGCAACTTGGGAGGGAAGGATTTACTTGGCTTTTATACCCTCACAGTCCAGTGACGGAGGCCAAGACCTGAACTCAAGCCCTGCAGGAACCTGGAGGAAGGTGATACAGAGGCCATGGTTTTGCTTAGCCTTTCTTAAAGAACCCAGGGCCACCTGCCCAGAGTGGTACCACCCACAATGGGCTGGGCCATCCCTCATCAATCACTAATTAAAAAAACATCAATCTGACCAATGACTTTGGAATGAACCCTTGCAAGTAAAGATATATGGACAAAAGGATATACTGTGTGACTCACTGTCACACTACAGCTTCTACGTCAAGATGGGCAATGGCAAGGGCTGAGGACGGATGCGAAGGGATGGGGAGATGAATGGTTTGGAGACGCATGATGCGAAAGAATAACTAGAAATAAAGCTGAAAACGCTCTCTAGACTTCCCCACAGCCTAATCTATGAACACATTTTCCCCTCTCGGATGATTAGTGTTTTGTGGGTCAAGCTGACATAAAGCTAGCAAGCACACCAGTGATTCAAAGGTTACTGATTAGATAAGTTAAATCAACAGTTTTTTCCCAAGAAAAGATGCAACTGCTACTTGCTATACCCGTAATGGCTGTAGCTGCATTCACAATTCATTGGTTAACAGGCCTTAGTAGCAACAATCAATAGCCCAACAGCAAAGGGCGGGGGTGGGGTGGGCAACACCATTTGTTAAAAAGAACACCTTAAAATGGTAAGTATAAAGCTGGGTGGTGGCGGGGCACGCCTTTAATCCCAGCACTCAGGAGGCGGAGGCAGGAGGACCTCTGTGAGTTTGAGGCCAGCTTGGTCTATAAGAGCTAGTTCCAGGACACGCTCCAAAGCTACAGGGAAATCCTGTCTCACAAAAACAGGGGAAAAACAAACAAACAAACAAAAAAAAAACCAAAAAAACAAAAAACCAAATAAAATAAACTAATTATAGAAACCATCCTCGTAAGACCTAAATTTAGAGGTCTATGCAGAAAAGCAAAAGAGGACTTAACTATCAGCACTCACAATCTTCAAGGCCATGATGGGAGGAAGCATATTAAGTCAGTTTCCCTCCTCTTTCCAAGCCTTGCAAACCCTACCACAGCTACCTCAGCCAAAAGCCAGTTTCATCATCCCTTCCGGTATACACTTATTCTTCCCATATGCATGCTACCCCAAGCTTTTGTGTTCATAGACATATTTTTTCAGAATTGCCCAAAACATAGCTGGGATTTGAGTCATAATCCTATTATGTTTTTTCTTGTAAAAGCTGTGCAATCAAATTTTAACAACCTTATTCATGTTATTTTCCTTTGAATCTTTTTCTCCCCTAGTTTCTTCAGATTCAAATGTGTGCTCAGAAATTGTAAACTCCAAGAGGTCTTACTGTCTTTCCAGGTTATTGCTCTCTACCCGGTCCTCGGCTCCTTTCTGGTCCTCACTAGCATCATCTTGATGGGACTCGTCATCATTAATCTTTTTGTTTCTGCCATTCTCATTGTCTTTGGAAAAGAAAGGAAGGCCCTTGAGGTGAGTAACTGGCCCAGTATGAACAATTAACTGTCATGATTTCCTGTAACTGAAACTTTTAATGATGCTTTAAGACAGTGGGTCTCAACCTTCTTAACGCTGTGACCCTTTAATACAGTTCCTCATGTTGTGGCGACCTCCCCACCGTAAATTTATTTTCGTTGATACTTCATAACTGTAATCTTCTTACTGTTGTGAATCCTAATGTAAATCTGTTTCCCAATGATCTTAGGCAACCTCTCACAGGTTCGTTTGCTCCCAAAGGGGTTGCGACCCACAGGTTGAGAATCCCAACATTTGGAAGCAGAGATAGGAGTCAGAGTTCAAGGCCCCATGACATTACAAACTGGCAAAATGCACAGATCAGCACATTCCCTTTAGTGGTCTAAGTTACTTTCTGAGGAAAACAAATTGCCAAGACATAAACAGCTGGTCTTCAACCGTTCGTTAGACATTCCTAATATCTGGTGGTAACTCGTCACTATTTACTATATATTTAGGGGTGTTTGGAGTGGCATCTTTGGTAATTTAACCTACAATCGCAGGTCACTTACTTTTCCTTTTTTGTCTTCAAATACTCAGAAAGAAGCTACACTGACAGATATATTACTACAAAAGCTCTCAAGCTTGTTAGGAATCCGCCAGCAGCAGAATCCTTCATCTGAGAAGCATGCTGACAACACTGGGTATTGACATCCGTGTCTTAAGATGAACGATCTTAATCTCACTGTTGCTTAGGGTAGCTTACATTTTACTGCATTACTGATAATACTTTACATCTTATGACAGAAGTAACACTTTGTGTTAGTGAAGAATCCGAATCCCATTGTTTCCAAAATCTTGCTGAGGGACTTCAGCAGTGTAGTAAGGAGAAGGATATCCTAAGGACATAGCACAATCCAGCCATACTGCCAACCAACAGGTAACAGAATGCTCACCACTCATGCCAAGAGTGAGCACAACTGCAGTTTACCTAAAATAGAGCTCAAACCCAGGGATTGAAATAAACCCAACAGCCCCTGACACCTGTCCTAAGGGACAGGAAAGTGAAGGCTGGATCTGGCTTATATACCGATATGGATCACCTGGTAAAATAGTCTCCACTAAAATCCATTCATTTGACCAACACTAGAGAAAGCAGGACACGGGATCTTTATTAGCAGCTACTGAGACAAACCAATCAAAAACAGTGAAGTTGCTTGAAACAGGTACATACAGAAATATTATACACAAACAAAAATCTCAGCTTCCAGTCCTAAAGCTAACCTCCTGGGGAAGGTTGGCCTTGGCTAGGGGCAAAGAAGCACATAAGTTACCATAATAAAGAGTCGCATCTACCCAGGAAAGCAGTGAGCTACAGCAACATGGCACCAAAACTTAAGATATCAGCTTGAAAAGATGCCCTAATTGTAAGTATTCAAATGAAAACAGGTCTCCCCCTTTCCTGTAGGTTTCCAGAATTGAGCACTTCTATTAAGGCAACTGGAAGCCCACTCTAGGCTTGGATAGAGACCTATGCTTCCTTCCTAACATGCCATGGGGAAAAACAAATTTCCATAGTGCTGCTCGTTCCTAAAAGGGAAACACAGCACTCAAAGTAAAGCAAAAGGCCACAGAGGGCTCCCTGAGAATCCAGTAGAACTAAGAGAGAACTTTTCCAAACAAACTTTGCAACTGGATCCAGGTGAAACAGTGCCCTGCAGCAAGAAGTAGTGTATGTCAATGAGAGGGCCCCCGCCTCCAGGAACCGTGACAGTGGCTTCCAGAGCCATCTAACTCATTTGAAAAAACACACAGTGGCCTTGCTTCTCTCTACAATCACCCCCAAGCAGAGGATGCATTTACAAGCCAAGGCTGAGACACGTCATAGGATACTCTCTTCCATGGACCAGCACCTTTGGCACCTCTACCCACAGTACTTCCCTTCTCACTCCTTTGGGAATGGAATGGTCAGGAGAGAACCAAGGATCCATGTGACAGACAACAGGCAAACAGCCACCAGAAGCCAACTGCTCCAGCCAGAGTCTCTAGCTGTTAGTCTCTCAGTATCACTAGAGAATTGGAAAGCAACACAACTGGTAGAGCAGCAGAGAGCCCCAAGGAAGAACGCTCGGTGATGGTTAACAGATGAAACGGAATTTCATGGAGATTCATTGTTACAAGAAAGAACTGTTCAGTCTCAACTTCCAGAATCTGGATGTTGCCTGGCTTAAGAGACCTATGTTTTCTTTTTCAGTTCCTCAAATCTGCGGGAAAGATCATCAAAGTCTATGTCTTCTGATGCTGAGGTACTGGCTCCAGCAGATGCAGTTGGGAGTGTGTCCGGCACAGATGGCAACTCTGGCAGTACAAAGTTGTTGTAATTATCCATGGGTCTGGAAGGGGGCTTTGCAGGAGCTTCTGGCTTGGGTCCTAATTAAATCAGGGCAAAGAGTATAATGTTACAAATAGCAGAAAAATGACTCAGCCACCCTTTGACACAAACACCCAAACTCCATAATTCCTTTTGGCAGAGGACAAAAAAGATCAAACTGCCGGAGAGGCTGGGGATGTAGCTCAGTTAGCAGAGTATTTGCCCAGCACACACAAAGCTCTTGGCTTTACACCAGCAATGCATACAACTGGGTATGGTGGTTTACTCCTATCATGGCCAGAACTAGGGTAGTAGAAGCAAGAGGATAAGGAAGTCCGAGGTCCTGTTAATACTGGTATTATTTGATGTGAGCATCCATCTGTATAATGTCTTCCAGTTTGCTTTTTTTCTTTTCCTTCTCTTTCAATGCTGGAGATCAAATCCAGGGACTTGCACATGCCAAGTAAATGCTCCACCTCTGAGCTTATGGCCCCAACTTCCCAGTGCTGGTATTGGAGATGCAGCACCACACCCGTCTTCTCTGATTTTAAATGTGCTTTCTGGGGTGCTAGTAGCACTCCATTTTTTAACTTACTGAACAACTACATAAACATGCTTACTTTATGAAAATTCACCCTTACTGTTTGTGCCTATTTTGCCCTCTGTGCTGGGTAGTTTTATATCAACTAGACACAAGCTAGGATCATTTGAGAAGAGGGAACTTCAACTGAGAAAATGCCCCCTCCGGAGGCCCAGCCCAGTGGGGGTCTCCCCTAGGTAGGTGGTCCTGAGTGGTGTTAAGAAAGCAGGCAGAACAAGCCATGAGACTGAGCAGGTAAAGAGCATTCCTCAATGGTTTCTGCTTCAGTTCCTGCCTCCAGATTCCTGCCCTAACTTTGACAATGGACTATGATATAGACATGTAAGAAAAAGAAACCCTTCCTCCTCACGTGGTTTTAATCACGGTGTTTATGGTGGGTTTGCTTTTTTTGCTTTGTTTTGTTTTTTTGGTTTTTTGAGACAGCGTTTCTCTGCAGCTTTGGAGCCTGTCCTAGAACTAGCTCTGTAGACCAGGCTGGTCTCGAACTCACAGAGATCCACCTGCCTCTGCCTCCTAAGTGCTGGGATTAAAGGTGTGCGTCACCACTGCCCGGCCAATCATGGTGCTTTATTACAGCAACAGAAGGCTAGCCTAACTGAAACACCAATATATCACTTTAAAAAACAGCTGGGGTGGGGGCTAGAGGGATGGCTCAGTGGTTAAAAGCTTTTCCAGAGGACCAGCACCCACACAGCCACTCAAAACAGTCCTAACTCCAGTTCCAGAAGACCCAATATTCTCTTCTGGTCTCCAGGGGCACTGCGTGCACATAGTGCATAGACATACATACACCCATATACACAAAATAAGAAAATAATATTTTTAAAAATGAGGGAGGGCTGGAGAGATGACTCAGCCATTAAGAGCACATGCTACTTTTCCAGAAAACCCAAGTTTAGCTCCTAACACACGTCAAAACCACCTGTCAAGCCAGGTTAGGGGGGCACATGCCTTTAATCCCAGCACTTGGGAGGCAGAAGCAGGTAGATATCTGAGTTTGAGGCCAGCCCTGTGGTCTACAGAGTGAGTTCCAGGACAGCCAGGGCTACAGAGAGAAACCCTGTCTTAGAAAACCAAAAGAGAAAGAGAGAGAGAAAGAGGGAGGGAGGGAGGGAGGGAGGGAGGACCAAAACACCTGAAACTGCAGCCTTAGAGGGCCCTCCAGCCTCCATGGGAATCTGTACTCACGTGTATAAACCCACATACATATACATAATGAAAAATAATAAAAATTTACTTAAAAAAAAACTTAAGTGACTAAAAATAAAACACAGCCTTGGAAGATTGGGGTTAGGAAAAATATTTATGTTTCAAAGCAAGAAGTCCTGGGCTCTGTGTTAGATAAATTATATTTGAAAAGAGGACATGGACCATGATAGAATGCTATGGCCATGGAGAGAGGAACACGGAAAGAGAATCCAGCATCCTTGAAGCTTTGTGAAATACACTTACCAACAATCTGGGCAGAAGAGACATTTTTATCACCATTAATGTCATCAACCTGCAAAACACGATTGTTACCAAAGGAAAAGACAATGAACAACATCTTTAGACAAAGTACTAATACTGGTACCAGCTCCTTTATTTTCCAAAAGCTAAGCTGTTCACCAAAAGCAACAGAATTTGCTCCTAAGAAAATGCCTCCTAGTCTCTCTGAACCACAGACACCATGCCAACCTCTGACCTGCCAGGCAAACAAAGAAAAAGTCTTACCACACTGTGACACTTTTCAGCTTCCAGGCAAAGCAAACTAGTAAATCTACAAGAACCAAGGCCTCAAGGACTGGTGAACTGTTGACCATGTTTTGATACATGGACTACTAAAGCGTGAGAAAGACTCAGCTCCAGGAGAAAACACATCAACTAGAGATGAAAACCAATGGGAAGAATGATCAGAGAGAGCCTCCTAGGTGAGCAATTTACATAGCAAATCCACAGCAGCTTGTTTTCTAAGTAAACCATATGGAACAGCCCCCAAAGGCATGGATATATGGGTCATATATGTACGTATATCCAAGACTGGCAGGAAACAAGTAATTGTGAAGCAGAGCTGCTGTTACAATCACAGTTCAAGGCATCTTTACTACATGAGCCATTTACCCATCACCCCAAACCCCCAAGCTCTAGGGACTGCACCTACACAACAGACACACACCTTACCACTCAACTACTTCCCAACAGTTTTTTTAATTTTTATTTTGCAACAAGGTCTTCAATTTGCAATCTATCTACTTCAGTTCCCAAGCTGTTAAGATTACTGGCCTGTGGCAGAGGTTTGCTCTATATAAGTTCTAACTATAAGAATAAACTGTGAAGCCAACGCTACAGGCCAAAAATGAGTGACTGGATATCTTTGGTTAAGACAAATACTGTTACTATTGTTCCCCATGAATGTTGAAAACTTAAAAAAAACTGGTACTTTAATAAATATATTATAATATCAAATTACAGTAACTCAATGTAATTCTCAGACTAAGTACAACAAATATATCTATATTTAGTATCTTGAGTAGGGCACTACAACTTTCTTTTTTACTTTTTTTAGATGGGCTCATGTAGTCCAGGCTGACCTTGACTCTTGATCCTCCAAAGTGCTGAAACTATAAGCATGTGCCACCATGCCCATTTGAGTACTATAACTTCCTAAGAGCAGCTCCTTCCTGATTCCTGGATTCAGTGCCAACATAGCAAGCCCACCACAAATGCCACCAACAGCGCACCACATCTCCAGGGCAGTATAAAAGCAACAAGGAATCCCAAAGCAAGAGCAACACCCATACTAAGTTGATCAAAAGTTTGCCTTCCCTGTTGTTATTATTTTGCTCTCTTCATGGGATTCACTCTCTTGCCGTTTATCAAAGAGGCTCAGGCACTTACAGACTCATACGATGGGGGAGTTGCTGGTATCTGAGGTGGGTGAATGTTAGGAAAGGCCTGGTAAGTCCCAACTGGCAAACCACTGAAATCCGACTGCAAGAGAAAAGCAGTATCAGAAACCCTGCTCCCAATCTGTAACTTCTGTATGGGATGGGAAGAAGTATGTGTGAATACACAGTATATAAGTAAGTATGTATGTATGTATATGTATCCTCAGAGGAAAGAAAGGCTCAAAAGGATGACATGTGATCAGAAAGACTACAAGCTTAAAGATCTACTACAACGGTTATTCCTCAAATACCACATCAAATGCTTCAATGTCTATCTCCAAGGAAAAAAAATCGAAACACTTTCTTGTTAGAAATAACCTACTGTAAAAATGACATCCGGTCAACGAAGATTTTTCAGCCTGATAATAAAAGGAAGTTCTTCATTTTCAGAAAGAAAGAAAACAAACAAACAAACAAAAACTACTAGCATTACTGCAACAGGTACCGAGATGTTTAGTAACCTTTTCCTACCACTATCTTTAGATTGTTCTACTTCGGTACTTGCAGCAGACACCAACGACTTTCCTCAATCTGATATTGTTCCTCAAAACACTTGCTTGGTTACTCAGCTAATACAAATATTCTTTTTATTCTGTATTCCTCAAAACCTACAATTCCTCAATGTGTTTATAGAGACCATATGTCCTCTTCTGCAACATTTTCTAAAGCTCACATCCACACTTTCTTTAAATACACATACTTACTGGTCCCTTTGGCAGTGGATATGAGAAGGGAGCATTTGGAGTGGGCATAGGCATGGGCATGGGCATGGGCATTGGCACTGTTCCATCAGGTCCACCAACAGGGGCTGTGAACCCGCCCCCTCCTCCTCTTCCAGGACCACCTTTCTTCACATCATCTGTAAATCCAACATCAATAAGGTCTGTCTCCACCCCAGCAGGAGCTTCTGCCTAAGAAACAAACACAAATACTTAATCCAGGTCCACAGCCATGCTCCCTAGGAGAGTCTAGGGATACACACATAAGCATAAAAGTTGTTTACTCTAGAGTGCTCATAATTTCAGCACCCGCAGGGCATGTGAAGGAGGTGGGGAAAACACTACACTGCAATGCTCCACCATAGCCTCAGACAATTCCCAAGGAACAAGGGAGCCTACAAAGGTCTCTAAGAGAAGGAAAAGAGCAGAATGTAAAGATTTTAAAACACCCTGTCCTGGACAGATTCAGAAAGAAAATGCCCCAGGAAGGAATACTTTCTTCCACTGAGGGCCAGTTCTGAAGGAACACTCAGGTATGTTTCTACACACTAATGCTCGGGGGGGAGGGGGTTGGAAGCTGCTATCCATCCTGGGGGTGTCTGTGTACAGGAGGTTTGCTTAGTATAAGAGCTTCTACCACACCACACTAAGTTTAACTGTTGAAGCATTTATATTCAGGACAGAGAATCTGTAAACATGCATCCCCACAATCAGCTTTTGGACCATTACCTGCACACAGCACAATAAGTGAACCACATCGTGTAGTTGGTATTTTTTACTCCTTGTAGGCCCACTGCCCAGCTCCCCAATAAATACTCAAGAGACTTATTCTTACTTATGAATGTCTGCCCTTAGCTTGGCTTATTTCTAGCCAGCTTTTCTTAAATTATCCCATCTACCTTTTGCCTCTGTGCTTTTACCTTTCTATATACTATATACCTTTCTTTACTTCTTACTCTGTTGCTGGCAGTGTTCTGGGTGTATGGCCCCTGGTGTCCTCTCCTTTTTCTTCTCTTCCTCCTCCCTTTATTCTCCTCTTTCTTCTTCTGTCTGGCAGTCCCGCCTATCCCTCTCCTGCCTGGCTATTGGCCATTCAGCTCTTTATTAAATCAATCAGGTGTTTCAGACAGGCAAAATAGCACAGCTTCAGAGTTAAACAAATGCAACATAAAAGAATGCAACACATCTTTGCATTATTAAACAAATATTCCACAGCATAAACAAATGTAACACATCTTGAAATAATATTTTATAACAATGTAGCCAAGTTTTAGGTATTACAATTTCTTCAAACTTGCTGAAAGGTAAAAATAATATGCTTTTACATTTCTGTCAAGATTGTGCATTCTCAAGATGCCTTCATTCATTCATTCAATCTCATGCTTTAAGTGTGAGATTTGCAGGTATACTTATTGTTAAGAAGGCACTAGCAGAACAAAGGTTTACTCACTCAAATTCAGCTAGCATAAATAATACCCTCATCAAGCAGTTCTACACGGGGACTCATTTTCCTTTGTGCTCTGGCATAAACTTACCATGACCACAGAGTCAGGTTCATAGGGTACATTGTAATTCTTGGCAATTTCAATCAGGTATCTTTCCACTAGGATTTTGGGTGGGGCTTCCACACTCAGTTTGTGCATTAGCTGTAATAAAATATTAATGTTAAGAAGCATCTGTACAACAGTCTAATCCAAACTTGTTACTTTTAAAAAACTAATTCCTTGGGGTTGGGAGGAACTAAGCTCGGTGGTAGAGTGTGCTTAGGTCCTGGGTTCGGTCCTCAGTACAGAAAGGAGAAAAGAAAAAACAAAAATAACAAAAAAGACATATATATATATATATATATATATATATATATATTAGTTCCTCTCATTACTAGTAAAATTGGAGAAAAATAAAGATAAACTATTTTTTTTCCAGTCAGAAGGCACATTGGGACCCATGCTTTTCTCACTCTCTCTAGCTGCATATGAGATAGACACAAGAAAAGATTCAACACTAATACCATTCCCATTTCATTCATCCAACCCTTCTTTCTACTTTCTTCCTGCCTTCATAACATACAGAACACGGAAAAGACAAAAGCAAGCACCACAATCAGGTGTTGGGCAGCAAAAGAACCCGACTGTACTGCCGGCCACACAGCCATCCTCTGACCTTCATTATACTATAAAATACACCCCTCAACTAACTCAGCCATGCACCTGCACAACTTAAGCCCCTGCTGGTAATAAAACTATCTTTCCCACTGGGTCCTGTTTACAAGTATGTTCTTTACCCTATCGTTCACAGTCCCAATCTGGTTGGTCCTGCACAGCTTGCCATATTCCTTGCTATATTTAGCACAGAGCTGATCAGCAACCTACAAAAAAGGAAGAAGAAAGAAAATTTTAACAGAAACCACTCCAGCTTCACACTTCCTATCAACATTAAATGTATCTTTATGACTAGGTTTAAAGAAACAATGCCTATGAAACCTTATTAAACAGACACTATTTATTCACTTACCCAGAAAGCAACAAGCTAACCACAAACACTATCGTTAAGCATGAAATACACAACAATGAGCTGAGCAAGGTGGCACACACCCACAAACCCTTTAACTAGGGAGGTAGAAGCAAGAGGATCAGTTCAAGGCTAGCCTGGGTTACATGAGATCTTTTTTTCAAAACTCCTCTCCCACCCTCCAAAAATAGTAAAATGATGATGAACAAAAATACACACTATTCCTACTTTTAGGGAGTCTTAAAATCTCTGTGCAAATAATATTAACAGTAAAAACAACGCAATAAAGGTCCACCTACAGCTAAGATAAATGCTCCTAAAGGAAGGCACACATGCAAATCAGACCTGAGCAGAAAAGTGAGATGAAGTTGCCTCTGAAGAAAACAATGTTTTGTCAATATCTGAAAGATTATTAGAAATTAACTAAGCAAAGAGCTGGGTATAGTATCAAGTCTCTGTAATCCCTAATGGGAGGCAGAAGGAGGAGGAGCCCCAAAGTTTGAGACCAGGCAGGGCTACATCGTTAAGAAAGAAACATAACAAGTTAACAAGACCAGAAAGAAAATTGTTCTAGGGAAATGTGTAAAGGTCTCCTGGGACTAAACATGGTCAATACACAAACATGAAACACAGTCAGTGAGCCTATAGTATAGAACCTAAGAGTATAATAACAACTGAAGACCAGTCTGGCCTACAGAGTTAGCTCTAGGACAGCCAGGACTATACAGAGATACCCTGTCTTGAAAAATTTAAAAAAAAAAAATTTTTTTTTAGATTCAACAGTTAGCACATAAATCTGCCTTTTAGAAAGTTGTTCAAATTCTCAGAACAGTATTTTATGCCATAAAGGTCTAAAAAGGAATAACTACTGAACAAAGTCTATTTTAAAACCAGGAGGTACAAGATAAAGATACCCAGTCAAATAAACAGCCTTTTCTTTTTGGTGTTTTGTTGTTGTTGTTGTTGTTTCGAGCAGGCTTCCTGTAGCTTGGAAGCCTGTCCTGAAGCTAGCTCTTGTAGACCAGGCTGGCCTCGAACTCACAGAGATCTGCCTGCCTCTGGCTCCCGAGTGCTGGGATTAAAGGAGTAAACTACCACCACCTGGCTATAAACAAACTTTTCTAATACCAAAAACTACAAAGGCTGGGCATGGTGGCACATACATATTTTTAATCCCAGTACTCAGAGGCAGAGAAGGGTAGTTTTCTGTGAGTTCCAAGCCAACTAGAGTGACATAGTGAGACCCTTGTCTAAAACAAAATAAAGCAAAAACAAAAGTCTACAGACATTATAGAAACTGCTTGTACTCACTATTTTCAACTCAGCCACTTCGGACTGAAGTCGAGGAGCAGCCCAGATCAGTGTAGACACAGATTCAGCCAGACCAGAATCTAGTTCCCTAAACAAAAAAATAAATTTAAAAAATTTATATATATATAAGTTTATATAAATTTATATATATATATATATATAACTTAACATCTTTAAAACCAACAAAATCATAGTTTTTATATCATAGACCAGATGACCTCCAAAGTTATTTCACAAACTACACTGGCTTCAGGTAATTGACTTTTCAGCCTTTCCATTTCCCTGTTTGCTTCTGAAGAAACAAAAACTAAGTGACATGTTCAAATCCTCAAAACCTCACACAAGCTGAACCAAGACTCAAACCTGGGACACTGGACTTCCAATTCTGTTTTCTTTTCACTAATGGCAAACAGATCCTTGGGAATGCCAAAGAACTGCTTAGTGTTAGCCTGCTGCAGATGCACACAGACTGAGAAAGTATTATTCCATTCTCAAATTCCACGTTTGTTTAGCCTCTCAGGCAAGATATCTTACTTCATAGACTGGATAAGGCCAAACCGAGCCAGCAGCAGGTCACAGTACAGCTCCAGGATCTCCATGGCCTCCACAAGGTAGTCCTCCCGGATAATGTGCTCCACACGGATGCGTGCTCGCTCATCCTTTCCAGCAGCCAGATAGTCAGCGATCTCCTTCCTTGCTTTCTGAGCCAATTCCGCTGGGACACAAACCCCATTCCAGTCACACAGCAATAATGCACTGGAACCTGGCCAGTTGGCAGACCTCCACCCAACAGAGAGGACTGGGAAGGTTCTACTGTAATCTACAGTATCCTAGCTCATACTCACTTACACATCTACTCTCATCATAGCTGCTCTAGAAGTCACCACCCTACATAGATGATCTAAGACACAGGCTGACATTTCCAACTCAGAAGCCAGAGTCAGGAAGGATACTTAACTACTCCACAATAGCAGCTAAACATCCAAGAGGCATTGGTTCCAGGATACCTATGGATATCACAACCAGAGGGCTGAAGTGCCTGGGACATATAAAATGGGACAGAATAAGCAGACCATTTATGCTTAGCCTCCTGTATACTTTAAACCACACCTAGATTACTTATACGTGTAATATAAATGCCTGTTACAATGTATTATTTTGGAATAACGACAAGAAGTCTGTACATACTCAATACATAGACACTTTTCTCTGAATATTTCTGATCCACATTTGTCTGAATTCACAGGTGTGGAACCCATGGATGCAGAGATTACAAATACAGAGGGTCAACATTACATCCCCTTCTGTGGTGGTTTGAAAGAAAATGTCCCCCAAAGGGAGTGACACTATTAGTACTGGCCTTGTTGGAAGGAAGTGTGTCTCTGTGGAGGCAAGCTTTGAGGTCTCACATATGCTCAAGCCATACTTAGTGAAACAGACCACTTCTGGTTGCCTGCTCAAGATGTAGGACTCTCAGCTACCTCTCCAGCACCATGTCTGTCAGCACATTGTCATGTATGGACTGAACCTCTGAACTGTAAACCACCACAATTAAATGCTGCCTTATAACTCTTACATTACCCACATAAGAGTTGCTGTGGTCATGATGTCTCTTCACAGCAACAGAAACCCAAAGACACCTTCTCTGCAATGAAGTGTTTCAATTTAACTATATACAAGAGGCAGACATGTATCCTAACTGCAAAGCTATACAAGACTCCATAGTACTAGCCTGAACGATCCTGTTTGGGATGCTGGTAGCTGGTTTTTAAAAAAAAAAAAAAGACTAAAAGGGGGGGGGGGTGCACAGAGAGAGACATGACAGACACAGTACTCACTTTTTTTTTTCTCCAACAATTTAAGACGATTTATGACTAATCTTAAATTGACTCGTAAGCGCTCAGCTTTGAAGCCGGAGCCCAGCATGCTGTCCTGCTCCTTCTGGAAAAAGTAGCAGCACAAGAGTCCAAATTAGTTCAGAAACTAGTACTACTTAGAAGCAGACTGTAACAAACCAGAGTGGTTTCTTTCCTTTTTTCTTTTTAGTGCTGGGAATTGAACCAGGGCCATATGCATGTCAAGCACATATCTACCACTGAGGTATCCCCTCAGTCGATAGGGATTTTCTAATACAACGATATGACCTAAACATTTTGTTTACATTATCATTTTACCATTGTTCAAAGAACTGACTGAATAGGAATAAGTGGACATAAAATCTGAAAGAATCTGGTGAAAGTTAAATTTGTATGTAGGTATTGGCCACAGGAATAGGGTGATTAAAAAGACAAGAAGGCCAGGCATGGTGACACACACCTTTAGTCCTAACACTCAGGAAGTCGAAGCAGGCAGATCTCTGTGAGTTTGAAGCCAGCCTGGTCTACATAATGAGTTTCAGGATAGCCATGGTCACAGCTACAGAGACAAACTGTCTCAAAAAACAAAACCCCAAACAACAAAATAAAGAGGCAAGAAGTACTCCTGCCACCCCACAAAAAAATTCTCAAAAAATGGTGGTCATTTAAAAAAAAATTGCCAAATTTAAAGCAAAAGTCAAAATACCCTTATGTTAATTTCTCAAATATTGCTACTAAATTTGACCCTTTGAGAAAAACTACTGTCTAGTATCACAGAAATATCAGTAGCATTTACTTAGGCACAGAGTTATAGGGGGTGGTGAAGAATACAGGCAGGAACCTACTCTACAAAATTCTACAAGAGAACACTGTTTACCAAGATATGCACTGACAGCCATAAGAATCAACAGAACCATCACAGGATGTCAGGACACACAACTGTGCATTGACCACTGTATATTCTATTTCAAGATAGCACAATTTCTATTTCTTAATTTTAGTTCTGGACTCAAAACTTTAATGTTCACGTAGAAGCTAGATCTGACAAAGTAACCAAAAAAGATACAAATAAAACAGACAAAATGTACAAACACCAGGACTAGTATTTGTGTAAAAAGTGCTTTCAGAAGATAACAGAATATACTTCCTTCTGTGAAACTGCATCAAGAAAACTTCATACAACACTGAATAACTTGTATGTCACAAAATAACTTTCATCCATTATGCCAAATTATGTTCAATACATTCAACAAGTATTTATTGATTATGTGCCAGACTTTGGCTAGATGCTGAAAAATAAAGTGTTAAGTACAGCCTCTGACTCTCACAAGAAAATCATATTCTACTGAAGAAAAAAATAGTTAAAATCCAGCAGGCTATAGCAGTGTTTGAAAAGGATTATGATTCTAGAGTCTCTCAATTGGGAGTGACTGGAGACATCTTACACTGTCGTAACTGGAGGGGAAGCTATTGCCCACTAGTGGGTAGAGGCCTAGGATGCTGTTAAACATGTAAGAATGAACAAGACAATGTCCTTACAACACCTCCAAAACCTCAACAAAACCAAGACTGAGAAACCCACTGTAAATAAATGTCGCAAATTCTTAGGACAATCATAATGAAAGGTTCCTCAGATAGCAAAGCTTAAGCTGCGTCCTAAAGAAGAAAACAGGTCTGTGTAAAGGGAGAATGAAAGCCTGGTGTGGTGGTACAAGCTGACACATCAAGACCCTGTCTCAAACGGAAAACCTCCCAAGTACAAGGAGTTGTATGTGTAAAATCCCAGGTTCCAGAGAACAAGGTTTCTGAGAGTTAGACTCCTGACACTCTAGCAGACTATGTGTTCACAAATCCAAACAACATCTATATTTTTAGGCATTCATAAGCAGAGATGGATAGGAAGTAGGAAGAAAGAAATGCATTAACAACTACTATCATATATTTTCTAGTCACCTGCACTAAATCAGCCAGCTACTATGGGTAGAACTAAGAATAAAATTTAAATGCAAGTCAGGAGTGGCATCTGTAGCCCAAACTGATGAAAGAGGTAGGATTCCTTGCGTCTTAAGCGTTCCAGCCTAGGCAGTCTGACCACTCTGCAACTACCAAGGCCCAGATCCAGGGTGATATGTTGGCCCACTCAACATCCACCCCATCTGTGATTTGCTGGAGCACAGGAAGGAAGGGACGGGTCCTGCAGACTCAAAGCTACAAGGCAACAGCAAGATAATCAAGGGAAGTTTCAGCAAAGGCCCAGCATCAATAGTTCAATAGTGTAGCAGAAGCCAGAGGACTCAATTAGATCAATGATTCTCTGCAATCAACAGTTGCAAGTAAAGATATGTAGATAAAAGGGATTACAGCATGACTTATTGCGTCACAATACAGTGTCCATGACGAGATTGGTTTTTTTTTTTCCCTTTCCTTTTTCCTCCATAACTCCAGTTCCAGAGAATATGATTCCCTGTTCTGACTTTCACAGCTGTGCTCATGGTGTATTTACCTACATACAAAAATTACAAGAAAAAATTAATTTAAAAGAAACAAACAAATATTAGAAGAGTAAGAAACTTGATGTAAAGGATCAACAACAGAATGGAAAAATGACAGAAGAAAAAGCCAGTACACTTGGAGAGATCAATAAAACTCTCCAATATGAAAAAGAAAACTACTGATTAAAAAAAAAACACTGATAAAAACAAAAAAATAACACAATCAGAGACAGTTCAGTGGTTAAATGTGCTTGTGGCACAATCATGAGCATGGGAATTTGCATCCCAGCAAGCATGTAACAAGCCCACATATGCTTATAACCTTAATACTAATCTAAGTGAAGCCAGGCTCACTGAAGCTTGCTGGCTTCCAGCCTCACCAAGAAAACTCAAGTCTCAGGTTCACAGAGACACCTGCCTCCAAAAAAAAAAAAAGAGAGAGAGAGAGAGAAAGAAAATATGATAGATAGAGGACACAAGACACCCCCTTCAGTAATCTATGCAAGAACATAGGTGTGTATACTTACACATACATGTGCATATACCAAAATCATAAATACACAAATAAAAATGAACAAAGTAACCAGGTGGTGGTGATGCACACTTTTAATCCCAGCATTCAGATTAGGGTTCGGATTAGAGACAGGTGGACCTCCGAGTTCAAGGCTAGCCTGGTCTACATTGCCTGGGCAGTCAGGGCTACACAGAGAAACTCTATTGTGGCGGGAAGAAGAGAAAAAGGATTTTAAAAGGCCATTAATTCGAAGGACAGCAGGGAAGAGTATGCAGAGGGCTTGGAAAAAGAAAAGGAAAGGGGGAAATTATAATCTCAAGAAAAATTTAATGAGTAAAATCTCAACTACTGGCAAAATAATAGAAGAGTCTAACATTTTTATCAAACGCCACAGAAATTGGGAATATTGTTCAATGCTAAGGCATTTGCAAGATGTCCTAGATTTGAGCTTTGCACTGTACAAAAAAAAAAAGAAGCTACTTGAAAATAATTAGCTAGAAATTCCCCTAAATTAACACACATACACGCAGAGACTCAAAAAACTCCAAACACAACAAAACCCAAAGAGGTTTATGCCCCATCTCATCATAAACTGCTGAAATCAGATTCAGATTTGTACCACCAACCCGCCCCAAGACAGGGTCTTTCTGTGTAGTGCTGGCTGTCCTGGAACTCACTCTGTATACCAGGTTGACCTCAAACTCACAAATCTGACTACCTCTGTCTCCTCAAAAAGAGTGTGTCACCATGGACAAATTTTTTAAAAACTGAATGAAACCAGATAAAAGCAATATACTACCTATTATCTATAGTGCATTTATTCATATGACCAAATACAGTGTGGCATGATCCTACTGCTCCAGCTACTTGAAATGAGAAGGGAGGATCATCAGAGACCAGCACAACGCAACCAAGAACCCAAAAATCAGAAAGAAGGGGACAGGCTAAAAAATTTCACCAAAACTCATGGAAACCAAAAGAAAAGTCATTTTCAAATACTGGGGGGGGGGGGGGGTGGAGACACCATCAATCCAGAAACCTTACATCTGGCAAAATATCCCTCAGAATTAAAGGTGAAACAAGACATGATCACGTGAGGGAAAACGAAAAAGAAATTGTGTCCTCAGCGGAATTGCTCTAAAAAAACTGCCAAAGAAAGGGTCAATGAGATAGCACAGTGTGAAAGTGCTTGCTGCAAGCCTGGTGGGTTCAAGCCCAAGCGTAGCACAAATAATAAAAACTCAAAGACAGATACTAGGTTCAACTGGAAGATCAGAAGAGCAAAGCAGCCAAGCCACTAGAGAGCTCTTACCTCTATGAAATCCAAGATTGAAAGAAAGTGAGTTCCTGTCTCATCCCACTTTATATTCCTCTCTAGTGCTAGGATTAAAGGCATGCACCACCTCCACTCTATGGCTAACTAGTATGGATGCTGGGGTTAAAGGTGTGCACCACCTCCACCTGGCCTCTACGGCTGACTAGTGTAGCTGTTTTGTGTTCTGATCTTCAGGCAAGCTTTATTTATTTATTAAAATACAAATGAAATATAACTACACCCCAGAACCCAAAAAAAGGTGGAGAAAGAAAATCAACTGCACCAAGTTATCCTCTGGACACGCACAGCATCACACCTGCCACCCCTCCAACACACACAAAGATACAGAAATGACGAATCTGTATGAATAAACCTAATAGATTGTTTCTCTCAACTCTGTTAAATTTGACAGTTTAAAACAAAACCAGTATTTTTTTTTTTTAAGTTTTTCGAGACAGGGTTTTTCTGTAAGCTTTGGAGCCTGTCCTGGCACTAGCTCTTGTAGACCAGGCTGGCCTAGAACTCACAGAGATCCGCCTGCCTCTGCCTCCAGAGTGCTGGGATTAAAGGCGTGCGCCACCACCGTCCGGCCAAAACCAGTATTTTTATGGGATTTCAATACACATAAATGTAATACTTAAGAAAACCATTACTTAAGGGGAAGAAGGTAAAACGACCTATATAATGAAATGGTAAGATTTCTACATTCTACCATAAGTGGAAAAACACTGACTCTAAAAACGTCTATCATCTCTACAGCAATCACTATCACTCACATTCACACACACACTTTAAAGATTTTTATTTTTATTCATGTGTATGTATGTATCTGTGTATGCTGTGTATGCCACATGTAGGCAGGTGTCCTCATAGGCCCGATAGCTCATTGGTTAAGAGCATTCACTGGCTGCTCTTCCAGACAACCCTGGGTTGGATTCCCTGCACCTACATGGTAGCTTACAACTGTCCGGTAATTCCATTCCCAGGGGATCTGGTGCCTTCTTTTTGGCCTATGAGAGCACCAAGCATTGACAAGAAACACACACTAACATGCAGGCAAAACATGCAAATACATAAAAAAAAATATAACTGTACATACCTGAATACTCGGCATTTGAAAGACAAGACACAGATTCTAGGCAAGCTCTCTCCAAATGAGCTACACTAGTTACAATAGAAAATATATTAATAAGCCCCTAGCATCTAAATTGCATTTTGGGGGAGGTGAGGTTAAACAGGCCCTCACTCTGCATCACAAGTTGCCCTGAAACTCTCTACAATCCTCTGTCTCACCTTCCCAAGTGTTAGGGTTACTTGGTGCATGATGCTCACCCGCAACTCTTTTTATTGATATGTATGCTAGCATGTGTTTGGAGACCAGAAATCAACTTCGAGTGTCTTCTTCAACCTTATATTCAGGACAGGGACTCTCACTGGTTGGATAAACTGGCTGGCCAAAAATCCTCTAGTGCTTACCTCTCCAGCACTGAGATTAGACACATGCTAACACTACCACCTATAAACACTTTACCAACTGGGCCTTCTCAGGCCTTCAATTATTTCACATATACAACCAAAGAGCAGAGCATAGCATAACATCTTGCCCAAAACCTAGTACTTGTTATGCTGATTATGAGGAAACTTAACTAAATATAATTTTCCTAGTTTAACCACTCACACTTTTTTTTTTGCCATGTTGAGATGAAAATACTCAGGAACATATATGCTAGGTAAGTGTTCTGCCACTGAGTTACATCCCAGCAGAAAAAGAGACATTTCAATGAAAGCTGACATCAGCTTTCAAGGAGTTCACATCTGAGACTAAACAATGGACAACCAAAACACAGGCCTAATGAATAAATCATGAAAACCAGCTCTCAGTTTTCTACCCTGCTCATACAGGAAGAGCCTACTGTGACTGTGCTGCTATTTTTATTTTTATTAATAAGAGTCATACATGGATCATCAGCCTCACTTAGTATTCTAAGCATCTGTCAATTCCTCATTTTACTCAAATCCTTAACAAAATCAAAACTTAGTTTCTCACCACTCAGATCCTTAGAGGCTTCTTCATTCTTAGTAGGAATAAAGAGAGGAATTTAAGGTAATTTAGGGAAGGAAAATAGAGACTGCTGCATCAAGAACTGCAACCCAAAACACTGAAACAACAGTCATCTTGAAACCTCCATTACAACACACACAGACACATCATCAGCCAGCTTTAGAGTCCATAGCTGCAAAGAACCAAGAGAGAAATGCGATGCAATACAGTGGCAGGACACACGCTGGGACGCTAGTGAGACGTGTTTTCCAAGACACATAAATCAAGTTCTTCAATGGATTATTTGTACAGTCTGCCAGCAAGTTTACTGTACTTTCATACGATATAGTTTAATCAAATATTTGCTGACAAAACCAATCAAGACTGATATTTTCAGAGCCGAGTGGTGGTGGCAGTGCACGTCCTTAATCCCAGCACTCGGGATGCAGAGGCAGGCTGAGTTCCAGGATAGCCAGGACAACACAGAGAAACCTTTCTCAAAAACAAAAACCAAAAAAGACTGAAATTTCAATAAAGGAATCACACAACCAACAACGTGTGAAATTCACAACAAAGACTAGGCTTCGGAGTCCAGGCGCCATCAGTTTTAAGAAGTTACCAATGCTAGAATGAATCGGCATTATAAGACTTCTTTAAAGTTTTATTAAAATATAAACACATTGCAGAAAACTCTCAGGGTGTACATTTTTGGTTGGCTTTTACTGGATTCTTTTGCTTTTTCTAAAACTAGAGTTCACTCTAACCTAGGCTGGCCTCAAACTCATGGCAATCCTCCTGCCTCAGCCTCTAAACTCTGGGGTAACAGACCTGCCACAATGACCCAAAGTTCTGAAGACATTTTAAGTTGTAGGTAGGTGTCAGGAGCATGTATCACAAGCTACTGTGGATGATGACGCAATTACAGCTTATAGCAATTGATAATTCAGATATCAACCCACCAGAGAAATTATTCTCAGACAAAGGAACCCTGCGAGGCAGGGCCTACTACTACGGAAAACGGTTGCTTTCATCTGTAACTTCACTTGTGCAATAATAGCTGTGATATCTTCCATTACCATGTTTTCATACAATGTGTATATGTAATCTCATGATTGTGTCTCAATCTTATGGGCACATATATCTGTGAGTGGTCAGGAAAATGAGTTTTATTTAGCTATATAATTTTGATATATAGAAAATATACTAGGACATACTTCATAACTAAATCTATTTGTCCCACAACAACTATAGACACTTAAAAGCCCGCTGTTCCTTTTGCTCAGACTACTAACTGCACACAATTAGCTTGCTTTCACCGCAGAGCAAGTTCAAACTAGACTAAAGACGTTTTGTAAATAGTTTAAAATTGTACAGCTATGCACAAGGTCAGAGTCACAAACTCTGACAAGGTTGCAACACAAAGCACCCTAAGAAAAGCATGCCAATTCTTCACTTGTCAATCTGCTGACAATAAACCTATGCCTCAAAGTTTGTCACTGGGCACTGTGCCCCCAACACCCACCTCCATCCCCCCACCTGGTCATGGTCCTACTCTTGTAACCTTGGAGCCTTCTACTGCCATGCCAATGGCTTATCCTAGAATGTGCTTTTGACCAATGACAAGTAACTCTTGTAATTTTTTTTATCACTCCAAGCCTCCTGTAGAAAAGTTTGGAGGCTGAAAAAAAGAAGCAGCTAGGGAAAATTAGAAGTAGAACAGGGGAATCAGAATAGAGGCCGAAGAATAAAGAGACTAATTTGGAAAAGCAGAGAGTGAGAGCATTCGTTAATTCGTTCACCCTCAGATACCCAAAGAAAAAAGTCCCTTTCGCTTGCTGTGGTGTCCAATCTGAGCCCTGAAGAGGGTCTAGGGACTGGACCCCAAAGGCTCTCATCAGGTGGGGACTACGCACCATTATCCTTTCGCCATTTACAATCCTATCACATTATAAAAACCTTATTTGTATGACTGCTTAACAATTTCCATACTAATTGCCTGGACTTCTGACATCTGTACCATAGCAGGAATGCTGGAATGCATTACTTTTCCTGGGTTTGAACTGACTTATACAGAATACACTTTGTTTCGCAGTTTTACTTTAAACCACAACACGCCACATAAAACTGGGACTTGATCCTGATTAGAGCTTAAGTTAAGTGGACCAGAGTCTACCTGAGGGTTGCAGAGGGGTGCAGGTCATGTAGAAACCAGAGGCACAGGAAGAAAAGAGAGGGCTACAAAGTCACCGGAGGGAGGAGGAGGGAGAGTGTATTTTTATCAAGTGAGAATGTTAAAAGGCTGCATGACTTAAAAACAAGAGCGCTGGGGCTGGAGAGATGGCTCAGTGGTTAACAGCATTGCCTGCTCTTCCAAAGGTCCTGAGTTCAATTCCCAGCAACCACATGGTGGCTCACAACCATCTGTAAAGAGGTCTGGTGCCCTCTTCTGGCCTGCAGACATGCTCACAGACAAAATATTGTATGCATAATAAATAAATAAATAAAGATTTTTTTTAAAAAAAAAGAGTGCTGTGAGGTCCCCCAAGAAGGTCTGTGGATCAAAAAGCTTGAGGGGTTAGGGTCACCTCATAGCCAGGCGCAATCCTTTAATGCTAGCACTCGGGAGGCAGAGGCAGGTGGATCTCTGTGAGTTTGAGGCCACCTTGGTTCACAGAACTAGTTCCAGGACAGCCAGAGCTGTTACACAGAGAAACTCAGTCTCGGAAAATACATACATACATAAAGTTATCACCTCAGCTTTTAATAAGCTGGAAAAAATATATGCATAAGGAAAAATATGACTGAAACAAGATGGCATGTTGATTGTTCAGATTGAAGGAGTTACACTGTTTTGGTCTCATAATGAAAAACAAAGCTCAATTAAACACGAACGCCTAAGAGCAATAACAAATAAATTACAACCTCCTTTGAGCATCAGCCTAAGCGGACAGAAAGCACCGAGAGCCTCCCTCTGCTGTCCTAGTCCGAGCGAGGTCCGCACCGTAGTTCAAGTCCTGACCCCAGCACCCGGAAGAGCAGCGCGGGGAACGGCGACTATCGGGATCTGACTCCCTCCGCAGCGACCGCGGCGGGACACAAGGCCTGCCTGAGTGTCTCGACCCGACGACACGGCAGAGGGGTGTCTGCTCAGAGCCCAGGCCATGCCTGGGGAGAGAGGCGCCGGGGACAGCGACGCCAGCACCGGTCTCAGCGGCCCCACCTCCTCCCCGCGGCCCGAGCCCGACGTCGAGCCTGATCCCGACCGTCAGGGCTTCCTTCCCCGCCGACACGGCGATGGCTGGGGTCCGGGGAAGGGCGGGGCGAAGGACGAAAAGACAGACAAAGCTGCCGTGGCTACTGAGGGCACGCTCACCTGGAGGAATCCAGACGTGAGAAACGGAAGAGACAGACTTCCAATTAGCCACTCCGCGTCGAAAATGGCGACTCCCCCGACCTCATCACAGCGAACCCGGGCGGAGGAATCCGCCGGTTGTCTTAGCCACGCCCTCCCTCGCAGGGATTGGCTGCGCGCACAGCGCTGGGCGGTGTCACTCCTAGAGTCCCGCGTTTCCCACCCTCTCGGAGCCGGACGGGCTGGGGACTATTTCCCACCGCGGAGGCGCGGGACTTGGCTCGGGGCACGTCACGCGGAGATTTGAGTCACTGAACTAGGGGAGTGTCTTGCAATTTGCCCGGGGCGCGGTGAGGCGAGCGGAATCTGTTCCTGGAGTCGGTGCCCAGTACCCTTGTCCCAGATCGTCCAGCCCCTGGAAGAACCGGCTTCAGGCTACCTCGCAAACGTGCCCGGTTCTGTGCCAGCCTCGCTCGACCAGCGGTCGGACCTGGAGCATCGGCCATTTAAGAGTGGCTAGGCGGGATTCAGCGCTGCTGAGCCGACTTTCTCCCACGGCCTCTCGGCTCCTGTCTACCGACGCTGGTCCTCCCTTCCGCTCCCATACCGGGTCTGAGTACTGCCTTACCACGCTCTTATGCGACCTGCACCTTCACTAATGCTCCCTCCGATCCACCGCCGCCGCCACTTGCTCATATTTCTATCTATATTCAGAGGAAACTTTTCTGGGCTTAGAGTGAAAGGGCCTTCCAGTACTCTCGCTCTCGGCTCTGCTATAGAGGCCACAGCTACAAAGACCAGAACTGGGACTTGTCCTGAGTCAGTCGTAAAACGGAACTGCGGGTTACCTTAGTACGAGGATTGAATGGATTTGTAACCATGCGCTTTACTTCAAAGCTCCAGAACCCCAGAATACACAATATTTGGTTCCCTTAAAATGTCCCTTAAAATGTTCGGATCTTCCCCACAGTAAATATTTGCATATAGAAGATCATGGTATTTGTTGCTTTTTAAAAAAATCCTCTGACAGACTAAACTACCCCCTTCCCAAGTCTCAACAACAAATACAATGCTATGAAAGTTGCTCCTGAAACACAAATTAGTTTATTAGGCTTATTTACACAAACGTAGGTGACAGGTCACCCTACACTCCTGTGGGTGATCACTTTTCCCCAAATAAGACTGCACTGGAAAGGTTTTACCCGGTCGCAGATGAAGCCCACTCACCTAGTGGTCCCCAGCCTATACTCTAGCCCTTCCCCAGACCACAGACAATTAGGGCAGATTAGGTGATACAGGGTACCCAGATACCCAAGTGAGGGCTCCAAGGTCCTCCTGGCGTCTTTCTATGCGGGGATGATCTTTGCCTGTGGGCACAGCTAAATTCCTAAAGGTGGCTGTTGCTTGGCTCCAAGGATAGTACAGTAAGTACGACCACAACATTAAAAAAAAAATCATTTTTTAAAAAGTGGCCAATTGTTCAGATTTAAGGTGCCTAGAGACACCGAACCAAAGGTATAAATGTATGTGTATACCTTGTTTAGATGCAGTTTCAAATTAAACAATTATAAATTAGTTTATTGAGACAAATGAAGACATTAGATTATTAACTAGGTGATAACAAATACTACTTTGCTATTTTGTATGGAGACATCTTTTAATGTAAGAAATGCATAAAATAGCAGCCAGAAAAAAATCGGTAATGGTTTAATGCGATGGCGATGAGTTCTGTAGTGTCGTCACTACCTTTAGCATGTTTTAAGATGTTCAAAGTCACAGCTGGAGAAATGGCTCAGTGGCTAAGAGTGCATCAAACTGCTCTTCTGGAGGACCAACCTGTGACAGGTAACTTATGGCCACCTAATTCCAATTCCAAGGGATTCGACGCCTTCTGTTGGCCTCCTTGGGCACCTGCATTCACATTCAGAAACAGTCATTAAATTTTAAAAATAACTTTTAAAAGATGTTCAGAGCCATTAACCGAAAAGTTGGAATAAATTTGCAGAGTGTGGTTGTATACACCTTTAATCCCAGCAGTGGAGAGGCAGAGGCAGGACAATTTCTATAAATTCATGGCCAGCCTGGTCTACATAGAGAGATCTAGGACAGCAAGGACTTATTTGAAAACTTTTTGAATAATAAAATTTATAAAATTTAAAAAGAAAAGAGAAATGATGGCTGCAGTCCTGTAAACCCAGCATTTGGAGGTAGAGGCAGGAAGGTCGGTAGTTAAAGGTCATCCCTAATTACCTTGACAGTTCAAGGCAAACCTGACCCAGTTTTGTTTTGTTTTAAATGTTCTGAATTAATTCTTATCCTTCTAAAGGGATATATAATATTATACATGGACTGTAATTTTTCTTTGAGACTGGGTTTTGCTATGTAGCCCATTCTGTCTTCCAACTCTCTATCTTTCTTTTGTTTTGATTTGTTTTCTCAAGTGCTGAAATTGCACACCTGGTCTGGAATCATAAATATTTAAGCAGAGCTCTACTGATGGGCATTTAGGTTATTTCCAGTATTTTGCTTATGAACAATGCAGAGACTAGATGTTTACCAGCTTAAACTGTACTTCCTGGGTAAATTCCCAGAAACAAAAGAACTGGGCCAAAGAGTAGGTATGTTTTTATTCTAATAAGTATTGCCTAACACCTTTCATAGAAGTATCAGTTTACATCACTAACACAAAGCATGGAAATTTTTATCTCCCCAAGCCCACAGCAGTACGGTATGTAACTGAATAACTTTTAGGATCACTGGCATCATAGTAACCTTGTTCAAACCCTAGAAGTAAATAGATTTTTTTCTAATATTTATTTATTTGTTATGTATACAATATTCTATCTGTGTGTATGCCTGCAGGCCAGAAGAGGGCACCAGACCTTAATACAGATGGTTGTGAGCCACCATGTGGTTGCTGGGAATTGAACTCAGGACCTTTGGAAGAGCAGGCAATGCTCTTAACCACTGAGCCATCTCTCCAACCTGTTAATAGATCTTTTTTACTCAAATCTTCAATCCCAGCATTCAAGAAACTGAGGCAAAAGAATAGCCATGAGTTCCTTGTTAGCCTGTGCTACGGTGTAAAACTCAGACTCAAAAATAATTGCAGGCTGGAGGCTTGAGGACCAGCAGTTCGAGGTCATCCTCCCTGCACAGCAAGTTTGAGGTCAGCCAGATACTAGAAATGTCATTAAGCACCAGCCTAGTGTCAGGATTAATTTTGAAAAATTACTGCCTATTTGAGAGTTGTTTAGATTTAATAATCATTGCCTTTAGCTTGGATTTTAACAAAACCCACCAGTCTAATGTTAGAGACATTATATCGCTCAGTTATGAATGGTATTATAAGCACCCAAGTTATTCAGACCATGTCTGGGGATGGAGCTGGGGTGCAGTAACTTTGTCCCTGGCTCAGCAGACCAGCTTCACCCAGGAGCTAATGATAATCAGAGGTAAAGTGACATACTCTTTTACTTGAAAATCTGGTTTTAGTCAGGCAGTCGTTGCGCACGCCTTTAATCCTAGCACTCGGGAGGCAGAGGCAGGTGGATCTTGAGTTCAAAGCTAGCCTCGTCTACAGAGTTCTAGGGCAGTCAGAGCTACACAGAGAAGCCGTCTTGAAAACTCAAAAGAAAAAAGAAAGAGGGGGGGGGGGAGAGAGAGAGAGAGATAACCTGAGTTTTTTATAGGACAGAAATTGACAAATAAGATTTCATTGGTTAGCCATGTCTTGTGTGTGTGTGTGTGTGTGTGTGTGTGTGTGTGTCACTTTAGTGGTTTTAGCTAAAATCTAACACAGTGTGAACTCAATAAAATAAGTTTTCTCACTGACAGGCCAGCTGTTAAATAAATAAATGGAACCGTCAGACTTGTTTTTGGAACCCTTCCAGCTATGAATAGCGGTTTACACTGTTAAGAGGCTGGGAAAGGGTGGTACCGGCGACCATGAGGCAGTGACCTTTTAAAGATGTGTTGATTTATTGTATATACAGTGTTCTGTCTGTGTGTGTGCCTGCACACCTGAAGAGGGCAGCAGATCTCATACAGATGGTTGTGAGCCACCATGTTGTTTCTGGGAATTGAACTCAGGACCTCTGAAGAGCAGCCAGTGCTTTTAACCTCTGAGCCATCTCTCCGGCTCCCACATAAGATATTTTAATGTGAGATTCTTATTGTGACTGACTATATGAGGCTGCCATAGCCATACTCATTAATAGAAAAGAACTGAAAGTCCAAAAATAAACCCATGTGCTTTATGGCCAATTGTTGTTAAACAAGGATATCAAGAGAACTCAATGGAGAAAGAAGTCTTCTCCAAAAGTTATCCCAGCTGAGCATGGTAGCATGTGCCTTTAGTACCAGAATTTGGGAGGCAGTAGTTTGGTCTACATATAAAGTTCCAGGTCAGTCAAGGTTACACAGACCCCGTTTCAATCAATCAATCAATCAATCAATGTCCTAGCAAAATTGTTTTGGATTTTTAAACACAGAGACTGACTTTGTAGCCCAGGCTAACCTTAAAGAGATCCTTCTGCCTCAGCTTCTGAGTGCTGAAGTTACAGGCCCGCAGCAGCATACCTAACTTGTGCTGTAAAACAAATTAGATAATCACATGCAAAATAATGAAACTGGAGCTTCCTGTTTCATGCTATACAAACACTAATTCAGAATGGACCAAATAGCTATATAAGAGCTAAAGTTATAAAATTTATCCAAAGGCATTACAGGTGTGAATTTCCATCACATGGTGACAGTTTCTCAGATGGGACAACCAAATCACAGCAACCAAAGCAAAGAAATGGGCTTTGTGTAAATAAGAGAAGCTTTTCACTTTGAACAACACTACTTATAAAGTAGAAAAACAGCACACACAACAGGAGGGAAAATGTTTGGAAACCACTTGTTTGATAAGGGTCTAGTGTCCAGATTACATTTTAAAAAACTATCATAACCCAACTTTAAAAGAAGAGGTGGGGAGTGGGAGAGGTGACTCTGCATTAATAGCACTGGCTGTAGCACAGCTAGTAAAAACCCAGAGACAGATATTGGGGTTCGAGCTGTAGGATTAGAGAAGCTAAGCAGCCAACCACTAGAGAGCTCTTACCTCTATGAAATCTTCAGACTGAAACGAGAGATCCTGACTTCAGATTGCATCTGTCTCCCCTAAACCTCAGACTCCAGACTCCATTGAGTTCCTGTCTCTTCCCCTTTATATTCCTCTCTCCACCCAGCCATATCACTCCTGTTTCCACCTCCCTAGTGCTGGGATTAAAGGCGTGGGATCCCAAGGGCTAGAATTAAAGGTGTGTAGCACCACGGCCTAGCCTGTATGGCTGACTAGTGCAGCTGCTTTGCACTCTGATCTTCAGGCAAGCTTTATTTATTAAAACACAAATAATATACCGCTATAACTGGCTGCTCTTCTAGAGGCTCTGCACCCACATGGTGGGCACACAACCATCTGTTACTCCAGTTCCAGGAGATCCGATGCCCTGGACAGCAGGCATGTACATGGTGCACATATATACACACAAGCAAACACCCATGCACATAGAAAGAAAAGACAAGTGAGACACAGCAGCACACTTGTAATCCCAGCCCTAGGAATCTGAGGCAGAATGTATTAAGTTGCTTGCTGTGGTTAGCTTTAGCTGTTAAGTTGACATAACCTAGAATTATCTGCAAAGAGAATCTCAATTAACAAATTGTTTAGAAGACATTGAGCTGTGGGCATGTCTGTGGGGATTGTCTTGATTGTTAATAGGTGGTGGCACCATTCCCTAGGAAGGAGCTCCTGAACTGCATCGGAAAGCTAGCTGAGCATAAACCTGCCTACCAACCAGCAAGCAGCATCTCCTGCTGAACTTCCTGGGCCATGAGGTGAATTCCTTGGTCTGGGTAATAGTGTGGGAAGAGTAAGGAAGCCAGCCTTCAAGTTCCTGCCTTGCCTTCCCTGAATGGTGGGCTGTGGTCTGGAAGTGTTTTTACCCACTGAGCCATTTTGCCAGCTCTCATGAATTATACTTTACTTTTTTAAATGTCTGAGCAAATCAGGCATAGTGGCACACGCCTTAAATCCCAGCACTCCGGAGGCAGAGGCAGGGGAGGGGGAATATCTCTCTGTGAGTTCAAGACCAGTCTGGTTTACACAGTGAATTCCATCAGCACAGTCAGAGCTACGAGCTACTTAGTCAGACCCTGTCTCAAAAACAAACAAACAAACAAACAAACAGTCTGGGGAGATGGTCCAGTAGATGAGGAGCTTGCCGGACAGCGTGAGGACTGAAGTTTGAATCTCTAGCCCCCATGTAAGTGCTGGGGGAGCACGTGGTAGCCCACCTGTAATCCCACTGCTCAGGACCAGGGATCCCCAGAGCAAGCTGCCAAACTCTGGGTTCAAGTGAGAGACCCTGACTGTATAAGGTGAAGAGAAGCATGTGACATCAAACTCTGGCCTCTACATTTAAATGCACACACATAAACAGGTGTACCTGCACACAAAAAAAAATTAATTGGGGCCGGGCGGTGGTGGCGCACGCCTTTAATCCCAGCACTCGGGAGGCAGAGGCAGGCGGATCTCTGTGAGTTCGAGACCAGCCTGGTCTACAAGAGCTAGTGCCAGGACAGGCTCCAAAGCCACAGAGAAACCCTGTCTCGAAAAACCAAAAAAAAAAAAAAATTAATTGGGGTTCTGAAATGTTTCCTATCATTGCTACTGTCATGTAAAGCTTTAATGAGATAATTGTAGAAGTTCAATAAATATAAAATGGATTTCAGTACTGGTGAGGTAGCCCAGTGGTTGAGGATGTGCTTAGCCTGAGCAAGCCATAGGTTTGGTACCCAATACAGAAATCAAACAACAGCAAAAGGAAAAAAAATGTTTTAGGGAGATTTTTCAACTCTTACTATAATTGAGATGGGTTTCTCTGTGTTGTCTTGGAGCCTGTCCTGGAACTAGCTCTTGTAGACCAGGCTGGCCTCAAACTCACAGAGATTCACCTGCCTCTGCCTCCCGAGTGCTGGGATTAAAGGCGTGCGCCACCACCGCTTGTCTTTTTAGGTTTTTTCAAGACAGGGTTTCTCTGTGTAACTTTGGAGCCTGTACACAATAATTTTTAAACAAACTCAAGACATTTCATTGAAGGTTTTACCAGTCAGCAATTTTCTCGTTGAAATTGTCAGTCAGGTCAATTTCTTTCTTGGGAGGGCATTCAAGAAAGAATTTCTCGGCTTCGGGAGCCGCCGATTACCGTCCAGCCATGGCCAAGTCCAAGAACCACACCCCATACAACCAGTCCCGGAAATGGCACAGAAACGGCATCAAGAAACCCCGGTCACAAAGATACGAATCTCTCAAGAGGATTGACCCCAAGTTCCTGAGGAACATGCGCTTTGCCAAGAAGCACAACAAGAAAGGCCTGAAGAAGATGCAGGCAAATAATGCAAAGGCCATGAGCGCACGTGCGGAGGCCATCAAGGCCCTGGTGAAGCCCCAGGTGGTGAAGCCCAAGGTGCCAAAGGACCCCACCCGCAAACTCACCCGTCTGGCTTTAATTACTCACCCTAAGCTTGGGAAGAAGATTAGAAGCTACATGGCCAGGGGTCGTAGGCTCCAAAAAACAAAGCCCAAGGTTCAAGCCAAGGCAGAGGCCTCAGCTGCAGCTCAGGCTCCCAAAGGTGCCCAGGCCCCTGTGAAGGCCCCATAAAAAAGGTCGCAGTCTGCCAGTGTGAAGACAGATGGACTGGTGTGAACACCTACACAGTATTTGCAGATGTTCAGGACCTTATGCTGTTTTTACAAATAAACTTGAGGCAAGTTCTGTTAAAAAAAAGAAAGAAAGAAAGAAAGAATTTCTCGGTATAAACATCCCCATCTGTCCTAGAACTAGGTTTGTAGACCAGGCTGGCCTCGAACTCACAGAGATCTGCCTGCCTCTACCTCCCTAGTGCTGGGATTAAAGGCATGCGAACCACCCTCCGGCGGCCGGGTCAATTTCAGTGATATAAGAAGGCTGTGCTGCATCTCTAAGTATAGGCCATCAGGAATTACTGAGTTTTAAAGTGAATGTCATTTTAGCTTGTATTCTTACTAAAGCTTACTGCTTTGGTGAGACTATTTCATTTCCTGGGTATGTGTACATATCAAATTCTTGGATTTGAAATGTTTTCTTTACTGATAATGAACAGTAATTCCTATTTAGACAGCCTAGTCACAATAAATAAATAATGAATGAATGAATGTAGCTGTTTACCTACAACATTGTCCAGGACAAAGATTCTTCAATTCAACTATTCTAGCACATTCTACACAAGATGTGGGCATTATTTGTGTTTTAATAAATAAAGCTTGCCTGAAGATCAAAGGGCAAAGCAGCCACACTAGTCAGCCATACAGGCCAGGCAGCGGTGGCACAACACACCTTTAATCTCAGCAGCCACACTAGTTTGCCATAGAGGCCAGGCAAGCCTTTAATCCCAGCATGAGAAAGGAATTTAAAACGGGAAAAGACAGGTCTCAGGCTCAGTCTTCAGTTTGAGGATTCATGGCCAATTTTCAATCTAAGGTAGAGGTAAGACCCAGGGCTGGCTGCTTTGCTTCTCTGATCTTTCAACGTGAACTCGGTTTTGATTAAGACCAACTAGAATTCGTGCAACAGGAATGCCATCTCGTTGGAGATTACAGGGAAGAAGAATTTGCAAGAATGCTTTATGCAAATACTTTGACTTGTCATTTTATCAGCAAGATTCAGAACCCTCACTAGTTCTGCCCTTGTGAAGCCGGAAATCAGAAGAAAACTTGCATAGGGCTTTCAGAGATCGTTTTATGTAACCAGCACCACTTGGTAAGAGAGGCCCAGAATTCCATTATCTATTACGGTAGGAAGCAGAGGCTCACAACAGAGACTTGCTCAGTTAACAGACTAATCAGTGACAGAGCTGGTACTGAAAGTTGGGCCTTCTAAACTCAGGGCTTCTCTTTCTGTGGCACTCTCTACTTCTCCAAGTAGGAGAGACTTCAGTGGTAGGCTCTGGTTTTCCACCCGAGAATGAGAGGGATGGAGGGAGGGCAACGGAGGAGTGAGGCAGGCAATCACAGGAGTCGCGTCAGAAAGAAGAGAGTCCAAGCACACTTTCCGAATACCGTTTCGATGTCAAGGATCACAAGTACCGAGGACCTGTGCATAGAACCATCATGTTGGAAAAGTAAACACCCCAAATAAATCTACTTTTCGAGCTGAGCTTAAGGTTCTGACAACTGAAGGTAGTCCCTCCCACAGAATCTGTGGCCCCCTCTTTCGTCACTTTAAATACCTTGGGGGCTGAAGAAGTCCCAGGGCAAGTGGGAGTGAAGAGGGCTTGTGACTAAGGGGCGGAGTGGCTCAGGTTCGGCTACGGAGAGGGGGAAGCCTGCGGTGGAGCTGTGGTCGGGGGATGTGGGTTTTGTGGCTGAACTCGATGTTGGTGCAGGAAACCAGGGGAGTCGACAGCCGAGTAGAGCTTACCCGCCCAAGGGGGCGCGGAGGGGTTGAGAGCTTTACCGAAAGCTCCCAGAGGTGCTCAGCCAGGGTCTCCAGCACCAGGGCGAGGGCGGGGCCCCTCCGGAACGCCAGCGATTGGATGCTCCCTAAGTCCCGCCTTCCCGGACCCTTTCCCTGAGGCTCCGCCCATAACGCCAGGCGCGCGCCTCGGGAGCCGGGAGGGGTCGGGGCGGCGGCGGGAGGAGAGAGGTGAGGTTCCGGCACGCGCCCCACTCGCTGCGAGAGCGCGAGCAGCGCGCTCCCGCTGCCCGCGTCGCCATCTTTTTTCCCCCTCTGTCCGTCTGTCTGCCGTTGGCTTTGTCCGTCCACCGCGACGCCCCTCGCCTCCCCGCTGCGGGCTCAGCCCGCCGTCACCCTCTGCCCGCCGGGGTCCAGTCCCGGAGAGCCCCGGCCCCGCCAGCCCGAGCTGCGGCTGGGACCCATTGTCCCGCGGTCTGTCTGTCCGGAGGCGGGGCCCGGGGACGCGGAGCGCCGAGGCAGAGGGTAAAGCGCCCCAGCGCAGGGAGCCAGCAGCCAAGTGTAGCTCCTGCCGCCCCGCGCCGCCGTCCGCCTTTTGTCTGCCCGAGCCTGGGGAGGGGTGGGCTCGGAGTTGGTGGCGGCTGGGTGCGGGCCTCACGGGCCGGCGTCTGACAGGCTGGGGTGGAGCTGGGGGAGGGGAGGATGGGCGTGGGAGAGCGGACGGGGCGGGGGGCACGGGCCGGCCTGGTGCGGACGGGCGGGGAGCTACTAAATTTAGATTTCGGACAAGGCTAAGTGGTCCGAGGGTTGGTCTGAACCGCCTCGGAAGACCTCTGGCTGCAATTTAATACCTGGGATTTACCTGTGCTCCGATTCGAGAAAGCAGAGGGACCATCGCAGCTGATGGCACACACGAGCTCCAGCCTCGACCCCAGAGGATCCGGGGACAGTGAAACAGCTATATGACCACCCTTCTTCTCTCCTTTTTGGCAGATTCACATCACTAGGATTCAGGCGAGTTTACTTTGCTCCGTGGGACCGCACCAGAGCTGGAGGTGGGAATGCACCCTCTTAAGGCTGGCCTTACACACTTACACACACACACACACACACACACACACACACAAAGACTGGCTATATATATATATATATATATACACACACACACACACACACACACACACCCTAACACCTGTGATAGAGCAGAGACAGGGATGAAAGTGGGTGATGTACCCTCCCAAGGTCTTGACTGGCTCTATAGATGATAAAACTGCTCCCGTTAAAAGTAGCAGCCCTTGTAGGTCTGATCCTTAGTTTACCATTCTTCCCGTTCCAGTTTCCTTTCAGCTGAATAGGTTCAGGCAGCTAGCTCTCCAGTTACCTTCCAAGCTTAAATTTCACATTTGGGCAGCGCCAAAGTTAAAAGGGACCAAGTGACCTTTAGACAATGTACCTATGGGTTTTTTGTTTTGTTGTGTTTTAAAAACTAACCTCAGCTATTGTGATGTTCCAGGGCCATTTGTCAGTTTCTTACTTATTTTTTAAGGGTTCCCCCCGGACTTTTTTTTTTCTGGTGGCTGTTTAAATTATTGTGGCTTGGCTTTGTTTTGTGGGAAGGGAGGGTGTGTGTTTATTTTTTCTTTGATTCTTCAGGTGTGAAGTCCCATGAGGTGCCATCTGGTCAGTTCCCCCAGTGGGCCGCTAGGAGGACCTAAAGACGTAGTGGATGCGATGCAGCTGCCTTCCTGGCTGCAGATTTCATCTCTTTGCCGTGGAGCTTTAGTATTGAGCTGTTGTCTTGCTAAGATGATCTAAGTAGTTACTTGGCTCAAGCTGCTTGGCATTCTTTCAAATAGATTTCATTACCTCTCTCTCAGAGCTTCAGTTCCTGATCTTTATGGGGATAAATGTAGATGAGATTTCATTTGTTTTTCATTATACAATAGAGAGGTGTAGGAAGATAGACAGTCTGCATTTCATTCAGCTCTCCACCTTGGGATTCCATGGACATGGAGAAAAAGATCTGAAGTGTGATAATTCATTCACAGCTTGTGTTAAAATGTCTAGAAAGAATAAACCAGGTGTAGTGATGCGCACCTCTAATCCACTCGTCAGAAGGCTGAGGCCGCAGGGTCCCTTGAGTCCAGGGGTTTGAAGTCAAGGCCGAGTCTCCAAAAAGAGTAGGGGCAGGGGAGAGAAGAGTGACCACCCCCTACAACTGGTGTATATCTTAGTTGGTAGAGTGCTTGCCCACTATGCAAAAGTCATATTCAGCTTCAGTCCCCAGCACCACTTCAAACTGGGAAAGAAGGCTGCCTGTCTTCTTGAGACAGGAATTTTGGAAGTTCAAGGTCATTCTTGGCTACTCACCCAACCCAGTTTAAGACCAGTTAAGGATACATGAGACTTATATCTCCAAGGGAAAAAAAGAAAAAAAAAAACCACAGATAATATATATCTTTTGTATTAGATATCTGTATGCTGCTAAAATTGGTTTTTCTATTGTACTTATTAGGAGTTATTTTCCTTTTTTTAATTGAAGGTCTGAAAAGAACTGTGTTTGGTATGCAGATATGATAGAAGACTGCCTGAAAGCTGCTTCCTTTGCCACTTCCTGTGGAGGCCTGTCTTTGCCATTTGCGGTTTCTTTCTTCTTTTGGTAAGGGGAGGCAGGATCTGATTACAGGTTTGAGGGCCTTTCTAGTTACATAGAGGAGTTAGTTGACATTAGCAGGTGAGTCTTCATTAACTAGGGTACAAAGTACAACTAGTAGTTTCTCTTAAAGTAATAAACTATATAATTTCTATATGTGAGTACAGTTTAAGAAGGCAGGGACTGAAAGGAGTTGGGGAAAGACTAAATGCACCCCCCTAACTTTGGTAGAAAAGACTCTTTTCAGTTTACATTTGTTCACTCTGGTGTCCTTTTGTCTGTCTTGTTTTATGGTGCTGGGAATGGAACCCAGGGCCTGACACATGCTAGACAAGTGCTCTGCCGCTGTATGACATCCACAACCCTCTCTCTGTCTTTTAAAGACAAGGCTACAGCTTCTGCACTAATCCACATCAGAGCCTCTTACCGTGCTTACAGCTGAACTAGTCTTATGGGGAACTTCAGACTTAAGAATTTGCCTGCTCCTTTGTCAGGGGCAGGTGCACATCTCTGCTGCTCTTCTTAGCAGTGTTTCTCTTACTGCTTCCTGGTGTCCTTGTTACACAGCAGGATTGAGGAGAGGCTATAAAGTTAGGATCTTTGACCACCTCTCCAGAACATACGAGCAGGGCCAGTTGGTCCACACTGGGAGACTGAACTAGTACTCACAGTGTATCATCTCTCTTCTGGTGAGAGCCTGTCTTGAGTGGTGGGAGTCTGACTTGCTCTGGTGCCATCATGCTAGGTGTCTGGTAGTATGCTTGTATTGCAGATGGTACAGTTTCAGGCCTTGACTTCTGGTTGCACGTGTGACAGGGCAGCTGCTACAGGTCTTTGCCATGCTTTTGCTTTCCTCACATCTGTGGGAGTGATCCCTCTGACCTCGACTGCCTGAACTGCAGCCTTTCCTCACATCTGTGGGAGTGATCCCTCTAACCTCGACTGCCTGAACTGCAGCCTTTTCTGTCCTGCCGTCTTGACTGTGACCACTCAGTAGTCTAAGTTCCAAAGATAGTTTTAGAGAAATCTCTTTTAAGTCCTCTAAAATAGTCACCCCTTAGGCTTCTTGGGACCTTGATACTTAGAAATGTATTTCCTTTTTTTTAATTTTTTGAGATAGGGTTTCTCTGTAGCTTTGAAGCCTGTCCTGTAACTCACTCTGTAGACCAGGCTGATCTCAAACTCACAGAGATCCACCTGTCTCTGCTTCCCAAGTGCTGGGATTAAAGGTGTGTGCTGCCAGCACCCAGCTTATTTTTTTTTTCATTTTATTAGCTCAGTTATTTATATCTGGTGAGTTTTATATGCTCTAGGTATTTTAAGGTCTTGAAAATTTCTAATTTTGTAATTTCTGGAGAGAATAACAGGCTAACAATATTGTTTTTTATTTATTTTTATTTTTGCAGGTTAGCACCTCACAAGGAGGTAGTGACATATCCAGTGGTGAAACTGGGAAAGACCAGAGCTTTTATATCAGGGAAACATGTCCCGTAGGAAACAGACAAATCCAAATAAAGTTCACTGTGAGTACTGGGCTTTGTCCTCTGGAACCTGGGAAGATAAGGGTCAGAATGAAAGAGAAACCTAAATTTAGGGTGAGGCTCGCACTCATTTGTGGAGGAAAAGAAAGGGTTAAAGGCTTACATACATGGGTTTGAAGCATGAAGTTACTCTAGTCATGTCTAAGGGGTATATGCATTATTCGTTCTTAATATTATATTAACAATTGCAGGAAACTTTGTGAAAATATTATGCTAGGTTTCAGCGCTATAAAACAATATAACATAATTAAACTATAATGAAGCTACACATAAACACAGAAGAAACATACAAATACAAGCTAGTATACGCTGTATGTCTCAGAGGGGTACTATAGACTACGTATACCACAGAAGTTAAAAGTAGTTAAGACAAACTGGGCAGTGGTGGCACAGGCCTTTAATCCCAGCATTTGGGAAGCAGAGGTAGGCAGATCTCTGAGTTTGAGATCAGCCTGGTCTAGAGAGGGACTTCCAGGGCAGCCAGGGCTGTTAAACAGAGGAACCCTGTCTTAAAAAACCAACTAAAATAAACTAAAATAAAATAATAATTTTGCTGACTGCAGTAGCAATGGAATGCTTGATGGAAGAGGCCCTAGAGCATGAACTTAACATGGCCTTAGAGGATGAAAGGTGGATTTGGACAAAAGGAAAGGGAGTGCATGTGATCTGTGAGAGAATACAGAGACTTGTTGCAAGCAGAAGTTTTATTTCTCCCAAAGTTTATGTGACCTCGGTAAGACCTCATCCAGCTAAATTTCCACCTTGTGAAAAAGACTAAAGAAAAGCTTCAGCAATGAAGAAAACCATCAACAATAGAAAGCTGATGCAAATGTAATTGGACAGGGGACCGAGTTTCAACCCCATCAAGCAGCAGAACTTGGCAGTTTGGCCACTTGGTTCTGGTTTTAGAGTCAAGGATATAACAGAGGGGTTGTAGACTCTCCCTCCTCAGCTAAGGAAAGCTGCTAAGGCCAGGCATGTATGTGTCAGGGGTTTCCCTGCTTCATAGTGAGAAACAGTTAACAAAAAAACAGGGCCGGGAGATGGCTCAGTGGGCAAAGTGCTTTTTGCATAAGCATGAGGACCTGAGTTAAGATCCCCAGAATCCATGTAAATATAAAAATAATAAAAAAACAAAATTTAAGGGCCCGTGATATGGGTCAATGGGTAAAAGGCTCCTGCTTTGAAGGCTGATGATCCCTGGGACCAGCATGGTGGAATTAGAGAATTAACTCCTCAAGTTGTTCTTTAGTCTGCATACACGCTCAAGTATATGCTTGCAGACACACACACACATTCTACATTTTAAAAAAAAACTAGGTGTAGTGGTATGAATTTGTAACCCTAATGCTGGGGGACAAGGTAGATACAGGAGGATTTAGGACTTGATGACAGACAGTCTAGCTGGCACAACAAGCTTTAGGTTCAATGAAATACCCTGTCCAGAAATATAAGATAGATTGAATAGAGGAAGACATTGACCTCTGACCTCTACATACATGTGCATACATACATGCATATGCACATTCACACACACATACACCCCAAACAAAATAATTAGTTACTATTAGATTTGGGATAATTAGCTATTTTCTTATAATCTGGGTAGAGAAGCATTCTTAACTGACCCTTCATAAAATATACAAGTGTCTGTTATGGAAGACTAATTGAATAAAGTACAGTACAGAACAGATGAAGAAAATCCGGCAGTATAAATGACCTTTCTGTGAAGGGCCTTACACATAGTCAACAGGTATTCCTACCACCCAGCTACAGTCCCACCCTGTAAGACTTTCCTTTTAAAGCAAGAAGTAAACAAAAACATTGGAGAGGATTGATTATGTGAGAAATTAAGGTGACTTAAATTTTATTGAAAACAGTGTGACCAAAGAAGTTATGATAGCTTTGACATCTTACATTAATGACATTGGGTAGCAAACCTTCATGTACAATCATTGTTTAAGTCCTGGAAATGTTGAATAAGCTAGAACCAGGTGAGAGCTTCCAGTTTTATTCGGGATAGGTAGATTTGGAAGGCTGCTTAAATAAAGGTGAGCAACTCTGGAAGACTGAGATGTTGATGCTGAAACAGATGTAGCATGCCTGAATGTAGAGAGCAAAGGGTATCGCCTGTGTGAGCCATCCACCCCAGGGTTCCCCAGACATGACTGCTTGTGGAGTGACAAAGGCTTAGGGCCTGTGCCTATGTCTGCATAGCTTATACTTATCAGTTGCATCTGCTCCCACCATAGACAGCCAGAGCCAGAACAAACTGGGGCGGGTACTGGAGTTGGAAACCACATGGACAAACAGATCATGGAGGATGGGAAAATACCTGTTCATCCATAGTTGCAAATGTTATACTGTGTAGAGTGGATGGGGCTTCTCAGACTCTGAGTAGTGGTCCTTTAAGAGGCCCTTTACTGTGGGACTATGTACACAAATACTCAGATGTACCTAAACAGTGAGCCCTGGAGAGGCACTGTTTTCAGTGATAGTTTTGGGCAGAGACAGTCTTTTCAGTTCAGTTTGACCAAAGGAAACAGAACACTAAGATTTGCTGGTTTCTGAACACCTTTTATTTATTTATGATCTGGGGACTGAAGCTGACCCTGTCCTTTTCAAAACAATACCTTCTCATTGCTCATGACAATGGTAGGCAAAAGGAGGTAATTCTAGTTTTTGACCACTTGAATCTCTTCTCACCTGACATGGAATGAATCAGACATCTTAAACTTAATGCTGTTTGTGTATTTATAGTAAGTATGATGGATTCAAAGTCTAGGTTTGCATTAGAGCAGAGAACTGCGCTTCATTATTTCGGCCTTCTGGAATGACTGTGTGGCCTGAAGCTAGAAGCATGACTAAATGGATATATTAAGAATTCTAGAGGCTGGCATACAGCTTGAGGGTAAAGCGCTTGCTTATGAATGCTCTAGGTTCTATCCCCAGTAACAAAAAAAAAGAAAAGAAAAAACTATTTAAATCCCACTGTACAACTGGGGTTGTAGCTCAGTTGATAGAGTGCTTGCCTACCGTGCATAAAACCCTGGATATGAGGTACAGCGCAGTGGCCATGTCTGTAATCTTAATACTGGGAAAGGTGAAGGCAGTAGGATTTAGACTTCAGAGTCATTGTTGGCTTCAAGAAAGTTTGAGGCTGGTCTGGAATGCTTGAGACCCTGTTTTTCATTTTACTTTTAAATTTTTATTTATGTGTATGGGTGTTTTGTCTATGTCTATGTACCACATGCACGTCTGATGTCCACAGAGGCCAGAAGAGGGCATCAGATCCCCTGGAACTGGAGTTACAAACACTTGTGAGCTGTCATGTGGGTAATCAGATTGAATCTCTGGAAGAGTAGCCAGTACTCTTAACCACTGAGCCATTTCTCCAGCCTCTGAAACACTGTCTTCTAAAAAAGAAGGAAGAAAGGAAGGAAGGAGAGAGGGAGAGGAGGGGGAAAGAAAGAGAAAGGAAGGAAAGAAAGAAGGAAAAGAAGAAAAAAGAAAAAAGAAAAAGCAAGAGAGGCAGCCGTGGTGGGGCACACTTTAATCCCAGCACTTGGGAGGCAAGGGCAGACAGATCTCTGTAAATTGGAGGCCAGCTCGGTCTACAGAGCAAGGTCCAGGAGAGCCACAGCTGTTATACAGAGAAACCCTGTCTTTGGAGTGGGGGCCGGGGTGGTGGGGAGGAGAAACTTGCACGGTGGCAGTCAGGTACTGTTTCTTGGATGTACTTCAGAAGCCAGTGGCAGGACACTTCAGCACACACTTTGTTTTCATATTCAGATCACCCGGACAGCCCATTACCATCTGCTTAGCAGACTCAGTGCAAAATTTTAGGATTAAAAACCCAGAATTACTCATTGTAGAGAAACTGCTGCTGGATTGAAACCGTGTGTTTCAGACCTTCTGCCTCACCCACTTTTCCATTTCTCCCCTTTCTGATTACAAGTCTGTCAACTGTCTGGAGAATTTAGAAATACAGCCCTTTGTATACTCAGATTTCATGTGCGGGAATCAAGGAAACCAAGAAAACCCTTTCCTCAAGACACTTTGTTTTCAGATGGCAAGGTACCGAGAGACTGGAAGCTTCAGCTGAAAGCTTTTCAAGCACTGAAAAAGCATCAAAGTCTTTTCTTTTCTGAGAAGCCAGGGAGCTTTGTCTCAGTTCATGCTGCTAGCATTCCTGAGATGTAATTGCTGTTCCCAGCATAGACAGCATCTGGGTTACACACTGCCAGCTGGAAAGGAGTCCAAAGCACCCCTCTCCCAGTACTGCTGCTTTTTCTTAACAGACATCTGCTCACTTAAGAGAATGAACGTTCAACTGTGTAATTTCAGGCAGCCCAGAATTGCATTTACTAAATTGTACTAAGGACCAGAGGAGAAAAAAAGCAAATCTTTGTCCAAGACTTTACCTTGATCTTTTTCTTCTTTTTTCAAACTAGCTTTCAGAGCCTTGTTCTTCAGCAGTCTGAATCCCAAGGCAAAAGTGAAATAAAAACCCTTTACATTTCATACCAAATTTAAAAAGAGAAAACAGAGAGAGGAGTACCTGGATTTTACTGTGGAACCTGGCTATTAATAGGCAGCTAAATATCCACATTTAATAAGAAGGTGACCCTGCATTAATATCTGGAAACTAGAGAGTTTGAACCTGTTCTATAAGTCTCAAGATTAGAAGTAATAATTCTACATTATAAAAATAAGCAATTCAAGTTGAATGGTGGTGGCGCAGGCCTTTAATCCCAGCACTCAGGAGGCAGAGGCAGGTGGATCTCTGTGAGTTCAAGGCCAGCCTGGTCTACAAGAGCTAGTTCCAGGACAGGCTCCAAAGCTACAGAAAATCTCCTAAAAATAATAATAATAAAATAAAAATAAATAAGATCAGAGGACAGCTAACTATGGATTCTCTCCTTCAATCATGTAGGTTCCAGGAATTGGACTCCAGCATGGTGGGAAGTGCCTTTACCCACTGAGCCATCTCAGTAGCCCCAGTGTAACACATTTTCTTAGCAGCTTTCACTGTCTTCTCACCAAGGGATATCTCTAGACAGTTGGATTTGGAGATTAGGTAAAAGTGACTCCCGGAAAAATTACTGACTCTTCTTAGGAAGTTTGATAAAATCTCCTTTAAGATTTAAAAATACTTACGTACTGTTTTATGGTTCTATTTAAAATAGGAACAGCCGTAAAGAATAATATTTATTTTAGGTTTTTCCATAGTCAGGAATGGAGTAAAAGAGTAGATTGCGTTTCTATAGTACTGAAAAAAAAAAAAATAGCGTATCCCAAGTTCCCTAGCTGAGACTGCCAGCAAGAATCCTAGGGAAGTCATATTGAAGAGATTCCATTCTGTAAAGGTCTGAATATTTAAACTTAATAGACAAAACTAAATTTTGAGTTCATGTTGATAAAGATTAAACTGAATTACTACTTACTTTGAAAGATTCATCTACTTTTAGATATCTTTTAAAACTTAATTTATGTATATGGGTGTTTTGCCTTGCATGCTTAGTACCCATGCCAGAAGTGGGCATTAGATCTCTTGGAACCAGAGTTCCAGGTGGTTGTGAGCTATCATGTGGGTGCTGGGAATTGACCTGGGTCCTCTGGAAGAGCAGCCAGTGCTCTTGACCACTGAGCCATCTCTCCAGCCTCCTTTTAGATTGCGCCATCCGGCTAGATGTCTTTCTACTGGTACTATGTGACAGAAATTTGTTATTGTTCATTTCTAGCATGTTATAAATCTAACTAAGTTTTCTTACAAACCTAAAGTGTTATTGATGAGAATTACTGATAGTGACTGACATTTACAGTATGTGCCAGTATATAATTTATTCCTTAGTGCCAGATTAGGTCCAAAACCATGAAGCAACCTAGAGGAATTCAGTAACTGCTGGCCATAGTTGTTTTTGTTTTGTTTCAATGGAATCAATATGGAGAAATGAAATACTTTACTTTTGCAGAGAAGGAAGGAAAAGCACTCTGTACAATTTATTTTTTGCCTTCTTTAGCGGTAATTTATAGCCATGTGTTATCTTAGAAATTGTGAAGACTGACTGGGCGTGGTGGTGCACACCTTTAATTCCTATACTCGTGAGGCAGACGCATATACCTACTTGTGAATTCTGGGATACATGATGAATTCCAGGCCAGCCAGAGCTACATAGAACCTGTCACAAAACGAAAGACAAAAACATGTGAACATAGTCTTAAAGCCGCTTATTTTTCCTTTTCTTGAGATCTGTGTACCTAGGAATACACACTCCCCACCTCCATCCTTACCCACAGGATGAGTCATAATTGCCATAATGTCAGCTTCTCTAACCCAGGCATGATGACTCATGACAATGGTATCAGAACTGGATATTTCCTTTTGTCATACCGTAGCCTTGAAAGCATTTTGATATTTAAATTGTTGTTGCCTGATATGAAGATAGCATCAATACTATGATCGGAGCCAGTCTTGTCACACAGAGACAAGTATTTGTTGTTAGCAGACCTACTGTGAAGCCCCTATGACATTGAATTTATACCTCCATTGGCAGCACATGGGAAGTCTGGATTTCACTGTAGCTAAAGTATGTTTTTAGCATATATAAAACCCTAGGCTTAGCCACCATCACAAGAAAAATGGACACTAAAGATGAAAAATGAGGGCCCAGGAAGGACATACAGTTGTACAGACCTCAATACTTGGTTTTACCATAGACTTAGATTTCTTTTGTTTTTTAAAAAAAGATTTATGTTTAATTATGTGTTTGTGTGTTTATGTATGTACATATAAGTGCAGGTACTTGTGGAGGTCAGAGGTGTTGTATTCCCTGGAGCAGGAGTTATAGGCAGCTGAGAGCCTCTGGTATGGGGACTGGGAACTAAACTCTGTAAGAGCAATACACACCCTTTACTACTGAGCCATCCCTTCATCACCCTTGCTTATCCTCTTAATAACATATAGATAATATATGTTATTAAGATATATAATAATAGGTAGGGAAGTAGGAATACCTACCATATAAAGAACCAAGGTGAGAGGACCAGCAAGATGCTTGGTGGGTAAAAGTGCTTGTGCAAGCATCACAACTTGAGTTCAATCCCCAGAACCCATGAATTTGTCTTTTGTCCTCTGTATATTCATCATGGTACGTCTATACCTCCCCTCCAACACAAATAATAAAAAATTACATCTAAAAAAGAGAAAATTAGGGCTGGAGAGATAGCTCAGTGGTTAAGAGCACTGGCTGCTCTTCCAGAGGTCCTGAGTTCGATTCCCAGCAACCACATGGTGGCTGACAACCATCTGTACTGGCATCTGGCGCCCTCCTCTGGCGTGCAGGCATACATGGAGACAGAATGTTGTATACTTAATAAATAAATAAATAAATATATATCTTTTAAAAAAAAAGAGAGAAAATTAAGGTGAGGATTATATAGTACTTAAAAAAGCCTAGAATAGCAAGTGTCACATAGTAACTATAATTGGTGTTTATAGTGCTTAACATACAGCAGTGTTTATGGATTTTTGCTGAATGAGTGACCAACTAAATCATGGAGCTGACCCCCTCTTCAATTTTTACACTGACCAAGGAACAACCCCTACATCATTGTACTGTCTCCCAAAACTTAGCCTGTTTATTATCCTTTCCCTTCTTAGTAAGAAAAGTCCTGTGGGATACTCAAACATCCCACCAGAGTTTTTGATTATTCCCCTTGCTGACTGGGAATTGGGCCTGTAGTTTCCATTCTCACTGAGATAAGAGAAACCTAACCCTCTTTTCTTTCTTCTATGCCTAGTCTCCTGGAAATTAAAAAGCAATTGAATGTTAAGTCTCCAATAACACGGATCCCAGGCAGAGCTCATGAAAAGTAAATGCAAAATCAGGGATGGTCCAGAGTTTCTGGATACTTTATGCAAAAACAAAGGCCACATTGACTCAAGGAGACTTGGATACGTAGTATTTGTTGTAAGTTAGTTGGTGTGTTTCTGTCAAGGATTAGTTTTAGTGAATTAGAGTGTTACCTGCTCTCCTTTTGCTCCCCATCCCATTGGTTACTCAGCCAGTCATGTTTATTATGGCTAATTTTGATAGACATTAGAGAAAGGCAAGAAGAATGCCCAAAACATCTTGGAATGAAGAAAGATGGGATGGAGGTTTATTCAGGATTACCTGAAGCATTTGTGTGTAGTGTGAGATAGAATGAATTAGGGCCGTGATGATGGTAGTTTATAAGGTACAGAGGTTTTTGCCCAGTTTGTTGTCCTACCTCCATCCCATCACTTTATCTCTTACCTGTGTCTCCAGTCCTGATGGAAGGTTTCAGGAATTGAGATTCTTCAATTAAGTTTGGAAAGTCGTGATTAATCACCTTTTCAAGGGTCAAGAATAGGATGATTTAAGATAGCTTACTGCCCAGGAAGAACAGCCACACTGTTGGAGATAGCAGCATGACTTGGAGATGAATGAACCCACCACAGGGTACCTGCCAGTCTCCTACTTTGAATGGTCTGACCTTCCAACTAGTTTGTCTAGGCATGTACTGCCCCGCTGGTGGCCTGACTGTTATTCCTTGTGACCACCAGGGGATCAAGTATTTGCTGGGCTAGAAGAACAAGCCCGACAAGCGATGATGAAAACTGATTTTCCTGGAGACCTTGGCAGTCAGCGACAAGCTATCCAACAACTAAGAGATCAGGACTCCAGTAGCAGTGAGTTCTGCACCTTCTGGTAATGACTCAGGGCAATGGGAGAAGAACTAAGAGTGTGTGCTCTGGGGAATGTGCGTGGGGGCTGGGAGGAAGCTCTAAGAAGATGTGTGGATCCCCAGTGTCTGAATATGTTCATTCAGAGAGAGACATGGGGCAGGTTAGCATGTTGTTTTTTATAACTCATGTACTCTGGTAATTGGCACAGTGCCATATATAGATAGGTGTGTGGTGGTTGTGAAATAGAATATTCTAATATAGAAATGGTTAGTGTTCAGGCAGTTCATGGGCCAGGTCAAATAAAGGAAAATCCCTTTGCTTTAGGTCTAATTATTAATAAATTATAAGAGTGTCATTGAAGTTTTGCTTGAGGTCCTAGTTTTAATGTTGTGCAGATTTGCTTAGTGATGAGATGATGTAGCATATAAAAATGCTGAAGTCCAGGTATTCCCACACCAAACCCTTTACTAGATCTCTGTGTTATTAGGTAAAAAAACATTTAGTATTGCTCGGTAGTGATGGTGAGATCCTTTAATCCCAGCACTTGGGAGGCAGAGGCAGGCAGATCTTTCTGAGTTTGAGGCCCACCTGGTCTATAGAGCAAGTTCCAGGACAGGCCCCAAAGCTACAGAGAAACCCTGTTTCGGAAAAAAAAGAAAGGAAGGAAGGAAAGAAAGAAAGGAAGGAAGAAAAATGTAGTCTTACAAGTTAAGGCTCATGCGTTATCTGTCCCATGACCACTTGAACAGACTCATTCTGAGCTGTGTTATTTCCCAGAAAGATGTCTATACTCTCCTGATGTTATGCACCTGATACTGGTTAGTTATTAATATCAGTTTAGGGTGAAACCCTGATTCTTTTTTTAAACTAGTTGTAAACTTGGGGAAAAGAAAGAGATGGAGAGAGAGAGAAACAGTGTGTTTGTTCTGAACTCTGTATAGAGAATTCTACAGTTTTAACCAAACTAATAATGAAACAACAGTAACCACATAGACACAACCCCCACACACAAATAACAGCTAATCAGGTAGGTACAAAGAAATGAACTCTACAACCAGGCGGTGGTGGCACATGCTTTTAATCCCAGATTAACTCTGGGGGCAGAGGCAGGTGAATCTCTGAGTTGGAGGCCAGCCTGGTCTATGGAGCATGTTCCAGGACAGTCAGGGCTGCACAAAGAAACCCTGTCTCAAACAAACAAACAAATTTAAAAACAAAAAAGAAAGAAAATAAATGAACTCTAGAATTTCTAGAAACCTTATGGGACACAGCAGTTTCTTGAACAGGTAAGCATAGACATCTGCAGGTATGCCATAGGCTATAGTCCCAGCACTCGGAAGGCAGAGGCAGGCAGATCTCTTTAAGTTAGAGGCAGGCCTGGTCTACAGAGCAAGTTCCAGGACAGGCTCCAAAGCTACAGAGAAACCCTGTCTCTAGAGACAAAAACAAAAATTATACCATTCTAGACAGCATACTTTAAAAAAAAAAAAAAGGTATTCTGATAATAGACAAGGTACAAAAGTGTATTTTATCAGCAGTGCAGTGCTTTAGACTAAGCCTACAAGTGCTCCACACTGGATGCTGGTGAGAAAATATGGTATGATCTACTCTGTGCCAGTGCTTCATAGCTGAGATGGACTCAAGTGAAATAAAGCTTTGAGGAAAACATACCATACTTATGACAAGCACATCTAATATAGACACATATACTTAGTTACCAGCAGGTGATGTGGTAGGAATATGCCAGTAAAGGAAATTTAACCCAGTTCTGTCTAGAACTGAACTATCAGCCGGGTGGTGGTGGTGCACGCCTTTAATCCCAGCATCAGATCTCTTGAGTTCTAGGCCAGGCTGGTCTATAAGAGCTAGTTTCAGGATAGGCCCCAAAGGGACAGAAAAACCCTGTCTCAAAAAAAAAAAAATTATCTTATATTGTCGATTTAGAAATTATGCAAAACCGCAGGGAGCTAAGTAGCACTGTTAGTGGGGAAATGTGGGCCTGACTGTAAGTGCAGAGCGTACTCTATTCATAGGGAGTCCAGAATCCAAGCAGGAATGAGAGGGCTATCCCCAGCCAACTGACAGCTTCCCTAGGTGTGGCTTCCTCTGTGATCTTTAAAGCACCCACACTGAACCTCATATGTGATTGTGGGTTTTTGTTCCCTCTCAATCTTTTTTTTCCCCTCTATTTTACAGATGACAGACAAAATCAGCTCACACATACCTTGCAGCTTCATTAGCCACAGGTAGATTACCCCACAACCACATCCTTCCCTCCCAGATTAAAACAAAACAGTTACTCATGTCTAAAGTGAAGATTAACACTCCCCCCACTTCTTTCACATCTAGTTATCCTTTAGATACGCCAAAGAACCAACTGAAAAGTGGCTTTACTTAGTTTAAGATGTGCATTGCTAGTAGATGAGAACAGAGTGGACAGGTGAGCAGGTGGTACCTGCCTTGGATCCTAGCACACAGGAGGTAGAAACAGGCAGATTTCTGAATAGAGTTTCAGGACAGCCTGGACTATACAGAAAAACCCTGTCTTGTGGAGGCAGGGCAGAGTAGGCACTTGGGAAGCTGGGGCAAGAGGATCGTGCACTTCAAGGCAGCCTTTGTTGCACAGTAAAATCATCTCAAAATAAAAAGAAAAAAAACAATAAACTTGAACATCTTCCACCCTTATAAACTGCCCAAGGTCAGTTACTATGCTAATCCCATTTTTTCCACTGAAGTGTATAGCTATTTTCCTATAAATTGACATAAGTTTAAACAAATTTGTTCTTACATTCTTATTGATAAGAGGAAATAAAATTTTGTTATATCTGGAAGTGTGTATTGATGTTTGTTGTGAAAGAAGAGATTAGTGGTCTCGGGTAGAATTGTCTGTGACAGCATAGAGAGTGTGCAGGTGACGGTAGAGACAAGTAAGAAAGTAATAAAATTAGGAAGAGATGTTGCTCAGTCAGATTGTGTGTTGCGGGAATGAGTTTGGTGTGATGTGCTTAGGGAAGTATGGTCTCAAGTGTAAGATACTTTGCTAGGCATGGTGGTTCATGCCTATAATCACAGCACTTGAGAGATAAGAGGCAAGAGGATCAGAACTTCAAGATCATCCTTGAATATACAGTGAGACTGAAGCCAGCCTGGACTACATGAGTCCTATTTCATAAACAACAATTACTTAATGGCAAGTTACCATTTCTAGTGCACTTTGCCTCACACTTCCACTTTAGTGTGTGTGTGGCATAATAAACTGCAGTAATAGCTGATCTCTAGTCACACGGTTTGTGCCCACTGAGCGCTGAAGCAAACTGTACAGCCTCAAGTCTGAAGATGTTTTTTTCATTGTAGCTGCAAATCCTGGAGTGAACAGCAGCTCAGGATATATTTCTGTAAAACTCAGAACAACTGACCAGTTTATGTGTTCCAGGTGACAGTGAAGGTGACGAAGAGGAGACCACACAAGATGAAGTATCTTCCCACACATCAGAGGAAGATGGTGGGGTAGTCAAAGTGGAGAAAGAATTAGAAAATGCAGAGCAGCCTGTTGGTGGTGGGAATGAAGTAGTAGAGCATGAGGCAAGTGGCCCGCAGTCCTCGTCACAACAGTTCCCTCTTCCATCCACACCCTCCACCCTAAAAGCTCTCACTGCTTTCCAAGTGAGCTCACCTAAGAGCGAGCACTGCTCTAGGAGGCACTCTGAAGTGAGCTTTCATGTTTAAGTTAGTCAGACTGTGCTGTGGAACCTGCTTCCAACTAAATTGTTTCCTGAGTATTTGTGCAAGGAATATGCAAAAGGGAAGCTAACCGTTTCCCTGCACGGTCCAGCGTCTTCAGGGTAGAAAGCCTTGAAGATTCTAGAAAATTTAATTCCTTTCAAAACAGTACTTGATCCTCAGTCCATATGGGAACCTAAAACTAACACCTGTGTAGGACCATTGAAAGAGGTGGGGCAAGGAAGAGACTAGTGAGGAGTTTAAATGACTTGCCTGTTTGATGGATTTGCAGGTCACAGAAAACCTAAATTCTGACCCCTTGCTTGAACTCTGCCAGTGTCCCCTCTGCCAGATAGACTGTGGGAGTCGAGAGCAACTGATTGCACACGTGTACCAGGTATGGAATGGGCAGGGGAGTTCTGAGACTGAATGCAAGCAGTTTAGATCTCAGGTGCTGCAGTGGCCTTTGCCTTTGGCAAAAGAAGCTCAGGCTGTTGGTTCTGCTAGGACTCATTCCACCCTTCAGAACATCTTAGAAAATAACGGTGATGTATTTACTAAATAGGTTCTGAGTTCCCAGACAGAAACTCTTTGGAAATTAAGTACCATGGTCTTATTTTCCTAAATTATTTAATACAATCAGTAGTGAAAGAGAAACTAACTTCTACTAAAAATGATGTCTTTTAAAGAGGGTAGGGGTAGTCAACAAGATGGCTCTGGTGGTAAAGGCACCTGCCACAAAGCCTGATGACCTGAGTACAGTCTCCAGGACCCACACAGTGGAAGAACTGATTGCCACTTGTTATCCTCTGACCCTCACCACACACACGTACTGTGGTATACGCAGGTACACTACAGGCACACAAAATAAATAAAATGCACAATGATATATTTTGGGTGCCAATGAAAGGAAAGTACAAACAAGGAAAAACAGACTTTTCTACCCTAATCCAATTTAGAGCATACCTACTTACTAGTGGTCTGTAAGACATTACTACAAAGGACAGCTTTATAGATTGTACCTATAAAGATGGTTCGTTAGAAGTATTTCTTCAGTCTTATGATAGTTATGGGCACACCTTAAACCCAAACACTTAGGAGGCAGAGGCAGGTGGATCTCTGTGAGTTTGAGGACAGCTTGGTCTACAGAGTGAGTTCCTGGAAAGCTAGGGGCTACACAAAGAAACCCTATTTTTGAAAAACCAAAAAGAAAAAGTTTCTTTAGAGGACTGAGGAAAGGCAGGCCGCCATAAATACCTGCTCATACCACTACTACTATCCAACTCCTTCATTGCACCTTAAAGTGCACTTGTAACTACATAATATGAGCCAGGGAAGCCCAAACTATCAAGAGCCTCTGGAGAGCTCTGGAGCTCCATTATTCTTCAAGCCATTTTATGTATCCCTGAATATGGTCAGAATTTGCAATAATAAAATATGAGCAGTGGCCTGAATGACTAAACAAATACCTTCAAGTTCTTCATTCTAAGGGGAAAAAAGGAAGGGGTGCAGATTGTCCTGGAGGTAACACAAAATTAACATATTAAGACTTTGTTTTACAGCATACTGCAGCAGTGGTGAGTGCCAAGAGTTACATGTGCCCTGTCTGTGGACGGGCCCTTAGCTCCCCAGGGTCATTGGGTCGCCACCTCCTAATCCATTCGGAAGACCAACGGTCTAACTGTGCTGTGTGTGGAGCCCGTTTCACTAGCCATGCCACTTTTAACAGGTTAGTAGAACACCTGATCTTGTGCTAAGCAAATTACTGGATATAAGATGCTGCTTTCCCAGGTCAAAAGAAAGGCTAGAGATAAGTAATGCCAAAGAGTTGATAGAACAATCTGGAAATAGAAGTGATGAGATTAGGAGATAAGCTTGACAGTGTGCTCTAGACCTTCCCTCAAGGGAAACAAATTGCTTTTCTTTCCCTGTCAGAGTATTTCCAACTAGAAAGTGATTCAGAAGCACAAGAGCATTCATGATAAAGCAAGCAGACAGAAGCTGCAGTATGCTGAGAGGATCCTATGTAAGGATACACTGTGCTGTCTTCCAGGAAGACAAACACTGTCCTCATCCCATTGCTTTGGTTGTACAATGCATAAGCTATGTTTCCTTGTGGGCAAGGCCAGGTAGGAGGTAAAGCTGTGGATTGTACCTGTGTGAAGGAAATCTCCACCTCCAGACCCCTCATTCACACAACAGGCCCAGCCCTGCTTAGCACCTACAAGATACTGCCATTCTGGCTTTGCCTTGGGTAGGTTTCTATGGCAGGTGGTTCAGTTGCTAATTCAAGGTGGGCTTTAAAATTTAGTAGATACCCTAGTCCAAAGAAGAGAAGGGGGTCTTTCAAGCATTCCACTGTCATAGTGGTGGACTTTGAACAGTTTGTCTAGTGGTTATGGGGCAAGTCAGTTACCTGGGTGCCTGAGGCTTACTACACGGAGATACTAATCATCAAAAATATTGGCTTCCCAGTGAGAAACTTCCTGAAGTACTTAATATGGAATCCCTACCCCAAGTCCACAGTGAGGGCCCCTCCAGTGCTGAAGGGAAGGACATTACCTGTAGTCCTCCAGTATACCCTGCTGGAATTCTGCTTGTGTGCAACAACTGTGCTGCCTACCGCAAGCTACTGGAAACACAGACCCCCAGTGTGCGCAAGTGGGCCCTCCGTCGACAGAATGAACCTTTGGAAGTACGGCTACAACGGCTTGAACGAGAACGCACAGCCAAGAAGAGTCGGCGAGACAATGAGACCCCAGAGGAGCGGGAGGTCAGACGCATGAGGGACCGTGAAGCCAAGCGCCTGCAGCGCATGCAGGAGACAGATGAACAGCGAGCTCGCCGGCTACAGCGAGACCGTGAGGCCATGAGGCTGAAGCGGGCCAATGAAACTCCAGAGAAGCGGCAAGCCCGACTCATCCGGGAGCGAGAAGCTAAGAGGCTCAAGAGGAGACTGGAGAAAATGGACATGATGTTGCGAGCTCAGTTTGGTCAGGACCCTTCTGCCATGGCAGCCTTAGCAGCTGAAATGAACTTCTTCCAGCTGCCTGTGAGTGGGGTAGAGTTGGACAGCCAGCTTCTGGGGAAAATGGCTTTTGAAGAACAGAACAGCAGCTCTCTGCACTGAACCACACCCTCCTGCCTGACTTCCCGTCCACTCCAGCCCATAGGGATCAGTGCTGCTGTCACCCAGGAGGCCATAGTCCTTGCTGCCACAGGCAGGCCTGGGTTGGTTGCAGGGAAACCTGTGCACCCTCTGCATGTGGGAACATGATGGGGTCAGGAGGGACCCAGCTCAAGGCAGCTCTGGAAAAAGGAGCAGGCACTCCAGAAACCTGGACTCCTCAGTCCACTGTGGCAGGCCAGGGTTATGGGACTGTAGGACCCCAGTACAGTCCATGAAGCTGTGAGGGCAAATAAATTAATTTTATCTTTACTGGCCCTTGGCTCTTTTGTCTCACTGCTTTATCCAATGAAGTGTACTAGGAGAGAGCTTGATGGGAACACTCAGGCTCAGGTAGTGGTTTCTGGTGGCTTGTTCCTTTCTGAGGCAGAATGTGCTTTAACGTGGCTGTCCAAGATCAAGACAGCTATGGTGAAGACCAGAGCAGAACAACTGCCTACTCTTGCAGTCTGGCTGCCATGCACTGGAGAAGAGCACTGCTCAATTTCTGGTTCAGTGCTGCTGCAAAAACAAGCAGAAGTTCCCTTAGCCTGCAGCAAAGGTCATGCACAGTCTGGGTATTTATAGATCACGGGTGCAGAAGGATGTGCCCTAGTTAAATTGTTGCCAGAAAGATAACTATGCCAGGAATGTGGACCTCTTCCAATGTAACAGACACTTGGACTCCTCTCCCACCTCTGTAGGTCTAAGGCTGTTTAAAAGTGTCAAATGACTCTCAACAAAATAGGGTTAAGTCCTACTGACCTCTGAAAAATACTTTTAAGAATTACATTGAAGCCAGGTGGTGGTGGCACTCAGGAGGCAGAGACAGGCAGATCTCTTGAGTTTGAGGCCAGCCTGGTCTGCAAGACCCAGTGTCTGGCAGCCAGGGATGTACACTAAGAAACCCTGTCTCGAAAAAGAAAAAATTACATTGAAAAGAAATTAAATACTTAATTGATCCAAATGCATTTCACTGAGTTGCATACCAAAATCCTATTTGAAATATTTCAAGTAACTGGATGCATTCTGTCCCAAGGAATACTTATCCAATTATTTCCACAATATTCTGAATTAGTACTATTCAGGAACAGATGTGTGGGTTCAAAACTCCAGCTCAGTGGTTGTTTGCCTAACACACTGGAGGCCTCAGGTTCAATCCCACCATCGCAAAAACGACTAACCAACCAAAATCACAGAACAAGCCAGGTGTGGTCATGCACACCTTTTATCCCAGCACTTGGGAGGCAGAGACAGGTGTTTCTGTCAGAGACAGAGAGTTTGAGGCCAGCCTAGTCTACATAGTCCCAGGATAGCTAGGGCTCTATAGAGAGACCCTGCTTCAAAAACAAAACAAAAAAAAAAAAAAAAAAAGACCTAGAACTAAAAAAACCCACTGTACCATTACTGTGTAACTTGAGCCAGATCTTTAATTCCTGTCCCAAATGGTAGTAATAATAGCAACAGATGATGGATAATGCACTTAGGATCCTTTGCGGCACACAGTAAGTAAATAAAGGTACTTGAGTGTTTCATCACTTACTGGTGGTAAACATTTCATAGCAGCGGCTATGACTGGGGTTATTTCAGCAATGTGTGGCAATATGCCAGAGTAAAGGACAGGCAGAAAAGCCATCTATTAGTCCTACTGCTGACCTTAGTCTACAGGTAGATTTCCCAGACTCTGAAATCCACACCAGTGGGGGCGAACCATGGATCAGGTAGTTCCCACCATTTGCCAAGTTTACCAAATGACCATACCATCTTTACTCCAAGTGATCCTGCCCCAAAGGCCACCATCACACTGAGATAGGAAAAAGGCGCAAACACCAAAAGGAAAAGCTAGTAGTTTATATAGATTGATATATAGATATATAGATATTGATATATATTGTGTTTACATAGTCCACAAGTTAAATGCAGGTATCCATAAGAAGAGCATTAACAATAAAAATACAATCTGTGTGTAGCCAAGTACAGAGACTTAAAATGGTAAAACAGCAAAAAGGATCTCACAAAAGTACAAATATACAGTACAAATTGATTTATTTAAAACAGTTACAAAAAAGCACAACAAAATAGAGATTATCCTTAGAATTATTAATGCTTTGTTAAAGATCAGGTAGGATTAGAGGGTAAGAAATGGTATTGGGTGGGAGGAGCACCTGACTAGTTCTAAGGCTTTAGATACAATGCAGTTGATTACATATTAATTCAGCCATTACATACTGGGGATAGTGGTTGGGGGATCAGTAATTTATCTACAGGGAACTCCTACACAAATCAGATCCATCCAGACCTCCCCAGTGCCATCCTTCTCTACTCCTTAGGACCCTAAAGCCACCTGGATGACAAAATTCCCATCCTCTCTCCACCCTATTACCTATCCATATATTCTTCCCTCCCCTAAGGTGCTGTGCAAGCTGAGAGCAGTCTGCTCTCTGCAGCTGGAACATATACTGTTTGGCTACAGGGATCCTGTATGTCGAGGAAGTGTGTGGAGGACAGCCGTATTTTAATACTTCAAGTTAGCTGTGAGTACGGTCAGTCTCTTCCCCAATCCAATTCACTGAGTGCACATATGAAGCAAATGAGGGGTCCACCCTGCCTTCAGCAATACCAGCAGCTCACCAACCCTCAGTTTACAACTACACATAAAATCCCTGGCAGGGGGTGAGGGGGGCATAAAACCACTGTCTTATCTGTTCTCTCTCTCTCAAGTACCTAGGACCCCTAACATAAAGACAGACTAAACGCAAGTCTGACATTAGGTAAAGGCACATGGGCTGCTGCCACACACACTGCAGACAGGAACCCAGTCTGGGGCCATCTTTACTGCTAGGCGTTTGCAGTGGAATGGCTTTGGGATTACACGGACTGTTGAGTTTGCAATCTACTAGGGAAAGATCCTAGGCTTAACAGGAGAACTAATAAAGAAACCTTTAATGTGAAAAGTGCATTTATTACTATTTTCCTGCTGAGGAGCTCAACAGGACAAGCCATACCACCTCTCCCTCTGCCCCAAGAACTGCATAGTCTGCAGGTTAGGAGAGAATGCAAACAACTCTAGCATCAAGGCCAGTGTCATCCTAGGCCCAGACCAGGCTTTCGGTCCAAAGATGGATCCTAGAGTTGAGAAAAACAACTGACAGCTGCAAAGACCCAGATGCTTATTTTATTATTGCATAATGTGGGAGACCTGTCCAGGGGAAGCTAGAAGGTGAAGGCTTCCAAGCAAAGGCTAACAACATCCATCTATAGTAGAATTCAGCTCTTCGACTGTAGTGTACAACTTTTCTGATCTAGAAAGTACTATAGCTTCAGTGTAGTTTAGTAAACTTAATCCTAGGAGGTCAACACACCTCTCTAAAACTTGGCCTCTGTCCTGTTTGCTTCTAGGACTGTGGCCTAATCTCCCACAGCCAATTCAATTAATCTGGTTATCTTTACTCCAAAGACCTGAGCCTTTCCCAATGTCTACCTTCAACTCATGCCAGTGTGACCAACCACTCAATATGCTTACTCAATGCAGGTTTAAATCATGCCACCATCCTGTTCTCTTAAAATGTGTATGATACCCACTGGTAAAAAGAAAATTAATCCCAACTGGAGGAGCTATTTCAGCTACACTTCAAACTCTTCCTCAACCCCAGAAAATGGGACAAGAATGCCACTAGGATCCTGGCTCAAGCCCTAACGTGGTTCCTCTTGTTTTTAAAACAGGCTATAAAGTACCATAAAGGAGAGAAAAAGCAGTCTCTGGTAGGACCTGTTTCTCTCTCAAGACAGGCACATTTTTGGAGCCAATGGGCTCCGCCAACACTGAAGCCACATCCTTTCAGACCGACCAGCCCATCCACAGCATGCAGACCGTCCCTATCCCACATGACAATGCTACGCAGTACCACTGGCAGAACACAAGGAAGAGTGGACAGGATGCCTGAGCTTAATCTACATGGCCAAAGACATGAAGAACAGGAGCTAAAATGGGCAACAGGCAGACAGTGAGCATACAATAGTGGTGGAAAGCAGCACAGAGCAAAGTCCATGGTGTTAGGACCAAATGGGACCCTAAGTGTAAGGAGAGTCAGTCTAGCTCTTCTCAGGCTCCGCCCTCGGGATAAGCACTGAGACCTGAGGGCTCAAGCCCTTCCCCCACATCCTGTCTTAATAAGGATGATCTAAATCTTAGATTACTAATCATCCTTTACCAAGTTTCCCTTCTTCTAAATTGGCCTATGTATTTCAAAATACATATTGGCCTATTGTTTCAAAACTTTCTCCAAGTTCTGGGAATATCCTACCACTGACTAGGAATGGGCTGATCTTTGTCAATTGCCCAGTCCCCAAAAGCTGACAGCTAACCACTGAAATGCTCACCCTAAAAACCACTTATGTCTCTTACACACTTAGGGTAAGTACTGCCACAGCTCTGACAAGAATTCTTTTCTAGGGCGCACACTTCAGGAAAGGTAACCCATAGCTCAGCAAAAGCACATTACAAATGCATGGCACCATATTAAGGGAGTTGCTGTTATGACTTTATCAGACAGGGACAGAAGAGAACCACAGCAGAAAAGTCAGTGCCCATTTTGTCAAAGCCCTCAACAATGTCCTTTTCCAGGACTCAGGGGGCATTATCAGGCTAGGGAGCTACAGCTAGTCTAAGTAGAGAGCAGAGTGATTTGACCGCAACTACAGCCAGATGCATGTTGGCCCCACTGGGAAGAAGTTCAGTGGTACCCCTGGTGGACATTTCTTGAGCATCTACAGTGCATGTCACTAAATTCTCATGGTGAGCCTTCCTGGGAGGAAGGGGGCTTGCAAGAAATCCATGCATACAATAATCCCTAGGAATGAGTTGCTCATGAAACAGTCAGAGAGGAGGCCTTCTCCTACAGCTCTTATTTGAGAGAATTCCTCAAGACTCAAGCCCACAGGCCCTCACTGTAGGAAATAAGCCAGAGAAGCAGCAATCAGAGAAGGGGGCAAGAGAAGGGAAAGGCTGCAATCTCCACTGCAGCACAAGGTTGGTGTCTAACTCTGACAAACTCTGAGACCTAAGTACTTGTCAGGTAAGCAGCTTCCTTGGGATGCTTCCCTAAAAGCTCGCTGACCAGGTATCTGTTCTCAGGGTCTGGGACAGAATGTAGGGCTTGTAGTACACCAGCCAGCTTCTGTCACTCCATTCCCAAAGAGAACCACCTTTAGCACCTGAACACTAAGAATGACTCCATTCTCAGAACTTCCCCTCCCCCAGGAGGTAGGTAAGATTATC